AGGTGGGGGAGTCGGGACTCTGCAGACAAAGTGTGGCAGACTGCCGCATTGATAAGACTCTCCATTAGCCGAGAGTCTGTCTAACTGTTATTGGACTTAGTACTAGGTGGTGCTGGGGGGGGGGGGGGGGGGACCTCATAGTCGTATTCATACGTCTTGTCCGGGATCAATGGGAGATATTGAAATGTGTCCTCGGTTGTTGAGTGGATGTACGTGTAATTTGGAGGTAATGATGCTTGCTGAGGTGGTGGTCTGAGGTCAGGCAGCCTCACCGCAGCCTGTGGTGTCATTCAGAAGATATTCTGTCCTGTGATGAGCTGCATCAGGTGTTTTCCTGAAGCCGCATTAAATGTATTTGTCATGTTTTCAGCGTCATTCCAGTTCCAGATTAGTCATGGCCGACAGACATAATGAGAATCAACCAAAGAGAGTGAATGGAAGGAAACACCAGCAGTTATGTTTATATATAAGCCGGTAGCCTGGTTATTATTGGAGCTTTTGCTTGGAATCGCCTCATATAAAACCTGGATCGAGCTTTACAATAGTTTTGACAAACAAGTGTATGCTAAGCTGTTGTGAAACACTATTCAAGCTATGACATCTTACCCAGTTTGTGGATGATATTTTTTATCGAGATATGATGAAAATTCAGAGCAAACCTGCACAGATGCTGAACAGAGTGCTGAATACTTTACTATTACTATTCTAAATGAGGCCAAAAGAAGGATCCCGGTGTACATGCAAATATATTCAATGTGTATTATTTGTCTGCTGTTAGCGATGCGTCGTAATCACTGTCTGCCAGAGGAGGAAATGGCAGCCCAACAGCTTCTCTTCCTGGTGTCAGTCTCAATATTACCAAGAGTTTTGATTGGATATGATAGCTTTCTTTATTTCTTAGCTCTTTTTAACCAGATTTGTAATTTCTTTTACAAACCCTCTGGACGTGATATGTAGATTCACATTGTTTTTTTGTGTTGCAAAAATGTCAGAAGAAACTAAATTGATACAAGAAATGACAGAACCTCTGCCTTGTTCTTTATAATAACCCATAATACCTGCTACACCCTAATTTCTTGTGTCAGAACAGTCTTTGCTTTATCCTTTCTTGGCCACTGTGTTTTGTTGTACTACATTATACCAGACCGGGGATGGAAACTTTTAGTATCTTGAAATTAAATTGCTCATCTCTAAGATTGGGATCCTGTACATTTGTGATGGGCACTGTGTTGCGTTAGTTAAACTAAACAAAAAAACCTAAGATGACACATTGAGGGTAAGAATCACTGTGGAGTAGGGACAAATATCATCTCTTCAGCTTTATTGATTCAGTGGGCTTAAATAGTGTGTGCAGTTCCACAGCTCTCCATTTTCCCTGCTCTGATGGGAACATAAAACAATTGTTAATCTTCTGTATAGGCTCCAAAATTTTCCTTTTACTTTCTGCAAAAAGTGAATATTGATACAGTCGTGGCCTCAGGATATTAAAACATTCTTGTTCTTAATTTTCTTTCTAAGCTACTCAAATTAGAACACATTTTTAACAATGTAAGGCTTTTCTGCAAATAGATGCTGTGCCTAAAAAAAAAAACCGAGGGGATTTCTGAAAGACGGCGTAGAACTGCAAACATTCACTCAAAGATGTAAGCATGAAATGGAAAACACCAAACAACTTAAACCATTTAATTTTCAGTGCAAAAATGTTCAATTCTTCAAATAAGTGCTCACACCGTGAATGCAAACGTAGCATAAACTGTATTTTTAAAAACAAACATGCATGCTTTAACAGGTTAACTATAACAAGTGAAGCTGCTTTGCTGTTATATGTTTCTCTATATTTGCATGTTATTTCAATATAAATTATATTTGTATATAAAGTGAGAAAATAAACCCTAATGCCAACCCTTAAAAACTGGCACCGCATGGGCTTAAAATTTGTATAAATACTATTTTAAAGTATTTTTTAGATACAATGCCAAGGTCACATTGCAACAAATTATTATGGGTCTCTATTCAAAAGTTTCACTTATTATGATGTACACTATCATCGCAATAAGTCTCCTTCTCCCAAATCATTGAGGAATCAGATCAACGTAGAAAAGACCAAGAAGACGGACGGTCAGAATCTACCAAAGTCTTCCATATGTTCTTTTTGTTTTGCAACACAGGCAGAATCTGCCGCCACCAGTTCGACCTGCACATTTTAGATACCGAGCGCCACCAGATCTGACCCGAACAACTGACCTACATACCATTCAGATTCTTTTTTATCAAAAACGTCGACCTCGCTCCTGTGGGTGACATTCATCCTAAGCGGTCCCTTCAAAATATTTTTTGTAATCAAATGTTCGGAGCTTTAAGATAGCTGTTTCACAGATTATGAAAACGGAGGGGGAAAAAAATCTCTGGTGTCAGACAAGCACTCTGAATAAGTGGTCAGTTTTTAGTCAGAGATGTGGGTTTCTGAGTACTGCAGCTAAAACCACTGTAGTGATTAATTTCAGCTCGAACATATATGAGCAATGACACATATAAGAATGTTAAAAAATATCAAGATAAATCCAAAACAACAGTTTGCAGTGACAAAGGAGAGCAGCTGAAGGCAGACAGAGATGATGCAGGGGCTTTCCAAATGCTACGGCCTGACCCGCAGCCCAGCCTGACCCACATCTGCCACGGCAGCCTCTTCCAGCTGTGCGTTTTGGCATTTTTGTGTCGTTTTAGCGAAAAATTTTAATTAGTTTAAGAAAAATGTTGTGGTCTCCAAAAGAAAGGTAGATAAAAAAGATACTTTGCAGTCCCATTCCTTCCTCACTCCACGTCTAATTTTCATACAGAGAAGAACTGCGCCTCCTTTTCCGTTTTGTTCAGGAATCTCTCGTGTTTGCTGATAACATTTTTCTCTTCCAGTTTTCTCTCAACATGCCGGTGCTGTTTGATACCCAGCCGTCTGCAGGAGGGTGGAACAGCATACTTCACGACAGATGTTTGAGACCTCTCAAGCAACTCGGTACTACCTTCAAGAGCACCCCTCCGTCGTGCGATAGCAGTGCCAAGTGGAGCACCAGATGAACCTTAAGTGCGAGTGTGTGTTTTACTAAGGGACCGCGTTTAGCACCAAGTATAAGTCTTGTGCTGCTTAATTAATCCCTTCAGGGACAAAACCAAAACACCCAACAAGATAAGTGCAATTAGAACAGGATGTTTTTTTTTTTTCCTGGGTTCCTTCTTCGTTTTACATCATTAATTATACAAGGTTAGTCTTCCCGGTGTCTTCCACATGCACTGCCCCTGGGGACGTGTACCCCTGTTCTCCACCGGAAAGGGCACGGGAACAATGTCAAACGCGCCACCGGGGGAATACAGAATTATCCAAAGACGTTTCTCCTCTCCCTGCTCTGGCGCTCGTCTGCTGGAGTCGTACGGAGGGAGTCATTTTCCATCAAATCTGGTTCAATCGAGACCATATACAGCGGTTTAGTGGGGCAGGATGTGGAGTAAGCCTCACACAATGGGTTTCTATCCGCCATTGTGCCAGTTATTGCGGCGCGCAAATCAATCCATTTTATTATTTTTGACACATCATCATTTCCACGGCACCTTTTTTTTTTTTCACCTTTTAACACTCAGCATTGTGCATGTGTGTGTGTGTGTGCGTGTGTGTTGGGGAGGGGCGGCTGCAGTGTCAGTGACCTTTTCACCCCGGGGGTCGACGAGGCCTCTGTAAAAGCCGGGCGGTCACGTGAGCGGTGGAGACACAGGCAGCTGCAGGGGAACAGCCCCAGCTTAACACATCCACTTTAATTCCCTTCATGCCGCGGCGCCCCAGTGAGAGCCATCAGGTCCGGTCAGCGCGGTAAAACTGCGCAAGCGGCACGTGCAGGAGGCTGATCCGATTTTTGAAGCATTTGGGTCGCCATTTTGCAGGGAGGAATTCTGGCACTGGCTTTAAACGCACCTTATGTTCCGGCGTGTTAAACAACCGGCTCAGTTCGGAGAAAGACATCTGAACAGATTCTGAACGTACATGAACGTCTGACTTCTGATTTGGAATTAAACCCGACTCAGATGACAAGATTCTATATGAAAGAGCGATCAGTGCCAGCAGAAAGACTGTAAAAGTATCTAGGTTTGCCTCGTGTAACAAAGAGGAGCCACAGCCTTAGACAAATCATACATGTTAAACATTATTAAAAGTGCGGCCACACACCTCTAAAGGAAACCAGCAGCCAAAACACGGCCATGAAAGAACCTGCCTGGATAGATCCCATCCCTCCGCCTCCCTGGGAAAGTCTATAAGCTTAATGGAGAGGAGTCAAACTTCAGATTCAAAACGAGCTTTATGGGTTTTTTACCCCATGTTTTGGGAACAGTGAAGCAGATCTTTCCTCTTACAGGAAGAGGTGAGTGAGTTTGCCAAACTGTTTTCATGTAATTCTTGTAGTCGTGACCCCGGAGGTTTTTCCAGGCCACCTGCTTATGGGAGTGCGGTGGACAGAGCCTTTTCGGTCCCATGCGGTGGGAGTGAGAGCCGGGTCGCTGCTCTGCTCTAAGCCAGAGGGATTCCGGTTTGGCCAGATTGGATTCCGTCATTGCTGGCGGGGATGATGCGGTTCTGCTCCACTGACTGGAGCCCATCAGCCACACGGAGGGAGCTTACAGTCTGGTGTAAAATCTTTAGAATTAGCATGTCTATGTCTAAGGCCATAATCCTCAGGCCGAGAAAACGTGGGCTGTCCACTCCAGCGTGGTGGCGAGTCGCTGCAACTCCACTTTTATTCCCACTGTTGTTGAGAGGGGATAGAAACCGTCCAACCCTCAATTATGGCTAAGGAGCAAACGTCCTTTAGTTCCATCACAGGACTGATGTTAGTTATCATTCTTCAGTCAAACACTGTGCTTTGCACCCTTTACTGAGTGGAGAAATTCTTTTACAAGAGCCACGGAAGTCCCCACACAAGCTGGCATGAGAAGGACAGACCCACACTGACACCAACACATATTACCACAAGGAGAGAAATAAAATGTTTATTTTACCATCTGTGTTTTTTTTTTTCTTTTAACACTAATAAAGTCCTGTGGATGGTAAACATCCGCAAAACACAACAAATACAAAGAATAGTGTCTCCATTGGGTTCACCCAAGAACATTTTGGAATCAATGTAGTGATAATGGAAAAAAAAAAAAATCTAAATTCAATCTGATTCATCAGAAAACGTAACAAAGCAAAGAAACTGTAACAGATGAACGTGTTCTGCTACTGATCACGAGAGCCCCAGAGCGTGTTCCAAACAGTGAAATTTCATGAACCATCACTTAGTTTCATTCCATTTGGGGGTGGAGAGTTAATCATCTGGGTTTTGGTGTGCTTTAAAGCAGTTGTAGAAAATATTTCATTCAAAAAACAGAACTGGGGGGCTGCGTACGTTAAAATGATAGAAGACAGATAACAGTTTTGAAGCCGCATGTCAGTATGAACACAGCGCTGTGTTGTGGGTTTGGACTTCTAACGAGCCTTCGTTTCACTTAGCGTTTAGATTTTTCATAACAAAAAGACATACATGGAATGGAAAAAAAAAAAAAAATACAAAAAAGATACAAAGCAAACGTTCCAGAAAGGCATAGTATTGAAAATAAGAACAAAAATATGAATATATAAATTCTATGACTTAGGACAGCACATCTTTATGTATACTGTACCATCTAATACGTACCAGCAAGACATTTTTCATAAAAATGTTTTTGGTCCTGTGTGAGTGTGTTTTTCATGGAAGGTCTGCATGGCAACATTACACCTCAGCTCCAGCGTTCAGCTACTTTGTGCTATGCTTCCAGGCCATTTCCCCGACAGCTTTTCCGTTCACAGTTTGCGAGCATTAACTCATTATTAGTGTTAGTCTGCAGTTCTTCATTCTGGAGGAGGGGACCTGAAGCACACTTGATTTTCCAGATGTCGAGTGTTCGTCGCGTCACTCAGGCTGAACAATTAACACTTTCATGACCGGTACAATGTTAAATAAAATATGAGAAAATATATCAGTTTTATCTTTCTCTTTTTTAAAAGGCTAGTGTTATGATTACTCTTTTTCTACAGAGGGGTAGTTGAGACAAAGCGAACGGCCAAAACGACGCATAAGAGGTCATGTTCGTCGGACTGTGGCTTGAAGCTAAAAAGGCCTTGTCTAACCTTTGCCCCTCAATAATAGTTTCTTATATATACAAATAAAATATGCAGTGAAAACACCCCACTGGCTGGAAGGAGAGGATGCTCAGTCGATCGGGGGCCACGCCTCGTCCCTCCCGCCCCCCGCTACAGCAACCTTGGAAGAACTTTGTGGCCATGTTGGCTAACGATAAGGAGGCCCTGATGACAGAACTGATATCAGTGCAGATTTACATGATACAAAAATAATTAATAAAGAAGGAGGCTTAAGGGCAAAGTGGTTATAAATGGCAGAGTGTGAGACTGGTTTTGGCAAATAAGCGTTCTATTGTGCATGTGCAGCCCTCCAACAGAAGGTCGATGTCGCCGGGTTGTCTCGTAACCATGCAGCTTGAAGACACTGAGACATCACGTAAACACGTGTGTGTGAGAGGGTGTGTGTGCGCGCGCGTGGGTGGTGTTCATGAGCACAGACGTCACTTCTCTCACACACACTCCTCCGCAGACATCAGCAGAGGGTTGATGTACTCGAAGCCTTCAAACTCGGACTGGTCGATTTTCCGGACCACATCGCTGAAATGAACACAAACAGTTTTATTCTTAATTAGTTCGCCGAACAACTGAAAACGCCCGACGAGCTAAGGGGGGGGGGGGGGGGGGGGACTCACTCGTCATCGGGTGTGAGCTGGATGGGCTCGTTGGTGAACTGGGCGTCAAAGTTGTCCAGTCCAAATTCCCCTGAGATGTTGGGTTTGAACGGCGGGACCACCTGCTTCTGCTCCAGCTGGAATCAGGAAGGAACACCACATCAGTTTTCAGGCACTAATTTAACTGGGAGAAACGCTGGCTCTTCCAGAACTTTTTTGAGAAATTACGGCAATAAAAAGAGCACATTCAAAACGGCATGAAACGTGCAGTGAGAAGGTGTCAGGGATCGAGTTGAGCCTGAGCACATTATATTAAGTGAAATAAAAACCCATTCGGGTAAATCAAAGTGAACTCTACAAACCCAGAAGTGGAGACGATGAGCCTCTTTTTGTCTAAACCTAACCCTAACATTAAAAAAATGAGTGGCCCCTTCTGGTTTTTGAACTGCTGCTGGCTACGGGCCACAAAAGACAACGAGTTGTGTTTGTGTCAAGATGCTAAACGTTTCAAAGGCTTAAGGAGCTGTAATACGCCTCATAAACAGAGACAGGAGTGTAAAAACACCAGAGGATATGTACATGTGGAAAAACAAGGCAGCTCGTGTTATTTTTCTGCTTTACAGTAAAACTAAACACCTTTCGGTTCACACGTTGCCGGTCAGACTGGAGCTGTGAAGGCGCTAATTATTCCGAGAAATTCTGATGGTACTTTGCCTAAATCGTTGTGACATTCCCCAGACTGAATGCTCTGTAAACTGAGAAGCTGGCCAGGCGTGAGGATGAATAATAAATAATAAAGTGTTGCTCGAGAGGTCAAAATATGCGGTGGAGAAGATGCTGTTGGTCTGGCATCAGCACAGAAGTCTGGTTTAAAAAAAACACGATGTGTGACTAATGCCATGTCGTTTGACCCGCGCTCTGTTTGGGATTAAATTCATCAGAACACTTGGGTACCTCCACGACCCCCGTCTGCATCCTGCTCTTTACAACGCTGGGGCCTCAGTTGCTCCCCCTGCAGGCCAACGGGCAAATCACGGGCCAAACTTTTGGGTTAGGAGGGAAGGGCAGGGGGAGGAGTGTAAGCCGATCTGTCCAGACACTCTGACCGACTGCTGGGCCTGTGCTCCAGACCAAACAGGGAAAAAGAGGTCATGCTGATCCCTGCTGAGCTGCCCTGTCTGTCGGTCGCCCAGCTGCACGTGTGCGTCTGCCTTTGGAGGCTAAACGCACTTGAATGCGGACACACTTCTAAAAGGGCAGCTCCTCTACGCCGGCATTTTGTAAAACCGTGGTATGAATTCATTTGGACCTGTGCCAGCTACCGGGACACGTTAACAGAGCAGAATCTTTCACAACCTTTTGAATTTCTTTTTTAAATGTCTCAAGTGTTTCTCAGAACAAACAGAATATGTGTGCCGATGTCAATAATTAACCCATTACTTTAGCTGCAGTTCTCCCCATATCAAGGTGTTAGCACAGGGTCTCCCAGCCATGGTTTCCTTTACAGTCCCGTGTGTCATGAGACAGGAATCTGTCTCGGTCTTCAGTCACATCTCGCTCATTGCGGAAACAGGAAGCGTTGAAATATCTGAGTATTTTTAGTCGTAGTTTAAAATTTCACGGGTGTTCTTGAAAGTGATTCTGACATGACCAAAACGGAGGCCTCTCTGCTGTCTCCTGAACTCCGCTCCATAAAAATATGAATGGGCCACACAGATTTTTAAAAAACAGTCATAGCAAAAAAAACAGTCAAAACTAAAAGCAGTCAATCGTGGTTTTCAGTATCTGGAACTGAGCTTTCAGTCTCAGTCTGATTACAGGAAACTCAGTGGGCAGTGCAGTTTCATAGAGACGTCACAGGGAGGCAAAGGCTGAAATCAGTTTGGATTATGGTTTCTGTATGAATATTAAGCATCGTTTTAACCGTCCAGACACACAGGGCTTAACATCTGAGCTGTGTAGGATCCGTCTCCGCTCGTTTCCCTTCCTTCTTTGGCTTTGTGTCTCGGCCTGTGTGTTAGTCATCCGATCTGCTGCGGTCAGTCTGCTATTTATTCCTGCCTGCTTTCAATTAGATGCAAGACAGTAAGCCGCAGATCTGACAGGGGCTACACCTGCAGAGACCCCCCCCAAAGCACTGCTTTGGGAGGTTTTTTATTTCTTTTTTTTGCCGTCTGGCAGCTGTTTTTTTTCTAAGTTCACACCAGAGACTTAAGTTGACCTATTTGACAAGTGGGATGCACCAGTGATACTTGCCCTCATTATGAAGTGGTGGTTTAGGATGAAAACCATGATAGAAGTGAGGAATAAAGCAAGTTCAGGCACGGAGAAGGCAGAAAGAAACGTTGACACGGACATAGAGCAAAAAGAAAAGAAAAAAGAAAAAGAAAAAATCGAATCACTCACCAGATCCCAGTCGACGTTTCGGAAGAACGGATGGCCTGTGATGTCTGCAAAGCCTGTCTGAGGGTGGCAGCCCAGACGCTCCTTTGGATCCTGTGGGAGTGAGGGTGAGAAGAGGGTGAGAGACGGTGGGAGATGGTGGAAGAAGAGAGATAAAATGTCAAAAACCCAGAAGGGGGGGGGGGGGGGGGAATGTGTGAGGCTTGTGGAAAAAGATGGTGGGAAAGTGAGGAGCTGTGAGAAGGTTTCTGCACAACGGTCAGACAGGAAGCCAAAAGCTTTACAGAAGAAAATGTGAGTATGAGACATGGTTCCATTCCCTGGTTTGGGTGGCATGAACCAGGTTGTTGAGTGGTGGAATGGTGGAGTGTGAAAGCATCATTCTGACCTACACTGCTCAATATTTTGACATTATTCTTTCTGGTATTATTCTGGGTTGGTTCAATTATGGGTGCGTTGATAACAGTTGCAGTGGTTAGCACAGCTGCTTAACATCTGGGAAGCTCCTGCTTTGAACCACAACTTTGGCCTCTTTGTGGAGTTCGCACAGTCTCCCGGGACCTGCGTGGGTTTTCTACAGGTGCTCCGATTCCCTCCTGAAGCCCTACGTTATACACAGGCTTCAGCTTCCTGTGAACAGGTGAATTTATTGATCGTAGACTAAGACATATGTTCTTTGCTTTTAGATAAATATTCATAGTTTAACCACCAACAATCAGTTGTTGTTTTTTTAAATCTGAAAAGACAAACATCCCAGATCCTGAGTCCCTCAAAACATCTCAGACCATGCTGTAAACATCCAGAAATTATGAACCATCATGGTACAGAAATCAGGGATTGTTATTGTGCATTCTTTTTGGGGTTTTTTTTAAGAATATGATTTTTGTACTGTTAAATGAGATGCAATTACCGCTTGGCATGGCTTAGTACTGATCTTTAAGATAGATAACAGCTGATATCGGCACTTGCCGTTTCCAAACCCCTGTGCCTCGTATCAAACTCCAGTAAAAAACTCCACCCTGCCAGACTTTTTAGCTAAATTGAGGTTGTTTACATGAGTTTTGCACCTATGATAAATCTGTTCCGAGTGTGGCATGTCAAAGCCTGACATTAAAGGACAAGAGTGATTACATGATCTGTAAGGGTGAGACAGAGGAAAGAAAAGGCATGACACCGAGATGTGGCAGCAGGGGTGATAATAATGAAGTCACTCCCAGCAGGAGTCGACACGGTTTCAGACAGGTATCAGCCCGTCTCGGCTTTCCTTACCTTGTTTAGGAACCCCTTGAGAACACTGGCAGCTTTGACTGACAACGAGCGGGGGATTCGAATCTGTTTTTCCAATATTACTGAAGGAAGAAAAAGGTGGGAAAGGGGGGGGGGGGGGGAGAATGGTTAGGACAGACATCCCTGGCACTAAAATAGCACAGGCACAGTTTAATGATGCCACGCGGCAGCTCTTTAGCTTTCACCAGGGGCTGTGAGCGTGCATTTTTAATATCAACTAGTTCTGTAAACACTGAATCCGTAAGAAAAACACATCTGAGAACATATTTATAAAGAAATGAGGAGGCGCACACACGGGTTCCCACATTTCCCTGGAACAGATGGCACACGCCTGGCGCCGAAAGCAGCTTTTATGAAGGTGTTGGTATCAAGGTGCTGCCTGTTCCACGAACCAGTTTTTTTTTTTACTTCTTATTTTTTTGCAGCTTCAGACATCAGCTGTGAGCGTTTTACCTTGGAAGAGGTAGTCTTCTGTGTTCTGGTCTGGGTTGTCGGAGCTGCCGACGATGTCGAACGGCGACCGGCCCGCCATCATCTCAAACATCAGCACGCCGAGCGCCCACCAATCTACGCTGAACCCTGAGACACACACACACACACACAAACGTTGTCCGTTACAGCTTACAAATCTGACACCAAAGATGTAAAGTGACCAGGCTTTAAAATGACAGATGTGTGCTTAAAGTGGTTAAACTGATGGGTGCACCCCGTTGGGAGCAGAGCCTCCGCCTGCGCACTGACAGTTCTTACTGAAAGCTGCATACTGCTGCTTTTTAATCCACCACTTTTTAATTAAATGCCCTAAGTAATGGCATCTACACACAGTAACTGCAAAAACATGAGGTTCAATTATATTTAGAAACATATGCACCGAGAAGCTGCATTTCATTAGAAAATCTGGAGTCTAAATTTTTCCTTTTAGTCTGGTCGGAAAGAACAACATTTTTTTTAACTAAAGATAAAACTAAAGATGATGCAAGACACTGGAGGGATTAGATTTATGCGTGTTTGGCTTTGAAAATTGGAGAAAGACAAGAAAAATTAAATCCCACAGAAGGCACAGGGGGGACAGTTATCTGTCAGAAGTTATCTGTTTAACACATCTATGATCATCACATCTCCTCATGCAAAACTTATTTTTTCTCCTCAAAGATTAGTTTCCTTGTCAGAGAATAATATAAATAAGATGAAAGCCAGAATGCCCTCAGAGTCGCACGAGTTAAAGAAAGCAGATGGCAGTGTAACTATAATTGGGCGCATTCATTCTCATGAGTGGGCGCAAGTTAAAGGTGGCAAAGCTTGAAGTGGACGAAACGGGAAGTTTTGCAGATGGAGCCTGTTGAGAATCCGCTCTTTTGTTCACAAGTGTTCCCAGCAAACATGATTACATTTCTATGGTATTTCATTCATAGCGCCGACGTTTGCCAGCCACACGCCACCCTCGGCGGAACAGAAGTCCTCAGAAATCAAGCAGATAATGACGTTTGACTTCAGAAAATACGACGACCAGACTGAATAACACATTTCTGACTAATTAAATTGTTTATTGATCAGATTAGCTCAGATGTTTGTCTGCAACATAAAGAACAGTGATTAAAACACCGGTTATACAGCAGTGGGAATGCACTGATTGAAATATCCAGCAGCTGTGTGAGAAGCTAATAAGTCCAACCATCATTTGGACTATTATTCAAGATCTGTGCTTTTCCTTCTGAGTGATGGATAAAATGCTGGAAACAGCTGTTGTTTTCCTTTAAGATAAACTGGCCAGACATTTAACTTTTTTTGTGTGTTTTCTTTTTGCCATGAAACTTGTCGCTATGATACCACATTGGTTACCAGGGAGCTGATTCTATTTTTACTGTATTATGTGTCCAGATACTTGCACAATCAACTTAAGACTTTTCATTTTTCCAGATTATTAATATTTTTTTAATATGTGCTGTACGCTAGGGTCCAAAGAGGGCTTCAATAAAAGGGGTGTAGACATTTTTCAAATCCATTTGTTGGCTTAAGTTTTAAATATTTTTTTTGTTGTTTAAAGATATTTTTATTTTATTTTTTTAAGTTTTCTCCACATTGTCTGCCAATTCCACACAAATCTCTTTTTTTGGAAAATTTCCATCCCTAACAACTCACCAGTTGTGACAGAAGGGACAGAAACAGAAAAGGGTAATATTTCAGAGCAAAAATGATTAAAATCTTGAAAATTTGGTAGATCTTAATCCAAACTTTTAAGAATCTGTGATATTAGTTTTAGGTACAGTTTTTGTTTATTGGAGTGGAAGTCAATCTGCATTGTTTCCGAGTTCAAATAAAGTTCTCGTATTTTTTGCCCAGCCCTTTGTTGGACCATAAAGGTATTAAAAACTGAAACTTTCTAACAGTTTTCGCCTTATAATACCAAGTCTGTTAATAGTTTCAATAAGTCACCTTTTTCCTGGAAGTATATTGCAAAATAGGGGGTGGCGTCTTCTACACCACTCTCGCATCCTTGATCATAACCAACATAATGCCCCACAAACTTTTTTTTACTGCTAATGATCAGATAGAATTTCTGGTAAGTGCCTCCACATTGTAATTTCTCACCGTAATCCTCTCCTCTGAGTATTTCGGGAGCGATGTAATTGGGGGTACCACAGAAAGTGCTTGTTGTATCTCCTGGTCTCAAACCCTCCTGCAAAAACAGAAAGATTACCAGCTTTAAAATCATCTCAGAGGGCGGTAAACCGACACTTGTGAAGCTGCGCGGGTGCTTTTATCCAAAGTGCCCCCTGGCATCATTAGAACGCACATTACAGTGTAAGCCACACCTTGCACATGCCATAGTCTGTGAGTTTGATGTGTCCTTCAGAGTCCAGCAGCACGTTGTCCAGTTTCAGGTCCCGGTAGATGATTCCCCGCTCGTGGAGGTAGTTGAGTGCCAGACTGATCTCTGCTGAGTAGAATCTGAGAGGAGGGCATAACAATTAAAAACCTACCAAAATCCAAGCTTCTGCAAAAAGAAAACGAATTACCAATGCTCATCACTTATTAGTTAAAACGAGCCAAGAAAGGGCGGAAAAACATTTTACCTGGCGTGTTCCTCTGGGAGTTTCCTTTGTCTTTGCATGTGGAACATAAGATCTCCACCGTTTACATATTCAATCACAAAGAAGAGTCTGTGGAAGAGAATAAATGTTTAATCATCTCTGGATGTATGGGTGTGCATATCAATGAGCACAAAAATCCAAACGTAATCTTTCTACCAACAGGTAGAGCCGTAATCCTAACCACACAGTCGGTCCCTGACCTAAAAAGAAAGCGTTTAGTTCAAGTGCACGGGCACACCTCTGTCTGAGCAGGAAGTAGGTGAGGAAACTCTCAGCTGATTCCTTTTATTGGGGCATGACTTCCTTATGACAGCGCGGCTCTATTTACAGCTGTCCAACACACATTTTGCTCAGTTTAGCTATTTTCAAAGCGGATTCAATCAGTCTGCAGCTTTCTCCACAATATTTCTTTTCTAGTTTGAATTTATGATTATGTGCCTGACTTGGTGGTATTGATCAGACTTTACAGAGCTCCATCTGCAGCCCATGCTCTCTGAAAGAGCTTTAAAAAGCATGAAAGAAATCAGTCTTCGTAAGAGTTAAAACACAAACTTACAGAGTTTCCAAAGTGTTGGGACTATAACCCAAATGAGAGAAGAGGTCTCACCTGCTCTCTGTTTGGAAACAGGAGTGGAGGCCCACCAGGAAGGGATGATTAGAGGCCTGCTCAAAGACATGCTTCTCTGTTTGGACCCAATCGATGTCCTTGAAGACAAACACACAGAGACACACCCCAACGTCAATCCGAGATCATTCTGACATAGTGCCCTTGAACTAATAAAAGCTGAATAAGCAGAGAGTTCCATCGACCATGCAACAAAACTTGAGATTCGCTTGTGTGGAAGGGGGCCAGCTGCAGGAGAAAACGGCTGAGCCAGGAGGAGCGGGAGCAGGACACTATTGATGGCTGGATGATAATATGTCTGGACACGGATGCTGCTCGGGCTGACGGGGCAGCGACAGAAGAACACTTCAGCATTGATCGAGAGGCACTTGTCAATTTGTCAATCACACTAAGTGCGTCTAATCAAGGCTAACTACTCCTTTTGCTGCTGGCTGTGGGGCGACATGTGTTCCCGGAGATCAATTTCTGATGACATGATGGTTTATCTACACCTTCTTAGAAAGACTGATGGCTTTGAAGAAGTCTGTCAGGTTTACTTAGTTGTTCGGACGAGATAGAGAAGATGAACGTTTCACAGCAGGAAACAAACGTTAATTGCGCTGAAAAGATTAGGCCGCATCGATTCTGTTAATTATACATAAAGACAGACAACTGATGACATTATCGAAGACAACTTCCTCAAACCACAAACGAGCGAGTCGTGGTCTTATTGTCTCGCAGAATATAATCGATATGGAGAGTTTTTAAATATGATTGTGAAATGTGTATTCTAACAACAAAGGCGAAGACAATTGGTCTAGACATGTTTAAGATTAAAAAAACAAACTATGTGCTGTGACAGAGCATTTTTGAAATTCTGGTCTGATTTTTCTGTCCCTTTGACCTGCTGTTCTGGGTTATGTTGTGTTTATTCTATTTGCACTTTTGTCTCACAATGGGCCATCAGGAGCCAACAAAGGTGATACAAACAGACGGCGGACAGCTTAACCAGACGACGGTACCTCGTCGTCGTTGACCAGCTCCTTCTTGACCACCTTCATGGCGTAGATGCGCTCCGTCTTCTTCAGCTGCACCAGCAGCACCTTGGCGTAGCTGCCTCTGCCGATGACCCGCAGCAGATCGAAGTCTGCCAGGCCCAGGCTGGAGGGCGATTTCCCTGTTTCTCTGCTGTTACGTGCCTGGTAATGACAATTAAGCAGTCAGTGGGGCAGGGCGTGAAATATTGTCAAGCAAACAGTAAACAACTTAACGTGCCAACACAGAGATCATTTCTCTTGAATCATTTATTGCATCAACATTTTTCATCCAATCTCTGCACTGAACTATTGACAAGGCAGATAATTTGGTTTGGGCCGGGAAGTGATTTCCTTTGGGTGATTTTGTAGATGAGACCCCTCCTTTCTCCATTTTTGAGAATGAATCTTGGTAATGATTTTCATGTCTCTATTAAAAACCATCACGGTGCCTCCATTAGGTTAGACTCGTATTACAATTCCACTTCTCGGTAAACACGGCTCCCACCTTCATCGTTTCCTCGCCTGTCTTCCCTCGTCTCCCGTAACCGGCTCTGCTCTGAGCCATTTGGACTCCCGATACACCCCCCCTCCCTTCATATTAGAACCCTTTCCCCAGAGTTAGGCGCAGAACGGTAGATAAGATCCAGTGGGTTGCCCTCTTTTATTTCGATCTGCAGCTCCCCAGCTTTACCCAAACTACACTAACCCCTAACTACACCGCGAGCCATTAATCAGCTTCTGGTGTTAAGAGCTTTGATAAAAGGTTACTTAATTAGCTCCACCAAAGGAAATCAATACCCAGAGCACAGCAAGGTTGCCGACGTCGGCATGCTCTCCATCACACAGGCAGAGCAGGTAAAAGAAAGATCATCTAAATGCACATTAATCTGGATGCTTGTTCTTCTTCTCACACATCCTCCATCTTCAAATGTGTGTGCACGCATGCTCCTGCACCAGCAAGGTGACGGATAATGAGTTACATATCAGCATTTAAAAAGCCTTCATTCTCACCTCTTTTTCCTCTCCATCGTAAGTCAAGCTTTCTCTGGAGTCTTTATTCTGAGGGCCTGAAACCGAGGAAGGAAGAGGAGAGGAGAAAGTGACAGACAGAAGGAGAGGGGAAGGCGGGAGGGGGAAAATGGAGGAGATGACAGAGGAAGGAGTGAAAATAGGTGAGAGACAGTCACACACTTTGTTCACAACACAGTGTGGTGCCAGATTCATTTCGCACCGCTTATTTAGAACAGAAAACACCAACTTTGTTCTGAGGCTTTTCTTTCAACGGCACCACACTGTTTTCCTTCTGTATTTCAATGTTTCCGATGCTTAGTGACTACCCCCGGTGAACAGAGAGCATCTACAGCAGCTGCCTCTTTATCATCAGTATTAAAAAGTTGAGTGCTTATCATTTTTATTTACTTTTCTCAAACTCTTACAGTCTTTTAGTTGAGATGTTGGAGTTAGAGACTTAGACATTTGTTCACTCAACACTACTTGAACAAATTGTAAACAAACAATAAAGACACACAAAAAGAATCTCTATTAAAGGCATCATCAACTCAAATTTTCTATAGATTTGGTTGGTTGTTTTTTTCCCCCTCAAAACTCAGACATGCTGCTAAACTCTCTTTAGGTCTCCACATCAACTATAAACAATATGACAAAGAAATAGTTTTATTTCTGTTTCAGTCATATGAGCTGAAAGCCATTGAACCCAGTTTGTATAAAGATAACAACACTGATAAACTAATGTTATCTGCTCATCAAGATTTATGTGATCTAGAAGGACACAGGTGTGGTTGTTATTTCAAAGGAAAGCGATCCGAAAGTGGCTCTGATGCTTCAGAAGTCTATAATGAGCAACAGAAGAATAATTAAGACGGGAGCTTGTCTCTCTGTGCGTCTTGACATCAATAAATCTTTATTTGGTTCACAAAACAGCCCGATTCTTATTTTCAAACACTAAGAAGTGTAAAGTGTGTGTGTGTGTGTGTGTGTGTGTGTGCGTGTGTTACCTTGATGTTCAGCTGGGTCTAACTGACTCGACGGCTGACCGGGCATTATTTGGTCCTACACAACGACACTCACTATTAAATATCGGCGTGTGCGAGTCATGGAGGATAATGAGCCATGTTATGCCTTCAAACTAACGAGCAGGACATTGGTCACGGGTCTTACCGGGATCATTGGTCTGCCACACTCCACCGTGACCAGTTTATGGCACTTCTTGTGCACCAGCAGTTTGCAGTTGATGCATTTGTAACCTTGTCTTCCCAGACCCCAGATTCGATCTGTGCAGATAGCGCAGTGGGCTCGCTGCACAAAAAGCGGGAAATGAATATAAAAACAAAATGTTCAAAGACAAGAAAGAACTATATTCAAGAAAGATAAAGATGTAAAGGCCGCTTCGGAAAGAAGTCTGGATTCAAACCTGAACTGAGCCCCGTGTCTAAGTGTTAACTTTTATTATTTTTTACTTTAAAAAGTCCTCCGTTAGTTTAACACTTATGGCATGAATACCTGATTACGGATATTAGGTGATATGAAATACTGTACATGAAATATGATCATATAGATCGAAGGTACAGCCCAAAATGGAAAAAAATACAAAGAATTCAAATAATTAAGGGCTTCACAAAGCAAACCAGATAAGACCAAATTTAGAAAATGTCTCACTCTGTTAAAACGTTTGGCCTGAAAGGCGTGACCACTGGCATAATACAGCTTCCTCCAGCGTCGAGCACCGCGTCGATATATTGACTCTGAGGAGAAAGAACGATCCCATTAATGCATACATCTCTTATTCAGGCATGAAAACCTGAAGCTTAGATCTCAGAAATAAAAACTAAGGGAACCCAAATGAATTTCAAAGCAGATCTCATAACACTGATTTGAATGACGTATAAAACCGTGTTCAGAAATGATTCAAAAGGCTGTGGAATTACAGCACATCTTTCTATATAAGCCACAATTCCACCAATTTTCAGGTTCACCATCAACACACTTTGGTTACTTTCTTAATGCAAATCTTGCTTTTTAAAATCCATCCGTACATCTGTAGTTTGACAGGAATTAGAATTTTGAGGCGAGATAACTATCATTATCTTTTGTGTTCAAAAGCCACAATCTATTAAATAAACTGGATTAATAAATTGATCTACAAGATGTAGGCGGACATTTTCTCTTTAAACTTCTGCGTCTTTAAAAAAAAAAAAAAAAAAAGCTCAATGTTCGACATCATTGAAAGTTTAAGCAGAAAATAGTCATGACTTTGGTGTGTTTTCCCTTTTAATTAACAGCAGCACAGTGCATAATTCACACTTCTATGTCTGGCGTATGCAGCATCCCCAAATTTTCAATAGATTTTTATGATCTTTTTAATATTATTATTTAACTCAAATGTAATGTAAAAAAGACAGTTCTTTTTTAATACCTACAATAAGAACGTAAAAGGGAAAAGAAAACATCTGATCATTGTTTTACAAAGTCACACAAATGCAAAAAATATTGCTCCATCGGTGAAAGCCTTTGCTTTAGTGTCTTTAATTTGAAATATGAACAAAGAGCAGATGATGATCTTTAAGTCAGTATAAAAAGGAGAGAAAGCTGGACTCACTGTCTTCTCCTGGACAGGGCATGCCCGGTTTCTCTGGTACACATGGAAACACTGGAAAGAAAACAAAAGACATCACCATCTGTAGAGGCAGCCTCATCTGACGGCATTTGTGTGAGGATGCTTTCAGGGTGCAGAGCACATTCCACTTTCTGCCATCGACTCCTATGTCTTTGGTGTGTGAGTGCACCGTGTAACCGCCAAGAATAAAAGCAGCTATAAACACGCAGACCATTTAACATTTACAATCTACAGGGGGAAAAAAACCCATCGCCTCCAGCCATTTCTAATGAAATTCCCTTCTAATCGTGTTCATGTGCGTCGTACGGAACAGGAAGGGAAACAGACTTAGTGGACGAGGACATGGGGCAGAGTGAGTCAGAGACGAGGCGTGGGCCTTGGCCAATAAGCTTGTTAACTAGCAGACCTGGCGGCCCCCTGCGGCCCGGTCATATCCTCACGTCAACACCCCCACCTCAAGTCATCCTCTGCACTCTTGACCTGGCACCTCTGATTTGATTAAACCGCTAAATCGACTGCAGCCCTTGTCTCCCATAGCCTCGGGTCACATGCTTATACACATACGGCCTGTCAATCAAATATTCCATACAACTCCACATATACGCACATACAGCAGCATCTGAATTAACCACAGCCTCTGATGCCATGAAAGTGCACTTGCTCAAGGGCCCAAAGACAGACTGCAACAGTGGAAGCTGTGATTTCTGCACAGGTCACTGGAGCATAAACATATTTGATGCTTCTGTGCTGTGTACAGTATCAAGCTTTCTCATATGGATAGAAATAGACAGGGGGAAACAACTATGCATCTAGACATAAAAAGAGAAGTCAAAAGGGGCCAAAAAGCAATTAAATGGACATTTACATGGATACAATATGACAACTGAACGCGCCACTTCACTTTTTGTCGAACTCGTTTCATTATCAAATAACACGCAGCTCCTCCAGCCCGGACATCTGCCATACATGCCATTGTTTTTGTCAAACTCAGCTCGGCAGCCTGATGTCGGATTTAAATGGATTCTATGGAAATGATGTACATCAAGACTTTTTCTGGTTCTGTTGAAACGCCGCTACAGATAAGCATTTAATTATGCTGCTCGTCAACGCAAGAGAAAAGGAGAGGCTTTTCAATTTGATAAGAAAACAATTACATGGGGGAAAAAAACACATAATCCGAGTTGAAATAGGTAATCAACTATGAGCCAGAGCAGTTTCCTCTGCAGTGGCTCAATAACATGAAAAAAAAGGAGTATAATGCTGCCAACTCAACTTGTCCTACAAACCACAAAAGGGAGGCAGGCGATTGGCCAAAGGAGGCTAAACAAAACTTCAGTTTGTAACTGGAGTGAATTATGTGACAGGCTGCAGAGCCGGAAACGCTGAAAGTGTGTGTATGCTGCTGGGAATGATGTCTGCATGAAAAGCAGAAGTGCTCACCGTGGATAATGAGCTCCGAGTCTTTGTTGAGCTCGTAGAGTCGCAGCGCTTCCTCCAGCTCCAGCTGAGATGATACGGTGCAGGGGTCACCTGGCAGCAGAGGAGAGACGCGATGCCATTTGACAAACTCGCACAAACACGAAAAACCACAAGAAAGCGGAGCAATGAAAAAAGAAGAGACTTATTTGAACTTTTTACCTTTATATTCACTATTTTCATCCTTTAATGAGAAATAGATTTTTCCACTATGACCCACAATATATTCATCATTCAAGATAAGAATCCCAGAATGGGTATTTTCTTTTTATGTCAGAACATCTGGACTGACGACACATTTAGAGGAACGTTTCTGTATCCGGCAGAGTTGAGCTTTAATGAACAGATTCGGTTTATTTATGAGGCAATCGAAGTTGCAAAAACAAATTAATGAAAAATTCATCTCGATTATACTTTAATGTTTTATTGCTAGCGTGTGTGTCGGAGACTGAAGCAAGCGCTGTTGCTATGTCAGTTTATTCACTTTTAATTGGTCGTGTCTTCTCATTCAAATGTCACGCATTCACAAATATAATAATCGTAGGTCATCGATTCCATTCTTACAGCTCTACCTGCAGTACCTAATCACAGTGACTAACACAATGCACTGCACGTGCACAGAAGCTGTGACACAGAGTGCAAATCTAAAATGAAACAAAGCGCTGCAGAGAAAAGCTGAACTGGTGGGAGCAGTGTGACAATCAGCACAGAAAGTTATGGTCTCAGGGGCGAGTGCCATGATGGTGACCTCATTACAGGAAATGATAATGATGCATTTGTTTCCCCGATTGCTTTTCTTCACCGTTCTGAGTATGATAAAAAAAAGCCCAGGATTTCAGATGAAGTGTTTAGGCTGAAGACCTGAAGGTAAACACCTTCCTGTTTCGGTGAGCTGCGCAGGCAGGCGATAGGCGGAGCAGGGAAACTTTACAAAGCTGCCACAAACTTTTGAATGTGACTGTGATTATCCAGCTGGAGGTCATTACTTGTCTCGGATCATTTTGACTACGTACACACACTGAAAAAGGAGTTGGGAATTGCTCGTCTTTGTTTTCACCGTTTCGTGTCACATAGTTTTCCTCTCAAACGGCTCAAAGTGTCCCCTCATTTTCCTTTCTGTTCTCACTTTGAATCAGTTGTTCTGCCTTTGTGCTCAAAGACTGATGAAGCGGAGGACTTCAGGTGCCATTCGCTTTTGTGAGCTTATTTTCTCAGCGCATGATTTGTCTACAGTTTCCCTTAAAATGTCATTGAATCTAAAGAATGAGATCAAAAACGTTACCATATGCCTGCAGAAGAAACGTCCTTGGTAGCTATCTTGGACATTTTTCTAATACTTCGACAGTGACTGCACGGATGTGTGTGTCGGGTCTCCATTATTGGAGCAGAAGAAGACACAGCTAACTCCCAACAGTTTATTTAGCGAAGACCACCAAGCAGCTTTTATTACTGACACATGCTAATGACTCCAGGATCGTACGGGAGTCGCCACAAGTGGGAGCTAATCTAAGTGTAATGAGTTTTGGCAGGCTGACCTTATAGTGAGCTAAACGATCTGATGGCTCCATCTTTCCTACAACATTATTACTGTTGCCTGACTAACTGTCTGACATGACTGAAGGGGAGTGCTGCATTCCTTCTGGACTCACAGGACAGAAAAATTGCCATCAAGTGACAAGGATGTGCATGTCTAAGTGGGCATCTGTTCATATTAACACTACAAAAGACAAGTTCGATTAACCAATGGTTTCTACATTTCTGAAGCTTTTCCCCCCCAATTATTTCCTCTTTATGCATAAAAAGTGCAGTCAAGGGCCAACGTACCTTCCTCATCGATCCACTTCATGGTGAAGAGCTGGTCGTTGTCCATGGAGCACATGTCTCTCACCTCCCCGTACAAGCCCTCATATGAGATAGATGGTTCAAAGTGTGTGATCATGATGTCCCTGCATTAAAAAAGCAAATTATTGAACTGAGTGGATGAATTCTGGCACACATTAAACATTTGCACGTGCATTCATTACAAGCTTTGCACATCTATTTATTCATTCTTTAATTTTTAATTGACAACAGAACAAAAGCATTAATGCTATTAATGACAGGGTTTAAATCACTGAAAATCAGCTGACAGATGATAAAATTATTTAAAATTTTGACGCGTGTCACTGCCACAACCCTGTCATTTTAGAAATTAGAAAAAGTAATTGAAAATTTAAAAAAAGAAAAAATCTAGTCAAAAGTTTGAAAAGTTTGATTAAGCAAAAAATTAAAAGTCACATTTGAGAGTACATTTACAAAAGTTAGGCATTTTCATCTGACAAATCTAATTACTACGGTGTGAGCACAAACCGGTACGCTTTGTGCCCCCCCCCCGCTCAGATCTCTGCCTCCCTGTTGCAGCAGAAAAATGAGAAAGAAAGCCAGACATCTCACAAAGAAAAAAGAGGCAAGATGGGGTTTTTTTGAGGCAGTGTCTTGCAGTCTGTCACATTTGTGCGAGCAGTCGTCTATACAGCCTGACTGTGGGTGTGAGAAAGAGCAAGAACAAGAGCAAGAAGGACTCCCGAAAGGAGGGGGGTGTCAAAAACTCAAACAGAATGAATCGGAAGAGATACGCATTGTACTCCGGTGGTGGTCCTTTTGGCCAACTGGCCATTAACTGCAGCCAACCAAACACTTGGCTTCCTCCTTTTTGTCAATCATCTTTAAGCCAAACATCCACACACACACATTGTAAGACACGTGGATCGTTGATCTCTGGGGGATAAATGACCAGCCCTTATAATTTCCAGACATGAGGAGGATTGATGTCACCTGATCCCGTCACTTTGGTCCACCTCTGTTTACGACCTGACGACAGGGGTGGTGTGCCTCTGCGTTTACAGAGCTGCCGGCGACAGGGGTCTGGGCTCAGGAGCCTGAGTGGCCGATCGCGAATAAACAGGGAAATAAACAATGCAAAAAAACGATGGGAGTGGAGCAGACAGATGGAAATAAATATGGAAATGCTGTGTAAAATCTGTACCAGCACCCTGGGAGTGACCACAAGGGCAAATACTTCCTTCTACCTTCACTGCCGTCGTCAAATATGGACTCGGTTTTTTATATCAACTTGAGAGCTTTACTGCAGGACGATAAAATCCCACGACTTAAACCAAACAACACAGTCCTCAAGGGCATCCAGCGTATGAGGGCATTGTGGAGAGTGTGAGGTCAGAGCCAGATTAATCCTCACCCAGCCATTTAGAAGCGGATGTTTTGGTTTAGAGCATTTAAAGTAACCTATCATAGCGAAGCAGACATTTCTAAATCTCTTCCTCCAATCAGCTGGTGATAATCGTTATCTTGGAGGGGAGAGGAAGAGACTGGCGAATACACACCGCAACAGTCTGATGTCATCTCCTGGACCTGCATGGCAGCTCTACTTCCTCCTGAAAAGCCGATAACATCAGCAGACAGAGATTACACCAGTGTTCCCACAGCCTGCTGATCCAAACCCGTGTGCCTTTAACAGTGTCGGGTCTAACTCAACCACAAAGGTTTAGTCAATACTTTTTTTTTTTCGGTCGATGCCGTAGCTAAATATTAGCCTCGTCTCTGGTGCTTTCAACATCTTCCCCAGAAGCAGAGGAACCAGCTCAGCTGCTGGCTACAGAGGGGCATTTCATTTTACTGTGTTCTCTGTGTTTTACTGTGCACTCCGAAACACGCGACAGTCTAATCAGGTTTTTCTGTCTATTCAACAAACAAAAAAGTAAGTTAAAAAATAGCCAAATTAGTCCTCTATGATTTCAAAAAGTACTTTTACTTAAAAAGCACATCCTTTGTCAAGTTACCCTTAAACCTTAAGCCTAATTTATAGATGAAACTGAAAGATAATGTTTTCCATTAAATGATGACATAAGCTCTTGTGATTAAAAATTCTTAACATCATAAGTTTTCATTGTTTCAGCCTAATAATAATTAAACTGAACAAACAAACGGCATCTCTGTCTGATATGAAGCAGGAGCAGTATCTCATGAGCTGTGTTTGGATAAAAATTGAAATCATGTAACAAATAAAAAATATCTGTAATTCTAGATATGTCAGACAAAAACTTCTGCTTTGATTGTCTTGCTTCAATGTCAACTTCACTGGGTAACGAATGGACAGAAAATACCAAAGAGGTACATCTGCTGAAATATCTTCCTTACCTCTGAGTTAAATGGATTTACAAGGCCTGGCAGTATTACAATAAACGCATGAATTGTTTGGCTTGTTGGAGACAAAAGAAAGCATGTTGTGGGATTCCTTTGGGGTGACTTAGGCAGAAGGATTGTGCAACGAGTGACTGGAAGCTTATTACTGCTGAGGAACAGGGAGTAGTGGCATTCCACGCAGACCTGGCATTCCTCCTCTCTGCGCTATGTAACATCGAAATTAAAGGGGTGGAGGGTGGGGGTGGGGGGAGAGAGGACTGCTGACCTCTGCCTTTGGCGTCTTAACTGCTTTGAGAAGGACTCTGCTGTCCCACCTGCGCAGCATAGAGCCGTTCCTCGTCGATTAGCATTCAAGCCGGCAGAAAGGGTCACTGTGCCTTTCTGGGCTCCCAACCAGCACCTCCGAGCATCCGCCTCTCTGGGACTGCCGGGCCGGGACATGACCCCAGCAACTCCTTCACACTACCCACACGGATCACGAGCTCTAATGTCCCAAACAAAAAGGGACCCAGCAGCGGCTGGAGTTACCAAAACAGACTTCCAGACGCCCCCGGTCTGCAGCGGAGGAGCACGGCTCCGCTGCTCCCGACTGCAGGATGTTGTGGTCTCCAGGCAACGTGGCCCACCTGCAGTGCCAACAGGAGGGAGCCCGCTATTCAAGCAGCACCAACTGCTCACACTCCAGATAGAGCGAGGGACAAGGTCACCCATAATGACAGAATCTGTGCAGCACACCGTGTGAAAGATGTGCAGACATAACAACACGGCTGGGAATCCGAGATGTCCGCACGCCTTAGGAGAGCTTTGTCCCACATTTTAAGACCAACGCAGCTCCCAGGATTAAACGATGATACTAGAAAAAATCATTTAAAAAATGGAACCACGCCAAAAAAAAAAGAATGAAAATGAAACAATTCCATTTTCACATATTGTTGTGGAATGGAATTGAATTTGAAGCCTCCACACTGCTGGGGTTATGGGTGCATATCGAACCCCCTTCACAGTTAATCAGCCCTAATTGCTTTTGATTGGCATATTTTAACCTGAAGGAGGTTCCACTGGCTCTTCGCGTTTTGCTGTCAAAAAGAGAACAAATTCATGATGAGCATTAAGAAAATCGTCTGTCACAGATTATGAGTTCAAAAACAATTTAGAAAAAAAAAAAAGAAAGAACAGAACATTCTTTAAACAAGCAGTGCCTCAGCCCTCCAGCAAACAACCGGGCAAAACCCGGCGGTGAATGGACGGCTGCATGACTTTGTGTCTTAGTGCTGGAGGGGTATTCAGAGCAAAAGTAAAGTTCAAAAGGAGGAATACTTTTCAAATCTACACAAAGCCAAGCTTCCAAGCATTCATGCAGAAGGCTGGAGCTTTGAAAAGCAAGAGAAACTCCTTTTGAAAGCAGAAAATAATTGAACTGCTCCGTCAAGCTGGCGCATCTCAATTTCTTGCCAAACAGCATACCACACACATGAATCCTGAAGCTGATCTGATACACAACAAGCTTCTTAAAGATCAGGTGGCAACTCCAAAATAAAACAAAAGGTACGCAAATGTACCCTTGACCGAAAGTAATGAACTGGCTATCTCAAAGATGAAACAAACAGAGGCGAGTGTTTTTGACAACGTTAAAAGTAACCCTAACAAAAGTAGGAAGTAAGAATGAGCCATCAAAAAAAAATAATTAAAAACACATCCACGACCAGCCTTTTGTAGAAGCCACTCGTCCTCTTTCTGTAATAAGGCAGGCCCTTTTCAGAATTCAGCTGTTAAATTGACAGAATTGTTATTACAATTCAAATATTTCCCTTTTACGATAATGTTCCTCCTGCTTTCTGCACAAACGACCACAGCAGTGATGTCGGGAGCCACAGAGCGATACTCCAGGATGGACATTACATTATGAGGAACATGGAGTTGTCATGGCAATTCATGTTAGCCTGCTATGAATATGTAAAATGCAGCTGCGATAGCTAAAAGCAATTGAGAAAATTTATTTTTTCTTAGGTATTTCAGCTTGCTGAACAGCTGATGTGATTTTTAAACAATACACTGGTTTTATTTTTTGTACAGTTAGCACTGAGCTCAGAGAAAGGAACACAGTTCTCATCATCTCCACAGAAACTTTCACTCAACCGAGAGCAAGCCTCTAAACCACCGTGGTTTATGTGTGACAGGAATACTCAGCAGATACAAACTTTGGATCAATTCAGAGAGAACAAGACATCTGAAAAATATTCTCAACTTTGGGGTAATCTTCAGTTCATTCACCCATTCAGAGAGAAATTCGGCAAATGAATGTAGATGTGTGTGATCTTACCTGTGATGGTTTTTTGAGTAGTTTTATTAATATTTAGTGTTGATCATATCTCTATCTGCATGTTGAATGTAGTCCTCAAAGCAATGAGTTAATTGGTGTCAGGACAAATCTACAAGCTAAAACAAGTACTAATTCAAAAAACAAATTAAAGGAAAAGAGCTAAAAGAAATAATTAGTAGTTGCTGCTATTGAACAATGTCTTCTTTTATTAAAAGTGAACCTACTTGTGACAGACTGGGACTGACACCAGTCTGCCCATGCTGGCACCGTCTGACTGCAGACATACAGATTACAATGAATAGACTCCGAAAAGTCCACTTTCCATGTAGAGACTTTTCTATTCTTTGTTATATGATATATTTAGAGAGAAGTATATATCTTATTTTATCAAAATAAGTTGTACATAGACTCAGTGCAAAAGTCTGTCTCAAAAATCAAACAGCTGATATACTGGTTACTTCCTTCAGTTACTCTCAAGCCTTGGTGTCAAATAAGACAAACATTAGATACATGCCAAGTAGAAAAAAGTGTTTTCACTGGAATCATTACCAAAGAATGTGCCTAAAGGTGGACAAAAGTCATGTTGTTACTATTTCATATACGGTGAAAATAGCTAAATAGTCACAAAAGAATAGAGCATGACCAAGTACGCTCATCTGGCTTGACACCAAACCTTCCATTTTTCAGTCATAGCTTCTGTAAGGAAATATGTGCGACTCCGAAGATATCTTGGTTTACAATAAGCCAGTGTGAGCAATGCCAACACCTTTATACTGCATTTCCTCTTTGGAAACATAGCAACAATTCTTTGGCAGTGATGTCATGCATACTTCAGAGGCCTTCTTCTATGCGATGACACTGATGATCAGCACACTTTACAGAGTTCCTAAGGTGTGTCACGCGGTCAGTGAAGAGTACAACAGGTCTGGCTGAGATGACTTGCCCTACACGTTTTTCAAGCCTCCAATCACCGGCTCCATCAAACAGAGAGAGAAAGGAGACTGTGACATAGGCACAACACTAGAATCAATTATAGGAGTTCCAAATTATATGTCACACTTTTGTCATCCTAAAATGTGAAATTAAGATCACATGATTGAGTATAAATACTGATCACTTTTTGCAAAGTTGTGTCAAAGCTCAACTAGTCAATGAAAACAATGACCAAAACTTTAATGAATAAATAATGATATAAAACATATCGAATTTGCTACTTCCTGGTCCCATTTCGTCTGTTTATGAAGAAATGCTATCGACTGTAATTTGATAGTCAGTGGAACGTATGTGAAACTTGCTTTACAGATGAATTACTAGTTAAAATAACTTCCTACTTTACTTATAAATAGGGTTAACTGGTAACTGATACAACACAGCACTATAAGCATATGGTGAGATCATACAAATGTTGTTAAGATAAAATAACAGCTTGTCTGTAAACGGATGTGTAACCCGGCAACATGCACATCACCCCTACGGGTCAATCTGGACCTTAATTACTTCTATGTTCATAAAACTTTAAACGCCACTTCCCTATATTATGTCTAGCACCAGTCTTAGACTGAGAATCAATTTAAAACTGTCTGTGGGATTCAACAACAACGAAAGCCCTTAACAAACTGTGTTGGAAACAGTCAACTTACTTAGCTACTGTTAGCTAGCTAAGCAGGAAGACTAGCCCAAAAGCTTGAAAACTATGGCAGCATTAACACGATTTCATTACAGATACAGCATTTTAACATTTAGGTGTTTTGTTGACACGTTTCTGGCATTCCTCGGCGGGACTGGCTTTCCGCTAACAGGGCGTCTGGATAGTTTCAGCTGCCAAACTGCTCAAGATTACCGAAACCAACAGATAACCAACATTAGCCTGTCGTTAGCCCGCTTAGCTAAGGCTAGCCAACAGTTTAGCAACCACGTCTAAAACTTGCGCTGATTAACTTGTGGAGAAGGTCAGCTACAAAGTGAGAGACATTGTGATCGCTTACCCTTTGTAATAAGCCTTCACCCGGACTTGGTGGGAATTCTCGCCGGGGTGGGACATGGTGCTGTCCCGCAACGTCGGCATCATAAGCTCCGCCGCGGACACACAGACTCACCAATACCTCCCTTCCCTCTTTGGCTCTGGACGTGTACACCACGGACCAAAACACTTTGTTTGTATAGTCAGTCGACAATGCGAATAGCGCAAGAGCCAAATGTGAAAAAAATCCTGAACTTGGCCTTCCTCAGTCAAACAAAATTAAGATGCAAAGTAGAGAAAAACTTGCGGGATCCGCCAAACAACTCCCTACCGCAGAGGCCTAATGATGGACGATCCCATTATTGGAATGTTAGAGGGAGGCCAGCAAACTTAGAAATATAAGGTGATTGAAGACGAACTGAATGGTCAAACATTGACAAATATATTCTCACTTCAGATGTATAGTTTAGAACCTGAAAAGTCTGTCCTATACAATGAAGCACATCAAATTTTCTTATGTACATTTTAAAACACTTTGAGTGTATCCACTCCATCTGACTTGGTACAGTCAACTAGGTAAGGGCTGCATTCGTGTTAGAAAATCAAAGCTCGGAAAAAGTTCAGACCCACTAGAGTTGCGATGTACTCTCATGTGCGGTAGCCTGGAAATAACAACGCAAATAGACGGTAACATAAACGTTTAAGCTTGAGTTCAAAATTATTAAGAAAATAACCTAATGGTCTGTTAAAGTAGCAAGGAAAATAAATATGAAGAACAAAATAAAGGGAGAAAAATAACTGTACACTTGTAATAACATGTAATCCTATTTGAAGACAGCTGAAAATGGACCGTGAAAAGTTACTGATATCGTTTCCCTTTTCAGCCAGCATGTAAAGTTATGGGATTTAAATAGTGTTTATAGATTATATTGCAATATGTTGCAATATACAGGTAGGAAACACTGAAAACCAATTACAAGTCCGACAGCACATGAAAGTAGCGCGAGAGAAAATCCTTGGAACACGAGATCAGGATGAAATTGTGCTATGTATCCAGTTGTTGAAAACTTGTTATCTAATAAACATACAAACAGACTCCCTGCCCATAGCCAGTTAAATATCTGTCTTGATTGTCTCCACTTTGAAATACAGTTCTAACAATATTTGTGTCTCCACACATACGCACACACACACACCAGTCACAGTTTCCATTTTCTCTGTTGCAAACAGATTTTCTCTATATTTTGAGGAAGGTGACTTATGTCTAAGCTGAAAAAGGAACCATCTCATGCACATTATTTACATTTATTTTTCATTTACGGACTACAGATAGAAATATATAGGCTGCAATAAAAACATGTGTTTGAGATTAATATTACATATGCTAAATTGGAGTTGAAATGCTATAAACTCAGTTGGATACGGAGGGTACCCCTCGCTGGTGCTGTGGATGGTCCTCCTGCACGTAGAGCGGTGCTGTGTCGGAGCTTTCCACACACACACACACACACACACACACACACACACACACACACACACACACACACGTACACACACGTACACACGCGTACACTGCTGCTGTATAGATTACCCTCAGATTCTTATTTTTTTCTAATTTTTTGAAATCTCCATTTTAGAACCCACTGGTGCATCAAAAGGTGGCCATGGCTGGGACAGTGTACCGGGATGTGGTCAGTTCCTGATGGCCCACTGCTACGAACACCAGGCAGGTAACGCTGACATAAGGTGGATAATTGTGCATGCGTGAGGGGCTTCGGGGGGCGGCGAGCGAGCGCCAGACGCTCGCGTTAAAAGGACCAGATTTGTTGATGCACTCTGAGGAACGGTCGGCAGTGCTTTTGGTCAAATAAATAAATGGTTAACGCTCAGGGTTTGTGGAGGGTGATCTTACCTGCGATTGGAGCCGCCTCTGCAGCAAATGAATCAATATTCATTCACATAGACCGTCTCTGTTTATTCTCCTATGGTGACAGAAATGTAGTTTATGATGAGCACTGAAAGGGATATGAAATCAGTTTGCCGACGTCTTGCCAGTTTTATGAAATAATTAAAGGCAGAACTCCAACCTTCATAATATTTTTCAACCAACTGACAAAAATCCCATCCTTATATTTATAAACATAGTTTATTTGTGGGATGTGATGATTATTATTTCCCCCTCTTCACCCGCCAAGATTTATTCAAAGCATTTTGGTCAACATGAAAAAATATTTTATTGCAAGAAATTAGGTTAATAGAGAAAGTAAATAACAGAGTTTTATTGCATTCATAAAACATTAATAAAATACTGATTTTCAGTGGGACATTGTGGCCACACATTGCAGTGACCTACTCATTCAGAGCTGCATGGGGCACACATCTGTATCCTCATTTCAAGGTTTTTTTTTAGGTATCCAAGGTATCTGATTTTGATCCAGATGGGATATAAAACAAAGTAACAAAAAAAAAGAGTACATTTCTTCCCCTTTTTCCACAGTATTGTTTGAATCTATGCGATGCGGGAGATGGATAGGCAGAGCCCAGAAAACAAGCAGGCGATCAGAAGTAAAACCGGAGCCACCACATCGTCAACCGTAACCATGGCAACAGCCGGCTCCAGCAGCAGCACTTGCGTGCAGGTGCCCCCTGCTTCTCTCAGCGTCATCCCGCCGGACAGACAGGCTGTCCAGGTAAAAGACACAACATTAGACCTTTCCATGATTTTTTTTATCTTTAATTGGAGGTTCCTCTAAGTGACAGGCTGAGATGTGATCCAGGTCATGGATTATACCTAAGTGCAGGTCTGTGCAGTTCTTTCTTTGCAGTAAGTTTAATGCGTATAGAATATAGACAGCGCTTTTGACCTCTTTCAGTTCAAACTTTCTGTATTGAAGGGTGGTCCTGCACTCATGACCATAAAAAGCTCTATGAACCTGAAGCTAGTTCGGTCAGTAGACGATACCTTATATTTCTGTGTGTTTGGTTTGAGATAACAGACACAAAGCGATAGGTTTCTGTTCTGTCATTCCTGTGATATGTGCATTGCTTCTTCTTCAAACAAACAGCTCAAAGAACAACATTCCTTTACTTTTTTGGGCTGTATAATTTAGCAACTAGCCCAGCCATAAGACAAGCACCAAGATCTTACTGTCGTACATGTTTTTGGTCAGTAAACCGTTGTCTTGAAGGATTTTTGATAGATTTTAATAGAAATATATTGAATCTGACATAATATAACATCAAGATAAAAGCAATGCAGCGTTGCGATGCAGATGAAGGACTGCAACTAGCTGTAGAGGGCTTTATGGGTCCATTCTGTGCTTCAACAGGTGATCCAGCATGCCATCCACAGACCTCAGAGCATGGCTGCCCAGTACCTCCATCAGATGTACGCGGCCCAGCAGCAGCACTTCATGCTGCAGACGGCAGCCCTGCAGCAGAACCAGCACCCGTCCCATCTGCAGACCCTGGCCACCATACAGCAGGTCAGCAGGTTTCTGTGACTCATGTGCAACACAGAAGTGCCATAAAGTGAGAGGAAAGTTTGAGTATGTCAACTGTGTTTTTTTCAATTAGGCTTCAGTTTGCCAAAGACAGTCACCTTCTTCATCCGGCAGCAGTCTGGTTCAGCCTGCGGGCGTTTCCCAAAATCCAGTATGTGTCGTATCAACCCGGGCACCAGCGGATATTTCTTAACTCGTTTCCGATTTTGAGTATTTTATCATGCCGCCCCACATCCAGATCACTTTACCAGCATCTCCAGTGACCGCCCAGCTGATTGGCCAGACTCAGACATCCACAGCTGCCACCACCATATCCCAGCAGGCCATGCTCCTGGGGAGCAGACCGGGTAACCGCAACCAGGCCCAGATGTACCTTCGAACTCAGATGGTAGAAACCTCTTTAAAGTATTTCCTTGTGTTTCTGTGTCACCTGCATGAGTGATTTCTTTTTCAACCTGACACAAAACTGCCTGATTTCTGACCAGCCTGAGCATCACTGTTGCTTTTTTTTTCTTTGTCAGCTGATTTTAACTCCCGCAGCCACGGTGGCTGCAGTTCAGTCAGACCTCCCTGCTGTGACCTCCTGCTCCCCTTTACCCTCCTCCTCTCAGGTACTAATGCCACCCGGCAACATTAGTCAAAACCATGCACGCTAAAGCAAAGCAGTCCAAAACGCCTCACACAGTTACAAACCTTCTGCATGGGCTCTAAAGCAAAACCATCTTCTCATTTACACGTAATCGATAGCTCTCCTCGTACGAGAGCCCAGAGCTTTGTTTCACTCGACTAATAGCGTTTCACATATTCAGGTGCAGAATTTGGCTCTGCATGCCCATTTGCCCGGAGCGCTGGCTGCAGCCCACCGGGTCATCTTAAAGCCGCCCTCCAAGCCTCTGACCCAGCCTAAAGCTGCTTCCTCGTCTAAGACGGCAGTCTGTGCTCTGAAGCCCAAACACCTGCCCGACACCTCAGCAGAAACAGGATCTTCAGACGTCACACAGCTGGCTCCAGGTCAGTTTCTATGTTGAAACACTGATTTAGGGACGAGGGACCTTAGTTATAACCATCATTTAGGCCATTGTTCCAGACTAACTAACTGAACAATTCAGTGGGATTTCTATAATTGATCATATCAACTGAGAAAGAGGGGAATCCAGTTGAAACAGAAAAGGGTCAAGTCATAATAGGGTAACCCTATTGGGACATTGTTACTGTTGATACAAGTCATGTTGAAAACCTGGAGAAATGCGAAAAAGAGACAAATGCTTTTGTCTACTGGTTAATCATTTCTCTCTCTTCACCTCCCCTCTGCACACCCATACTTTAGTCGACCAGCAGCTCTTTGCTCCGGCGAACCGGCGGCTTGCACACCACCAGCTCGCGCTCCAGCAGGCAGCGGGGGCAGCTTCAGGCCCCAAACCGCTCCAGCCCATCACCCTAAAAGTAGCATCCCCAGACAACAACTCCAGCCCTCGTCCTCTCCCTGATAAACATTTAAGCAATCCCGACACCCCTCCACAACCAAGAAGGGACCCATCAGACTCATGTTCTCCTTCTCCATCTGTCAGCAACGTGATGGCACCCTCCAGTCACGCCTCAGTCCTGGCCGCCGACTTTCAGCCCCAGCCTCCGCCCCTGGTGGCCGCTCCCCAGCGCCGGACCTCATTCCCACAAGTGCAAAACCAGCCTCCTCCTCCCCCGCCTCCCCTGGTTCTCCCCAGGCTGTCCCACCACCCGCCCGCGTCTGTCCACAGACTGTCCCTGCACTCGGTCCAGGCTTTGGCGGTCAAGTCGGGACAGGTGCTGCTCACAGAGCGGGGGCCGCCCGTGGCGGAGGCTCTGGTCCGGACGCCCCCCCAGAACCTGCCGCCCCCCCAGACGGCGGCCGTCGACCTGAAAGTGCATCCGGTCACGGTCCGGGAAAGTTCACCGGTGAGTCACCGGCCTTCTGTTTGGAGAGCTTTGTTTGGTCAGGTTCAGGTTTGACTGGAGCTCGTGTGGATGGTTTTCAGTCGAGGCAAATATGCAAAGTGAATGGAGTGAGCTCAGAGGAGAAGAAGGATTCTTCAGATCAACACAGAGATGCGACTCCTACTCCTCTGACAGGATCTCTGAAGAAGAGTGGTGCAGGTAAACAATGATTAATAACTGAAAAATAAAAATCCTCTCAGAGCCTACAGAGTCTCAGCACAGGCCACAGATGGCAAAAAGTTTCGGGTCAAGTCATTTTGAAAACAGCTCATAAGACAGAAAGTGCCAAATTCCAAGATTTCCCATAATAACCCATCAATTTTTTGTGGCTTTAATGTTGGGGCTGAGTGATGTATAACACTACAGTACTATGTGTTCATGCCAAACAAGACAAAGATTTTTTAAAATCTGATTTGCATATGAAAAACATTTACAAGAGAGCCAAAATTAGATACACGGGATTCCAAACAAACTCTTGATTTCAGGTTTGGGTGTTGTGACAATATCTATGATGTTCATATTAATGTTTATAACTATAACAGATTCTAATTTATACCGTTTGATTCTGGTTTGAAGGTAAATTTCACTACAGAAGGTGAAAAAGCAACTTTAACTACAATTCTATCACTGAAATAAAAAGGCAGAGCTATACCTATGACTCATGTTCATGCCAATGTTCCCTACGTGTGGCCCCTATCCTCATTTCACAGCTCAGGCTCCTGACTGCCGCCTTCTTAAACAAGACTTGGTGTAACACCTAAACATTTCAGTAACTTAAAGAGTTACTTCACAGCATCAGGAAACAGTTTAATTAACAGTCGTCTGGCAGGTTTGGTACCTGTGATAACACACATGAAGGTGATCAGGAGCGTCTTTATTTAGTGGAATAGGTTTCCATGGTGACAGTCGTGATGTCTTTTTTATTTTATTTTTTTTATCTTCAGTGAACATGAGACGAGAAGTGTTGAAGTTCAGTTTGATGTTTTTATTCCTAAGGAGCGATGGATTCGTCCTCCGTCACTTCATGTCCCTCAGCGATCAGCTCGCTGCTGGTTAATGAGCCGGCTAAGCCCTCCACCACCACCATCACCACCACCATCACCACCGCCATCACCACCACCATCACCACCACCATCACCACCACCACCAGCAGCAACCTTCCCCCTCCACCCCCCCCTCCTCTGCCTCCTCCCGTCCTCCCAGCTGCAGCCAGGAGCCCCAGCCGGCCTCCATCTGCCCCGACCAGCCTCCCGGGAAGCCCCGACAGGTCAACTCAGGTCCTCACGCACCTCGTGGGGGGCTTCGTTATCCGAGAGGGCCTGGAGCCATTCCCGGTAAGTTTCTGAGCTTGCCATTACTGGAAAAGCCTCGTCTTGCTCTCCCGAACGGCAAATGTGAGCCCCGCGGACCCTTTCAGTTTAGTTTATTTATCGATCCACCACAACTTCCACCCTGTGAATTAATTTATGTGAGATTTATAATTTCAAATATACGATGGGACGCAGGTGGGTCCATCTTCTCTGTTAGGAGACCAACAGGCCTCTCTCTTCCTGAATCCCAGGAGGTGCAGACCAATGGGGATGCAGCGGAGCACAGTCCTGCCGATGCCGACCAGTCCGATTCAGAGGACTCTGAGATGGAGAACGACGGTGAGGACCGCGTCTGCCGTGCGTTTGTGCGCACATCAGAGACTCACGGCTGCTCCTCTGCGGCGGCAGAGCCCCGGGGGAACGCGGCCGGCGTGCTGAGGTGCGAGTACTGCGGCGGCAGAGGTCCCGCCCACACCTTTCTGCGCTCCAAGCGCTTCTGCTCCATGACGTGCGTGAGACGGTAAGTAAAGTCCTTCTCTGCGGTGGCAAACGGCAAACTGGTGTAGAAGAATGTCGGACTTTGAGCTTCAGTTTTGTTTACCCCAATGGTTTCATTTAATAAAAAAGAAAGAAAAGGACAGAAACCACTAAAGTAAATACAGGAGGGTGTGGCGAGGACTCAACATCCTTTATCAAACCTTTGGTCTTTTCATTGTTACTTAATGGTACTATCCTCAACTTTCAATTGTGGCTTCATTTTTCCTAAGTTAGTTATTGAATATTGTTTTTGCTGGTGTTGTTCATTTGAGATTGTACGTACCAGATTTAAGGCCCAGACAGGAAAAAGATGGCATGTCAAACTTTAGAGCTGAAAGAGGCTGTTGATTCTTCTTCATGGCTTCATTTAATCAAAGAGGGAGTCTGACTGTAGGACTTTCTGGCTCTTCGTGTGCAGCTACAGTGTGAGCTGCATGAGGCGGGTCAACGTACAGCGAGCAGGCCGCTGGGCCCGCAGGCCCATGGGCAGGAGAGGGCGACCCCCCAGCAGAGTCAACGGAGCCTCCAGAGAGCATTTTCTCAGACAGGTCGGTAGATTTGATAGATCTGATGCTGTGAGGGGGACACAGCGTGGTCACCGTGTTTGTCAGAGTTTACCTTTGGCTCCAGCCGCGTCTGACCAGTTTACCAGGAGAGAGTTTTCATAGTTTCATAGTAACGGCCCAATAAGAATTTATGCTAAAAGTAAAATATGTGAATTTATGTGAAATGTTTGAATAGATAATGATTAACTTTTTGTGGTAGATTTTTTTTACCCTTTCATAAGATGATATTTACATGAATCTGTCAGCTCTTTACGAAATGAAAACCTGTCGTTTTTTGAGACAAATATACACCAACTTTTAGTTTTAGGGATTATTTATTTATTACCAAGATAAAAATTAAGTTTAAAATTTGGGTTTGCACAGCACAATCAGCATGTTTTTTTAAGCGTGGGTTTGAGTCATGCTGACTTTGAACAGTTTATAAACTCTGGAAGGACTAATGGATGCTTAATGACCAATAATGAAACTTTCTCTCAAATTAGACCAAATTGATTGTTTCTGTTATAGGGAGGAAAAACTTTTGAATATGCATTTAGAGTGATTACAATTATCAACACAATGCTAAAGCAGACTTCGTGCGGTTTGAATTTTACGCCTTAGGTATTTCAGTCTGTTTCGATAATTATATTTTAATCTATTAAAATTGTAATAATAAACGAGGCAGAGGGAGGCAATTTAAAGTTCAATTTAAATAGATCTTTGTTTTTTGGAGAAATTTTGAACACCCTCAAGAATAGTTGTTTTTTTCAGCTTTAATTATAACATTAAAAAAATGAATGAATTCTCCGTTATTCTACATAACTCAACCTATCATGGCTATAGCTATAGCCATGGAAATAGCTGGAGTCTAAGAAGTACTGTAAAATGTTTTCACAAAATTGAGGAAACATTTGCTGTTTCCACAGATTTGCCAATTTAGGTTTCTAAGAGAACACAGACAGCCAAGGTTTTGGTCTTAAGGTGACTTAATTTAACTTAAACTAGTCTTTAGGAACCCCTACCCAATCCAGAATATATTTGTGAAGCTATCCTGAAACCACAAAAACATTTTTAAGCAAAGAAATGCCCCACAAACAGTTTTACAGTTAGTGAATTAAGATCCCTCCTGATGTGACGGCGGCTTTCAGTTTCCAGAAGCCTGGTGTTCACTTTTTGCCTCACAGGCTTTGGAGCCATTTGGTCCGGAGAGGACTCGTCAGAGTTCACGGGAGGAGGAGGAGCCTCCCGTTCCCATGACGACCCGGCTCCGAAAGCAGGCAGAGAGGGCGCGGGAGAGGGAAGCGGAGCAGACCACAAGAGAAACAATCATCATCTCTGACAGAGAGGACGGCAGCTGTCCGTCTGAGTGGAACGTGGAGCGGGTGTTTTCCTACATCAACACGCTGCCAGGTTTGGATGGGATAAAGTTAGAACTGAAAACAATATTAAAAAACTTCCTTTAACTTCTGTTTCAGTGACATTTGTTTTGTTGGGCTCTCTATTTTTCTTCTGATAATACACATCCAGTTTGCATTTCAGGCCTCGTGTGCTTTAAGAATGTTGAAAAGTGAAAGAAAGACACAAACAAACAATCTTAAAACTGACCTTTAAATGATTTTTTTTCACATCCTCATGCATTGTTCAATTTATTTTATATTCTTAGTATAACAAACCTGTACACAATCAGCATTTTCCTTTCATAATCTCCTCATTGCACACATTGTTCAAGAATAGACTGTTTTTTTTAGTCAGGTTACTATCATTAATGGAGCCACAAATTCAATTTCCTACAATGACAATGTGAACTAACATAAAACCAACATAAATTTGAGTCATGAACATTGTCCAAAGTTTTCAGGACTGTCTGCTCCCTCTTTTCTCCAGGTGGTGCTGCTGTAGCAGAGCAGTTTCGCTCTCAGGAAATAGATGGACAGGCCCTGCTGCTGCTCACCGAGGACCACCTGGTCAGCACCATGAACCTTAAGCTGGGACCTGCGCTGAAACTCTGCGCGCACATCAACTCTCTGAAAGAGGCCTAAAGGAGAGTGTGTTCTCAGGACCAGGACGCAGAGAACATGAAGAGAACTCCTCGCTGCTCTGCACTCACATACAACCTTTCATTGTAGCAGATTGTATACGTTTATCCATTTGTTTCAAAATGGTTTTAATCAGCCTTTTTCATTGGGATCATTTTTAAACAAAAAGAACAGGCCAGCCTTTACATTGTCACGTATGACGGGTGCTGTGCGATCTAAAGGTCACAGGGCAGATTATTCCTTCTTTTCACGGAGATTTGTTACATTTATCATGAGAAAATAAATTTTAATAAATCTGAACAGCCAACTGATAACAAGGTTATTTATTGTTATTTATTATTTCCTTAATTAATATATTAATAAAACTTTTAAATGATACATCTTTTAGTGTTTTTGGTGTTTCTTTTCTGTATTGGCGCTGTTTTTCATAGCCGGCTGTTGTTTATTCTGATCACGATATTCTGCCTTTAGACAGATATCATTTTATCATTTAAACTTTTCTATTGCTGCTTTCATAAAAATGGAGGACCTGAATACAACAGCAGAAATGAAAGTATCACAGTATAAATAAGTGTAAATACTCTCAGGATCCAGAGGGGATCTCCTGGAGAATTGCAGTGAATCGCCACCAGAGGGCAGCATTGATCTCTCCACAAAGGTCCCCTTATCCTGTTGTTAACGATATTGAAACTAATCTCTAAACAAGCATGTTAAAGTCCTTGTAACAGACTGTATGTATCCATTTTAAGACACTGCCATTTTAAATCAGAAAAGACAGAATGAGAGTTTTTAAGAAGAGCTGCTTTTAGGTGACTCCTCAAAGCCCCAAAACTTTCAGAGAAAGCAAAAAGAATTGTTTTCATTTATAGGTTTATTACTTACAACGTGGAGTTTTATATTCATGGTTAATGGAGGCCTTGAAAAAGAGCAAAAAAATAGCCGTTGATAAGCAGTCACAGTACGGACCGCCACTAAAGATAGCCAGAAGTCACTTCCCCTTAACACTCATTTACAAGTCTGTTGCCAGAAGAGGAGGATGTTTACCGTCTGCAGCAGGACAGTTTTCACAGAGAGACATTTTTCTGTTCGAGAGGTTCGGAGGCTGAAGTTCAAGTGACGTCCACACAGAAACAGCTGGTTTTGAGATAACTGTTTATTTCAAACAGGCCCAGATAGTCTTTACAGCTTAAAGAGGCAGATTAAAATATATTTGTAGAGCTCTGCTTTAATGAATTAAGTGCAATTGATTACATTTTTCTACTGAAAAGTACTACTAACTACACCGTAGGCGCTCTATGCTGTACATGGGGAATGTGTCGGCCGGATGTCTTGAAAATGATCAATGGAATGTTTCAAATGTGAAGGGATGAGAGCACAGCTACGCTGTCTGTACAGAGCGAGAGCCCATGCGCACTATTTGGTTTTGAAGGCTTCTGTGCAAATAACTGTTGCATTCTAAGACTGGAGTGACTGAAATGTTTCCAACTCGATGGCAAGATGAATGCTCCGCGGAGGCAATGAGGTCCATTAGTTTTCAGGCACTGAGAAGAAAACTATACATTCTCTGTGATGATCCAGTTTTTGTCGATTCAGGTTGAATTCCCAAATTATTCTCTGTGAAAGTTCCTGGGAAAAAAACTAGTTTGGAACCGTTTAACCGTGAACTGCAAAAGATGGAGCTAACTGAATGCTAACAACTTATTTCAGATGCTGAAAGTGCTTCATTTAAAGGAAGAAACCTGGTTCGTGGAAAAATCCGTCTGAAGTAAAAAAAAAAAAAAAAAAAAAGCAGACACAGAAGAATAATTGGGAATAAATGTAGAAATCAAGGTTCAACATATCATCCTTTCTTTGCTTGTAGTAAGAAATAAAATATTTGCGTGATTCCCCTGGAAATGTCAGAGAAAAGGCTTCATGTAAAAATGTCAAAACGATTCTCTGCTGAAAGTTTACCTTTAGCGCATCGTTCAGAGTCCCCACGCTGCCCCCATGTTTGAGAGAATTTAACCCGCGGCTGGAAGCGAAACTAAAAACCACAAAACCGCATCAATAAATACCCCTGAATGCCCAACGTAACCGGTCTGTGCCATGAGGCACGACTAAAACAAGGATGACATTTAAAAGAGCTACAAAGCTTAAAATGACCTTTTAAAAAGTAAAAAAAAAACAACAAATGCAATTCTATTCTAGTTTGCAAAGGCTGCTGTGTTGGGGAACGAAAAGCAGCTAAAATGATAAATTATGGAATAAAAAAAGAAAAAGGAATGCGCCGTCTGGTGTGGCTGCAGCTGGAACGTACTGGCTCCCTTCTGGTTGCACTCGCTCTGTGGTGGGTCGTGGTTTTTGTTTTTCTGATGGGAGGGCGGAGGCGACCGACCCCATCGGACTCCACCGTGTGGTGCGCAGGAGGATCAGCGTGGGGGGGCGAGCTGAAAATGGAAACGTCTTTGGCCGGGCGGGGGCCGGCTCAGGGCATGCTGCCGGGGCTCAGGCCGCCCTTCTCCGCCGATATGGACCTGACCAGCTCCTCCACCCAGCGCACCTCGGAGGCCACCTGCTCGGCCAGGACCTCGTAGCGGTTTTCCAGACGGCCGAACTTGCGCTTCAGGACGCTGGCGGTCTGCATGGTCAGCCGGGCGTCCTCCTGGCACTTCTTGCGCTGCGCCTGCGTGCGCTGCAGCTCCTGGCGGATGTGGCTCAGGTCGGCCGAGATGCTCTGGTTCTCCTCCTTGTACCAGCCCTCCTTCTCCTCGTATATGGACAGCAGCGCCGCCACGTCCTCCTGGCAGGAGCGCTGGTTGCGCTCCAGCTCCCTCAGGCCCTCCTCCGCCGCCGCGATCTCCTCCAGCACCTGGGAGAAGCGCTCGAAGTTGACGTAGGTGTTGTTGGGGGGCATGCTGGAGTGGGACTTGATGGTGTACTCCTTCAGACGGGTGGTCTTCAGGCGCCGGCGCTCGGTCTTGTGATCTCGCTCCTCCTGACGCACGTTCCGCCTCTTGATCACCTGGAGGGGGGGGGAATGGACAGGTGGAAAATGGAGGTGATGGTCAGAACTTGTACTTAGACTTAGACTTAGACTGAACTTTATTGATCCCTTGGGAAGACTCCCTCAGGAAATTAAGGTTACCAGAAGATACTGGAGAGGCAGCCGTCTACACAGCGCCAGAATCAACTCAACTGAGCTGATATAAGACTGTCACTCAGACTGAATATCAACATCCAGAGGCGAACAGGAGAATATCAGCCACACTTTTTCACTACTTATGAATGACAATAACTCAGACACAAAGAAGCTAAACTACTATTTTTTTGTGCAAACTTCTCTGCAGCACGTCATAAGAAAAAAAAATAGACAGTTTGATCAATAAAACATGAAAATCTCACCTTGATCCAAGGATGCTCAAGACTGTCATCGATTGTCATTCTCTTCCTACAACAGAAAACCGATCATCAGAGGCAACCAACAGGAAGGAGATTTACCATTTACCATTTTTCCAAATGCGTTTTAAAAATGAGACAATCACTCCTAATGAGGTACAGGGTTCCTCAAACAGAAACAGTCACATATTTGAGGCCGTTTCTTACTTTGGATCCTTGACCAGCAGGCGGCGTATGAAGTCTTTGGCCAGCTCGCTGGTGTTGCTGAAATACTCCTCGTCAAAGTCGTAGTTGACGGCTGAAATGTTGGTCAGAGTCTCCTGCTTGGTCTCACCCAGAAACGGTGACGCACCGCTCAGCCTAGCAGAGACAGAAACTTTGTTTAGACTCCACATGACCGAGGGCTGAGGTGACTCAGCGGCGGGCGCTATGACGTGAGGCCCTACTCACAGAATGTAGGTGATCACTCCGATGCTCCTGCAGAAAAGAAGGAGGAGGATGAGTCAAATCTGTCTGACAGCTTCAGGTGGTTTTGGAAAACGAATAAACGAAAGATGGCATCTCACCACATGTCTGCCTCCAGGCCGAGTGGCTCATAATTGACTATTTCTGGTGCTGTAAAACACACAGGAATGAGCGCTTTAATTTGAACCAGATGTGAGGCGGAGCACAAGATCACAGGGTTTAAAGCACAGGCCGGCACGAAAGCCACGTTTAGAGGTCTGCAGGCTCTTACCGACAAACTCTGGAGTTCCAAAGATGTTCTTGAACTCATTCCCTGCTTTAATCTGATGAGCGATCCCAAAGTCAATCAGCTTGATCCTGGGGTTGGGCACGTTCTTGTCCAGCAGCATGATGTTCTCGGGCTTGGAGAAAAACCTCAAGTTAAAGAAATGTAGGGCTGAAAGGAACCTTTTCTGCTTAACTTCCTGGGTTTTTGTCTGACTTTGACTTTCTTTTAACCAAACATGTTACATCATCTGCTGCCTGAACACGTTAGTCTTTAATGCCTATTAGTGCAGAGTTTGAGCCATTGAGGGCTTGTATATCTTGGGGCCATCATTCTAGTAGAATTCTGGTAGAAACCTCGTTCACACAGACCAGCTGGATTTTGTGTTATCGATAAAAATAACAAAACTCCTCTGGAAGCAGAACAATGACCCTCTGATAACACCTGCTCACCTTCAGGTCGAAGTGAGCGATGCGCTTGGAGTGGAGGTAATGAACGCCGTCCAGGATTTGCTTGAGAAACTGCGTGGCCTCCTCCTCGGTCAGGGACTCCTTCTCGGCCAGGAAGTCAAACAGCTCCCCTCCGGAGACCAACTCCAGGATCAGGATCACGTCCGTCTTGTTCTCAAAGATGTCGTGCAGGGTGATGATGTTGCTGTGCTGGATCTCCCGCAGGATGTTGACCTCCCGCTCGATCTCCTCGCGGCTCACGCCCCGCCGGCTGGACGACAGCCGCCGCTTCTTAATGAACTTGGCTGCGTATTCGGCGCCGCTGCTCTTCTCCTTGCACTTACGGACGATGGCGAACTGCCCGCTGCAGAGGTGGGGGGGGGGGTACCAGAGAGGTGTCACATTTAAAACATATGACATCAATGTGTTGACTTTGGGTTTATGCTGACTTAATTAATATAGATATTGGTCTCAGAGAGTCATTGCATGGCTTCTAACAGAAAGGATCGCTTTTGTTTTGTCTTTAAAGGCCAATGAAATAAAGATATCCAGTAAAAAAAAGAATCACTTGTAAATAAAAATAGAATGAGCCTGAAACAATTGTATGCATGTACACACACACATACACACACACAGCGCCCTTTGCTGACACCGACCCACAGCAGAGGTGCAAAGGAAGGCGCACTGAGAGGCACTGACGTCACACATTTGCTGCATTACAGCAGAAAAAGTTACTACAGTGGAGAGGTGGATTTGATTTTGAGAAAATGCATGACTCATTCCCTCTCTGTGCAGCCCAGCATTACACAACAGAAAATTCTATTCTATACGCTACCGACACAATATAGGGAATTTTGGCTCTCTTCCAATCACAGGTTTTGTAGTGACTGCAGCAATTAATACGCATAGGAATTAGCTGTAAGGGGTCTGACCCAGGATGTGTGCATCCTGCTCATGTCCCTCACTATCTGTGGAAAGTTAAGGACACAGACAAACGGCAAAAGGACCATTTGTGTTCGGTGTTCCAGCAGAAATAGATCTGAAAGCGTTATAGACAGAATTTTGAGCTGTCACACATCAGGGTCTGCACCAACAACAGCTCCTCCATACACACCTTCCCAGCTCCTCTCCCATGTCATAATACAGCTCAACATCCTCCTGTCTGAAGCCAGCCATGGTGCCGCCGGCCCTGAATGATGAGAGGAGGGATGCTTTGGGGATTCCTGTAATGTAAGAGAGAGAGACTTAAATTGGACTATGACAGATATTGTAAAGCCCAAAACTATTTCTAGGAATAGATCTAGTCTTCAATGGCAGCCTGCGTAATAGGGCAACATAACAATGCTCAGCCCAAGTGGCAATTCATCTCTTTTTACCTTGACTTCCCTCCTTATTTGGTCCGTGTAAACACAGCTTTAGAGCGTCTGAGGCTGATGTCAGACCTTCGCATACCAGTCCTACTTACATCATCTCCTTCCCCCGTTGAGTTATCTGACAGAGTTAAAGGGACTGTTTTTGTCGACACAAAAGTGTCTTTTTTCCTCTTAAAAAAATATTTGTTTATATGTATCTGAAAAAACAGCATAAAGACGTCTAAAAAAAAATCTTGCTAAAAATATATCTCGCTGTGAAACTGACAGACTTCGTGATATCATAAACGGGCAGAACGGTACGTGGCTTTTTCTAGTCGACTAACATTAAGAGAACACTATGATGGACTAACTTTCATCCACAAACACGAAAAGAAACTCAGCATTAACGAACCTTAACCCTTCTGTTAACTTATTGAGATGTCAGGAGTTTCGTCCGCATTGCTAGCTTAGCTGGTTCATTAGCTACCGTTTCCATTAAACACTGGCTCAGCTGTTCTAAGTTACTACTTCTTTGTTGGCAAACACACATTTCACTACAGGGAATACATTTCTTTGGCAAAATATATTTATATGGAAAAAAACGAGGACATTACGGCAGCGGATACTCACGGTAAGGCTGGCTACTGGAACCGCATTCCTCATCCAAGAGGCTGAATGTGAATCTCCAGATGGGGCAGCATCAAGCTAACATGAAGTAAAACGGAGTTTCCGGTCAGTCGTTTAAAAGCTAAGGTAAAAGAAACCAAAACTGGTTTGTCAAAACAGGCATTATTATACTGAAGGAACCTTCCGTGATATGAAGAATTCATTAAGAAGGGGAGTTATTTTACTCGGAAAGGGTTAACTTATATATCTGAAAAAAGTCGATGGGAGTAACCGGACTTTCTTGCTCTGAATAAACTGTATTTGATCTTGATGTGTCTTTTATAATTATCTATTTTCCTCCCTTTATGGTAACTCTATCAAAGAAAATATTTTAATTGGAGTCCTCATAAATTATGACACCATCACCGAAACTCATAGCCAAAGATGAGCTTTAATGTGAAGGTTAAAACGGTTTAGCTTCCGGTGTCAGCGTAGCTTTACGCAGGTAAAAAATCTGCCAGAAGGAGGAACATATGGAATGACGTCAGGACGGGAGATCGACTCACTGCAGTCAGTCAACTACAAGATTCAGCATGCAGCTGCAAGTATGAAAGAAATAATTGACTCAGTACAGACAGAAAAGTACGGTCGTGGCTTATTTAGGAAAGACAGTTTCTTTTTATATGGGCTAGAAAGGAAACGAAAAAGTTAGAATGTTAGAATAGAGAAGTACAGCACAAAACCATAATACCTTTACATACATGCACTGATTAAAAAAAGAAGTTCCCTGACCGGGAATCGAACCCGGGCCGCGGCGGTGAGAGCGCCGAATCCTAACCACTAGACCACCAGGGAGTGGTGCATTATTGAAATGAACATCTGGAAGTCTTTATTGTAAATGTATTATTCTTTGTATTCTGAAGAGTGTTTAATATCATTTAGATAATAATAAAGCTCATATTTGATTTTTTTTTTTCATACAGGTTTTTCATACAGGTTCTGGATTTGGATGTTCGAAATGAAAAAAACAAGAACTGTTCATAAATGAAAAACTGTGCTATAAAGTCTCTTTAGCCTTTTTAGTATATTTCCATCCAGATTTTAGTAGTGTAGCTACTGTAGTTTTCATACAGGACCCAATTTAGTGTGATCATAATGCAAAAAAATGCAGTGATATAGCCCTTTAAGGCATTCACGAATCGGAAGCTGTGAATTGAAAGCCAACTTCAGCCTCAAAGTGGTGGCCACGGACTAAATATATATATTTTTTGCTCTTATGCCACCAGACGGTCCCCGTAAAAAAACACTGCAGTCTGCCTACTAAAGATTTTACATTTTTGACTGATTTTTATCTTAACCAATCAGCGTTGTTGCAATTCGCTCCTAAAACTGGAGGCCAATTAAATCCTTCAAATCACAAATGGGTGTGGTCTAGTGTCACAGCTGACAAAGGCACGAACTGAGCGACTCGAGCGGAGTGGCTGGTTGGTTGATGGGGGAAACAACAACAAGCTAAGAACATGAGGGTCCTTAAAACATTGATTTGGACCGCTCTTCTTATCCAGAAGGTGAGAGGGACCGTGTCTGTTTACTCCAAAGCTCCATTTTCTGTGCACGCGCGTGACATAGCAGCATGTTTTTGACAAATACAGACCGTTTTCGAACCGTTTTATACAGCATTAGCTAAGATGCTATGACTCCTAGCTTGCGGATATCACCGTGGGCCCTGGAAACCCACACATCACAATTTGATATGACATCAATGAGGAAGGATTGATGTTGATTCATAGGATTATCGAATCCAACAACAACAAAAAAGGAAAACGGACCTAACTGAGAACTGAGTCAGGAAAAAACACACAATGTGTTCATTTTTAATACATGGCAACATATGCGAATTCTCAAAAAATTTGAGTTTAATAGTTTTGGTTCTTTACTTGCCATGTAATCTTTCCAGAATTAGTTAGTTAACAGGTTGTTACTGTGTCATTGCTGTTGTTTCACTGGTTATGATGTGTTAATCAATTTGATTACTCTACAAGTGTAAAGTACTGCCCCTCTCTGGGGGGGAATTACTCAGGGAAAAGCCCAGTTTCCCATAGAGAGATAGTCTCCAATATTCCATGGACATGTGGAGTGAAGCGGACATTGCTCTTATATCGACAGGTGGTGGGAGAGTACGGGATGGCCCATTTCAGTGATGAGAGCAAAAGCAAAGAGAAGGATTACTGCATATTTTTCAACTCGCAGTGGGCACATCTACCTCAGGATCTCAATAAAGCCGTAAGTCCCATCTGACCCAGAAGAGGGGTAACTAAGCTGTGTTAGAAATCTAATGAGTAAATGGCAAACAAAATCCTTATCATTCAGTTGCATATATTTTTATCTCCACTTTTCATACCTGTTAGGACTTTTTTCTTGTATGTGAAATTAATTCTAATTATTCAAACCCTTTGGTCTTATAGTCACGTCTTCAGATTTATGACTTGACAACGTCAGTCCTGTGCTCGTCCTCTGAGGTCCCGGAGGGAGGCTTCCCAAATCGCATCGCCATGGTGATGAGGGGAAACTGTACTTTCTATGAAAAGGTTCGCCTGGCCCAAATAAATGGTGCCAAGGGCCTGCTTATTGTCAGCAAGGACAGACTGGTAAGACTGCTAATGAGGCAATGATAATAAACCAGTCTCCGAAAAACATAAATATTTCCCTTTTTTTTTCAGACTCCACCAGCAGGGAACAGGACTCAGTACGAGGAGATTGATATTCCTGTTGCACTGATGAGTTATTCTGACATGTTGGACATAAGTAAGGTGAGGTGTCCGTCACCTGTGAGGTCAATCTGATACATCTTCTTGTAGGTTCTCCAAAATCTGACAAGTGTACATCTTACCAAGTTTTTTTCCTGGTACAGAGCGAACATCAAGACTGATGATATCATTTCAGATTGCAATGTGTTCTTTTTGTATGCGGAAAGATGACTCTATTTGGTTTTGTCCGTTCACAGACCTTTGGAAAAGGCCAGCTGGTTGCCATGTATGCTCCTAATGAGCCGGTGTTGGACTACAACATGGTGATTATCTTCCTGATGGCTGTGGGAACAGTGGCCATCGGGGGCTACTGGGCTGGCAGCAGAGACAGCAAGAAGTGAGTGAGCATTGTGTTTGCTGAGGTAAACCTCATGCCGGTTGTGTTACAGTATTTATAGAAGAAACTGAACTCGCACAGAAAGTTGAAAAAAAAAATGATATTCTGACTTGCGTGCTGTTTAAATGTTCTCATCAGTGATGCAGGTTGTGGGGATTTTCCTCGACAATTCTTCATAACAGTGTTTTAAATCGTCTTTTACCTTAACTACTTCTCAAGAGAGCCATAGTCGGGTTTCTTGGCAAACACGCGTTCGCCCTTTAAGTGCGTTTCCTTTGAAACCGAGCCGCGACCCCTTAAAAAGGGAAGTCTTGTCTATTTGAGGTTGCGTGACTGACTCACTGGCATACTCCATCCTCTGTGACGTAGTTGCCAAGGTGACAGAGGGTAGAGTCAGATGGGGTCTCAGATGAAGGGGGCTGCAGGGCTTTTGGACTGTGAGTGTACACTTTGAGCTGAGGAGGGAGCAGAGGCAGAAAACTGGCCGAGCGGTCAACGCTCTCAGATAACCTGCAATTAGACTCTAACAGCCTGTTAAGTCGCCAATCATGGCACCTCTTTGCCCTCTGTTTCTGCTCCTGCAGACGCTACATGAAGCACAAGCGGGACGACAGCACGGAGAAGCAGGACGATGAGACGGTGGACGTCACTCCCATAATGATCTGTGTGTTCGTGGTCATGTGCTGCAACATGCTGGTGCTTCTCTACTTCTACTACGACGACCTGGGTGCGTCACACACGTAACCGCCACCGTACAGGATGTGCACACAGCCTGTGTAAACGCACTAGTTGTATTTGATTATGTTTTTCAGTTGTTTGCGTAAAATATGACTAATAAGGAGATGTCTGATAGTTATATTGGTCTGAAGACATCACTTAGAAAAAGACTGAGATTTAGATGCATACAGGAAAATGTGTTCATATCCGTAAAAATTTAGGGTAACAGAAGTAGATTATAACATGCATGTAACTCAAATTGAAAAGAAAATATCTCTGGAAGCCAGAGTGGATCTTTGAGCTCATCCTCCAACAGTACAAGGCCCTTACACATTCAAACGTGTGAATCTATTGAGTGTGAAGAAAGAAAAAAAAAGGCAGGAGTGGAAAGGAGCTTAATGGCTGAGACAAAATCTCGCCTTTGAATAGAAGAGATCACTTTCTGGCTCTTGGTGTTTCTCAGAGGCCGTTGTCTGATGCGGCTGTTCAAATATTTAAGGAGCAATGCTGATTACAAAGTGTTCTTCCGCAACAGAAAGTGAGCAGGTATCGCATGACGGTGTGCAGTAACCTCCCTGCCTTCCTCCCCGCTTAGCCATCTGGGTCATTGCCATCTTCTGCTTGGCGTCCTCCGTGGGCCTGTACAGCTGCCTGTGGCCTTTTGTCAGGAGGCTGCCTTTCTGCAAGTGCAGGTGAGGCTGCAGTCTGTGCTCACGCTTTAGGGAACACAGACAGCATTCCTATCCTAACTCTTCCCCATACCTCTTTACCCCCTCTACTACTCTTTCTGCACTCTCTCTCTTTGCTCTCCCCCACTGATTCTGACTAGGGATTTTCCTCTAGATAACTTATGATAACTCTGACATTGTGTCTACTTTGTGAGTTGCTTTGGATAAAAGCATCTGCTAAATGCATAAACATATACATTCTGGCTAGTAAAATACCAAAAAGCCTTTTTTTTTTGGAAGTTGTACTTTGTTAATTAAAGATGAAAAGTTAAAAAAAAAATCTTTAGAAGGCAAATGGCTGCTGTATTTCAATGGATATAACTGTCATGTTTCTTATTAACAGATTTTATATCTTTACATGATCTCGTAGTGTTGGAAATGTCATTGCTCTTTGGTGTATAAAAAAGAAAAATGATATCTAAAGATATTACAGTTAAAAAGGAGGCCGCAGACATGCCAGCGTTAACCGTGGCTCCTGTGTGAACCCTCTTGTTCTCCGGCAGGATCCCGGAGAACAACCTGCCGTACCTGCACAAGCGGCCGCAGATCCGCATGCTGCTGCTGTCGGCCTTCTGCATCAGCGTCAGCCTCACCTGGATGGTGTTCCGCAACGAGGACCAGTGAGTGCAGAACCGTTCCACACGCAGCCGGATCTCTGTGTCCCTGTTCACAGTCCCCTGAGTGAGAACCCCTCGTCCTGGAACCCTGCTGCCCGCTTTCTCTAACGAATAATGCCTCGATTGTCACACAAAATAACAAAACAACCCAGTAACTATTCACGATTTGGTGACTGTGAAAATGGGCTGTTATTTTTCTGGAAAACGGGCAGCAGACCAAAGAGTTTTTGGGGATCAGAGCAAAGCTGTTCTAGGTGTCGATGAGTACGTGTTGGGCGGCGCCATGGCAACACCCCCCTGTTTATGCGCTAGAACATTGGAGGCGTGATGTGACGACAACTGGCTGACAAAACGGTGTTCTGTGCCCTGCAGGTGGGCGTGGGTGTTGCAGGACGCCCTGGGGATCGCCTTCTGTCTCTACATGCTCAAAACGGTCAGACTGCCCACGTTCAAGGTGGGTCGAGAGACGAGCGGATAAATATAAAACCCCGGTAGTGTCTCCAGAGGATTCAACTCTGTTGCACAGATAAGGATCCACTGATAATTGATCTCACTTCCCGCAGGCCTGCACTTTACTTCTGACAGTTCTGTTTGTCTATGATGTTTTCTTCGTATTTATTACACCCTTCTTCACAAAGGTACGTCCACTGCCCCTCTCCCCCCCCACACACACCAAAAAAAAAACAAATAAAGGAGATCCTCTGCTGAGATTTGTAATGCTTAAGTGATCAGTCATCATCTTCTCTTTCCAGAATAGGGAAAGTATAATGGTGGAGGTAGCGGCTGGTCCCTCCGACTCCGCCACGCATGAAAAGGTGAGCACACCGGGGGGGGGGTCCCACATCTCCTACAAGTCCAAAAAACTCCCATCAACTCAAGGGAAGTAAGGGAGGCATTGACTCTGGAGTTTGCTTTTCCTCCAGCTTCCCATGGTGCTGAAAGTGCCCAGGTTAAACTTCTCCCCTCTGGCTCTTTGTGACCGACCCTTCTCCCTCCTGGGCTTTGGAGATATTCTAGTACCAGGTATGTCATCATATCAAAAACATCTCATCTCTTCATCATGTTTTTAAACCAATAAAAAAAGGGGGTCTGTCATGGTCTGCAGACTATCCGCATCCTTTGCTGTAATGATTTTAAATGAATGTAATGAAGGCAAAACAACTCCAAATGCATAACTGACACAATCCTGTGAATAGATGTTCTGCCCTGACCTCTGTTTTTTTTCCCCTTAGGCCTGCTGGTGGCATACTGTTACAGATTTGACATTTTAACACAATCCTCCAGGATCTACTTTGTGGCCTGTACAATCGGTAAGTGCGTGTACAGTTGCGGTGAAGCCGATTCTGATGTGTTATTATTTGGGTGTTTAAAGGACATAACTCATCCTCTTCCGTCATTCAGTGATATTAAAGTGCCTCACCGTCCGTTTTCCGTGACCACTTTTTGGTTGGATCTCATCTTCAGACAGAGAGAGTAAAACCAAATAAATATAAAACTCGAAGATGGAAGTTGGATGGCTTTTTTTTTGTCTTGTAAAGTCATGAAACACACGGGCCGTCTTATACGATCGCTGCCTGTGCGTTTCTCCTAATGCTCCAAAATAATTTCTCAGTTGAATTAAGCAAATTACGTTTCCACACCCGGGACTTTTTTATGTTAATGTGTCCCGTGGAAACATTTCTGTTCACACTGATCATACCACCTGGGAGACGTTTAGCTCCTGTGTGGGGATGAGGCCGTTTCTCAGCACAGTCTGGGGAAGCGGATCTCAAATTCCGCTGTAACTCCTCCAGCGCTTACCATTGTGGTCTTTTTTTTCCTGTGGTACTACCATTTGTTAACCAGGCGGTTCTGACCTGCTGTCCCTCTCTCTCTCTCTCCTGTCAGCGTACGGCGTGGGCCTGCTCATCACCTTCGTGGCGCTGGCCGTGATGCAGATGGGCCAGCCGGCCCTGCTCTACCTGGTGCCTTGCACTCTGCTCACCAGCCTCTCTGTCGCGCTGTGGCGCAGGGAGCTGCCCCAGTTCTGGACTGGAAGTGGATTTGTGGTGAATACCAGTTTGATATGACTGCCTACTGCCAAGGAACCAAAAAAAACAAGAAAGATAAAAAAAAAACAGCAAAAGACCCTAAAGACTAGTTAAAAATGCCATGCAGAGTGAAGTAGAATTTCAAGTTGAGTAACCCCCTCAATGTAACTCCATCCATTCCAACTGCCTCTTTCTGTTTCACTGTCCCCTCCCCTCCCCCCCCGCCCCTCCATCCTCCTTTACTGTGGGTGCTGTAGTCTGCTGCTGAGGGCTCAGCTGTCTGTGAATGTCACTGCAGGTATTCTATCTGGGCTTGCAACTTTCCACTCCCCATTAAACACGCTAATCCCATTGAAAGCTCCTCTCTGCTCGCGGGCTTCTCATTTCCTGCCCTGTTGACAGGCTAATCATAACTAAGCAAAGTGGGTAATTACAGCTGTATTAGCTGCGAGGCTGACTGGCCGTGTCCTCAAATAGCTTTGGCTAGCATGTTTCATCTCCTTCGGAGGGATTCCCGACCTCTGTGGGTTTTCCTTCGAACGTCCAGGGCAGGGACTTCTGACCCCTTTACGCTGGGGTTAAGCTCAGACAGAGGGATTGCTGTTTACAACCGGAGCTTTGTCTTTTCCCTCTCGATTTGTCTGTGTTTTCATTCATAATTGGCGCGTCTCCACCTTCTCACACGCCTTCCTGTGTTCTGCCCCCCCCCCCCGCAGCCTCCCATAGCGCTCGCCCCAATCAACTGCACGCAAAGCGCAGAGCTGCAGGCAGAGGGGCCCTCAGCTAAACTGGAGCCACAGACCACAGAGGCCAATCAGAGCGAGGACTCTCCCGAGCAGCCGCCTCAGGAAACGCCCACGGCGGCGGACATCGAGGAGAAAAACAAGTCAAACTGAGTCCCACTCCACCACTGCGATCCCATCTCACTCCATGTTTCATTTTGTCCATTTTCAGCGGCCCCTCTCTGTCGGAGGACGTCCTAAGTCCCGCTTTCTATAGCTACTTGGTGCAGAGGACAGATTTAGTTTCTCTGAATGGCTGCGACAGCGCTGACAAACTTACCAAGAATCAGACCTGCACAGCGGTCTGGCCGCATTCGCCCGTAAGGGAGCGGGAGGCTAAATTTAACCCAACTTTCTTGTAAAGACTGCGTTTCCACGGCGATGGTTTTGACCCCCGTCTGATGATTTCTCCGTTATGTCGAGCCCAGTGGTTCCTCAGTGAACAGGCTGCGTCATCAGCTAATCTGATATTTTAACGAACGAGCAGAGAAGTACAGCTCGGTTAATAGGATTTGAAGCATTTTTGAAACGGGAGAAAGAACCGTTTCAGCTTTTCCATTCCGTGTTCAGAGAAAGTGAATTTATGTCGTCAGTAATATTTAGTTTCATCTCTTCATTTTTTTGGTAAAAGGTCAGGTGAAATAAGAGATTTAGGTCATCTGCAACAGTTTTTTTTTTTGTTTTTTTTGTAGGATTCCAGTATTTGTCCAACATCTACCGTGTTTCTGTGCTTTACAGCCTGTCGTCAGAGGGGGTTTTAGTTAATGTTAGACTGGAGTTCGGGGCATTTGCTTTGTATTTGTACATTTAAAGGTGTTGAATGTAGTCGTGTCCTTTCACACAAGCAGCAGGCCGGTGGTCCCATAAAAATCTGTGGGACTGCTTTGTGAACGATACTAATCTGAACTACATTCCTCCATTATAACATAAACTTAATACATTTCAAAAACATAAAGGTGGCCGACAAGTTCCACACCCTTTAAAGTCCAGCGCCGTCATGCAGATGACTGATCCCAAAGGTAGTGAACTTAATTCACAGCTCATTTCCTATTTTCACTGAAGCAGCTTTTTGTTTATTCATCATACTTTGATTTTGCATGCCGCTTTAAAATGACTTAGTTTTTTTTTTCCTCCCCATTTTATATGACACTAATGGACGGTGTATAGTGACGGCTTAACTTACTTTATGGATGCAGCAGTTTGGTCTCCCAGTAATCACTAGCGTTGTCTTAAGTTGGTTTTGGCCTTACGCTGCCCACACAGGGAGATGTAGTGGAATGTGTTAAGTGTTAAAGTTGCTTTTTGTGGGGAAAACCGCAGACACTGCACTCGACCCGCTGCAGTCCCAATGCGAAAAACGGGGGTCGAGGGATTGGCTGTGTCAATCATGTCGTGAGGGTTTGTATGAAAGCATTTGCACAGTATTTTTTTAATCCACGTAAACCAACACGCTGTTGGCTCATGTATGTATGTTTGTGTTTAAGTGTAATCAAAAAGGTTTTAAGAAGCGGAAGACAAAGTAATAATCAGCATACTCAGCATTCTGGCTTTGTTTCGAGAGCTCATGACTGACCTGAGGGCTTAATGTTAAACACCAAAGCCTAGAGACGAGTTCAATCGGTTTACCTGTAAAGATGTACTTCTGGGTAATTTATTCTAATCATTTACCACCCTCTGTATAATAGATGAGGTATAAATAAAATACTGAAAAAGAAATAAACAAGGGCAGCTGAAATGTCTGAAAGTGTGCCCTCATTGATTCAGTGGGACAGTTTCCAGAACATGTCATTCTTCCTTCACTTGCATATTTTATTGTCACCAGGTGGCATTAAAGCCTCTGTTGAGGAATCCATCTAATAAAATTACATTGCATTTGACTTTTCTGTCTTTAGATGATTTACAGTGTGTCAATCTCAAGCTTTTTTGCGGATATTTCTGAGTTTACAATGTTCTTTTCCCCCCGTGGCCTTCCAGCTGTGAAAGGTCCCCAGTGTTGGTGCTCGGCAGAGACGAGCAGCCGTCTCACAAAGAGCCTCTTGTGGCTTCAGCGCATTCACTCAGAGTGGAAGATGGAGAGTTTCTATTTACTCTGGATGGCTTATCAGATCAACTGACACAGAGCCGGCTTTTGTGCAGCACCACGCCTCATCAGTGACCCTCTAACCTCCATTCTTTCAACATGTGAGACAAAGCCACAAAATCTGATTTGAAGACTAATCTGTGTGTACATTCACACAGAGGGATGGACACACTTCATAGACTTCGTAAAGTGGTGTGTTAAAGTAGTCTGTCGGCCGTAAATCGACTAACCAAACCTTATTGATCCTCATATCTTTGTGGGTGAGGGACACAGCAGTGGTTGACTCGCAGCCTCCCGTTTGTCGTGTGCAGTCAGTTGTGGGTCTGCGTTCAGAGGGTCCACTCACTTGAGATAAACTTGTGACAACAACCAAAGGTCAACAAAACAAGTCAACAGGAAAACTTTAATCAAACCAAGTGGGCATGATTCCTGAATAGTTTTTCTGCTCATACCATCGCCTTAATGAAAAACTTTCATTTCCTATTTACACAGATGCAACCTTGTTACTGCGTTTACAAACTGTTCAAATTCATTTAAAGACAAAGCTTAAGATAAGAGTGCTAATTTTACAAAATTAGAGTTAAAATATTTAAAAGAAAAGAAGCTTTGGGTGGGCTCTGCTTTTAAAAATATTAGTTTAAAATGAAACCGTTTCAAAAGTACAAACAGGCCTGGCTTCGACTCTTTTCTTCTTCCTTAATAGTGCATCTCTTCATCAAACATCAACTTGGATCCATTTTCATGTTCATGCAGCTGATTGAAAGGGAGCCATTATCTGAAAGCTTCTGGCCATCCAGAAGTCCTGTGTACCGTCTTTTCTAGGCTCCATCGATGTCTCCGAGTGGGTAAAAGTCTGCGTGCTGGATGGGCCGGATCCCTGCTCCAGTCTGTGGTTCACCCTTAAAAGAATATTACCTTCTCTTTTCCGAGGACGTCTTTGGGGAACGGAGGTGGCGGTGGAGGGGGAGTGTTATCTCGGCTCGCCTTGCTTGCGCTGAAGGACTGAGAAGTTCTCACACTGTGGGCAGATGCTGGTGACCTGAAGGTATCTGAGGGGATTAAATGACCACATCTCAACATGAAGCACCAATTGTGGCGTTCATTTAACTTCAATTACACGTGAGCTTTAGGTTAAAGTACCTGTGGGAGTATAGGTGGGAATGGACAGGTTTAAATGGCACAGGTGGAGCCAACAGTGCTATGAACTGCCTACTGAACACTAAAGCTTCTATTCTAAACCTAGCCACCAGAGGGAGCTGTTCAGTAAAACCATTAACAGTCCCATTTTAGAGCCAAAGGCCAGCATGTCTGCAATATCAAGTAACCTCAATTTCAAAACTCAACCCGCCAGGAGGGTCGAATCAATATGAAACAACATGCTGAAGTATTAATACACTATCAGAGAAATAGGCTTCAGTTTGTGGTGGAAAAAGCCACGTTTCAAACTTGTTTTGACCTTATGTGTGAGCATTTAACCAGAAGTGGTCTCCAGATTTCTGCTTTTCAATTGGACAGAAAGAACAATGCGTCTTTAACAGGCAACCGTTAAGATCTCCTTCCAAAAACATATATAAAAAAAAAAAAGGAAAATAAATAAACAAAATCTCAAAAAGAGCCATCACTTTTCATACCTGAGTTTATGATCCTTTGAGGACTGGCGTTTCTTTTGGCTTTCAGACTGCCTCCCTCTTTGCCCACCACTCGGATGGGCAGGACTTGATTCACATCTATGTTTGCTGGACAAACAATACAAAAAAATGTAAAGATTGTTAAGAATTTTTTTTTTAAAAAGCCTAAAAATAAGCATTGTCTCAAAATCCTTACAACAGAGACTAAGAAAACGGATCAGATTATCTTTCAAATATATAAACATGGTAAAAATGAATTCTTAGATTGTCCCACTGACTCCTAACTGGCTACTGTTGTCACCTGCACTGTGCGCTCTCCGGTGGGACCGCTTCCCCCTGAAGCTCTTCTCCTTTCCTTTGGGTGCGGTTGCCAGCTTGGTGGGGATCTTCTGATGCACGGCGGCAGGTTTCTGCACCTGGTTGGTGGTGCTGATCAGGTGAATGGGCAGTTCTGATCTGGAAGACCGGGGGCTGATGCTCTCCCTGCGTGGAGGAACCTTTGGAGGAATTTCCAAGGCATTGGAGGAACTGAAGGGCAGGGTTAGGGTCTTTGGACTGACAGTCGCCGTCCCACCTCCGTTCAGTATGCTCCCTCTGAAAGACGGGTGAGCGGGTAGACTACGGAACTGGGAAGAAACAAAGGAAACTGTCAAAATGCTGTCACTCGAAAGAGCTAAATGTCCAATTTTCCAGTGCAAAACTTCATATGACTGCCTTCTTATGATGATTTTCTCTGAGATTAAAAGGTAGAATGAGGTGGAAATAGTCAACATGAATGACCTCTGTAACATTCCTATATGGACTGAGCCAAAGCACCACTTTGCCTGTTCAGGGGTCAAACGAGTTTAAATCTGACCATAACTGGAGGGGGAGCAAAAACATGTCATATTCTATCGGTTCAGGGTTGTTGTTTTTTTAAATCTTCTATCCGGTCAACCCTTTGACATAAAAACTCCCCGTCTAAACTTAGAGACTTCTGATGACAGAATTATGGGATAAATCTAGAAGAGACTCCTCACTTGTGTGGGATCATCATAATTGGAGTGTGCTGAACTTGAGAGGATCTTCTTCATCTTCTTCTCCAGGCGCTCCTTCTCCTGAGACAGGCGCTCCCTCTCCTTGTCCACCGTTTTTGTGGACTCTCTGAGTCTCTCCAGGTCCTCCTGGTAGCTCTCCCTCTGCCTCTCCAGCTCCGACCTCTCGTTGCTCAGCTTCTCCTCCCACCTCCTGAACTCCTCCTCCCTCTGCTGCAGCTGGGCCTCCAGACCCTCCATGTGGATCCTCTGCCGCTCCTTCTCCTTCTCCCAGCGCTGCTGCTCCTCGCGCTGCTGCATCTGCTGCTTATGAAGGTTGGCCAGCTCCTCTTTTTGCTTCTCCACGTTGCGCTGCTTCTCCTGCTCCAGCAGCACCTTGTTGTAGTGGGAGGGGGTCTGCCTGCTCTTTGCCTGGAACGCCTGCAGCAGCTCGATGCTGCTGTCCTGCTGAGCGATGATGGCCTGCAAAATAAAAATGGATTTCCGCTCACAGGAAGCCTTTGCTACCTTTCCCACCAAACCTTTTGTCTTAAATGGAAATGATGTATATATTTAAACAGAGCAGATGTCTGCTGACCCATGCAGAACTGAGATCCAGGTGCTGACTTACCTTTAGGCTGTATAGTCTCGTGGTAAGCATTAGCACACTGTCATACACCTACAGAGAGGAAAAGACCAGCACTCATTTCAGTACACGAACCACTGAAGTAGAAAAAGAACCCTGTGTGTGTGTATAAGGGGGGTTACCGCTGTCCCAGGAAGATGACTGGAAGGTGAGCTGCAGCTGGGCACTGGGACATCATCAGTTTCACCATCAGCCTGCAATCAAAACATGCAATTAATGTAAATAGTTTATATTCTTTTTAGTCCTGGGGGGAGTTAATGGATCTTTTAGTGACGTACAGACTGCTCCCATCCTTCGATGGGGTACGCCTCCTCAGGCTCTCTGTCCTCACTGCATTCGGGCCTCTCAGAGATTTCTCCATCTGAAAAAACACAGTCCATCACATCCAAACAAACTCACAAATATCATCCTTCTTGTGAAAAGACTACGTTGGGGTTTGCCAACATAAGTTGAACCTCATTTTTAGAGTGTGCAAATAACAAGCATTAAAACGCATTCCCCTACATGGACTTTTCCACCTTGATGGCAAACAGAAAACTATCAACAGCAGATGAGTCAAGTTTGGTCTTGAACTAGAGCCCACTGTTGCAAACATTTGACATTTAAGCTGCATGCAAATAAATATATAAAAAATAAAAGCCTGTCAAGACCATGCGAGTGAATCAGTGCGAGGAGGATGACGCACCCCGACCTTACTTAGAATTCTCATGTGCACATGCATACAGTCCTAACAAAGCATTACAAAGCAACTTACTGTCCGGGCTGGAATCTGCGATGGTATCGACGGCGGCTTTTAAGGTGTTGGATCGCCTGAGCAGCCCGCCCTGAACCTGGCTCTCCTCCGTTTGATGGTTTGGGTCATTTTTCATCAAAAACAGCATGTTCAGCAGGTTTTCCACTAAAGAAAAAAAGGTAACTTTACCCAAATCACATCCTTTAAAGATCTCGTAGTTCATGAAAAACATATTTTACCATTATCTCAGTGATTAAAACTAAAACAAAAAACACTAAAAACAAAAAAAAAAAACAAGTTTCTTTTATCTGCCCTTACCCTCCTCGATGGCCTCATAGAGCAGCTCCTCCCCCTGCTGGGGCTCAGTTGAGTCTCCTCGCAGCAGCAGCCCTTTCAGAGGGGGTTCTTTCTTCAACACATATTTATAAAGAGTAGCTAAACTCTGCTGCTTCTCCATTAGACTCTGCTTTATCTGGTCATCTTTCACCTTCAAAATATCTGAAAAGCATTCATGGGTACAGGAGGAGACACTGTAAAGTGTTTGAGGAAAAAGCAGGCAGAGACCACTCTCGGTCCAACCAAACTCTTGCCGTTTGGACGAAAACACCTTTTAGCCACAATGTGTGAAATGTGCTTGAGTGCAAAACTTTTCCTAATGAATGCCATGCCTGTTGCCTTGCGTCTATCCTAAAGATTAAAAGGAACACTGTGGGAAGAGTGCATGTCATAAGGACTGAGCACACAAACCAAATTGTCACCTTCACTCTTACATCAATAATCCTCCAAAAGGTAAAAAGCCTGAGAATAAAAGTACAATCTGATGGAATCCGTTTACTGAACATGTGTAAAAAAAAAAAAAAAAAAAAAAACTCTACTCTTCTCATATTTTGTTTCTTCTGATTTGATGTTTGTAACATTTTTCTTCCAACAACAGGACTTCAGGATCTTGTATGTGATGTGCGTCCTCTCTGGGTGAGCGCCGTGCTCCAGTATGGCCGTCAAGCTCAGCCATCTTACCTTGAAAACGCTGTAATGTAGCCACCAGTTCAATGTGCTCTTCTCCTGGAAGACTGAAAAGCACAGATGGTTCATTAATTTTTCTGATTTATATTTTGTTTAAAACAAAACATTTGAAGAGAGACACCCATTTGATTAAGTTTCATGTGTGTCATTCAGGAGTACAAGGCTGGATGATCAGCCTAAGTGTCCAACCACATGAAGTACAATCTTCTCACTGGATATCTTTCATGATTCTGAGATTTTACACATTCAATTTTAAAACTTTTTAAAAAGACATCCTGAATTTTCTTTTTTTACTTCAGCACAGTCCTGACTTGGACCTGACGGGGGCCCTGTGCTGATATGGGGGATGTTCCTATAAAAGCATCTATATGAAAATATCTGAAATCTTTATCGTTAATGCTACATAATCCAAACCCTCAAAGTTTGATGTATTCCCCTTGTTGTTTTATTCTTACAAATGAGTGTTATTTGTTTGATCAGCAGACCTACTCCTCAACTATGCTAGAGAAATCTGAATAATTTGTATGACAAATAACTTTTTTATCTAGTTATCCACAGAAAATACTGTAAAAATAAATATTTGAGTCAGAGATGAAAAAATATGTTGATTATAAAGTACTGAGAAGTATTTGAGTTGTGAACAGTAGAGCTTTTTCCTCCTAAAACCAAATTATCTTTCATTATTGCAATAACACATTTACAAAATCTAACATTTGGGACGAGAAGGAATCCTTAATTCAAACATCTTAACATTTCATAATTTGAGTATACCACTCAACGGCTCCTCGTATGACGTTCATCCACTTAAGGCACTCCTCTTTGGAGCCTGTGTGGATCTCGTACATCTCTGGTAGGCTTGCACAGATGAGGTACAAGGCTTTATCCTCGTGGGCAACTTCCCTAACAATCAGTTTTTGAAGGGAGATCACTGGTGGTTTGTTATCCTGCAAAAGCCACGGCATGAAGGTAGTCAAGAAATAAGGCCGAACTGGTGATTTTTTGTACTTTTTACGCAGTCCTGTTTTGATGGGACTCACCACGGCAGCAAATACAAACTTCTGATCCTTCTCTTGTAAGAGGAGGAGCACATCTGACAGCAGCACAGCCAGAACTTCTGAAGGGGCACATGAGGTCAAACTGACATCAGCATTGAAATAACAAACACCTGAACCGCTTGTGAAATGTCTCATTTTTCTGCGAATGGAGGTAAAATAATCCACAGGTTCTGGGGATCTACGTGGCAGACGAACCCTTCTTTCTGCTGCAAGACTTCAAGGTCACTGTGCCCTCGTGCAGCAGCATCCGGCTGCCTTGAATCATTTCCTCCCTGCGGAAGAGCCGGCCGTCCTTCATCTGGCCGGCAACTTTCGGCTCCAGACGAAGGCTGATCTCTCGGAGACGAGCCGCCTTCTCGTATTCACTGACGTTGACATCCACCTGGGAGATGGTGTCTTTGATAAGCTCCAAACCTTTTACCAGAGAACTGTATTCATCTGTGTCAGCTGGAATGAGCATAAAAACCAGCCTTGATTTGCAGTTGGTAGAAAAAAAGAGTCTCAGTAACCACCTGATTTTTGTATCATTTGAGTGAGAACCCAAATGGAGTTGAAGGCAAACAAGAGGCGGGACGTTACCTTCAGTGTTCTGGATGAGCCGCTCCACCAGGATGGGGTATTTTGTGATGCGTTGGGTCACCAGGAGGAAACATTCAGGAATTCCCAACCGCCGCACTATGGGCAGCTGGCCTATTTTCTATTTAAAGTAATACACGGACGTTTGGTTTACTGGCTGACGTGGTATAAAGCAACAGGTTTATGAGAGTGGATTGCTTACTCTCATGAGAATTTGCAGCTTCTTGTTGCTCTGCATCTGCTCTTTGTAGAAGCCAATGGCCTCACTGTGACGGTAGCAAAAAACACTGTAGCTCTCCATCATCTGTTCGCCAAGTCGACCTGAAAACTGACAAAGAACAAGACTTTGGTATCCATTTTTCTGTAATGTATACATTTTTCAGTAATAAGACTTTGATGAGATTTTGATGGACACAACACTGCCTTACATTTACAGCACATACTTAAGAATAATACACCTGTGCTGTGTTCACTTTGGAGGAAGAGAGGCAGGTGTCAAAAAAAAAAAAAAAAAAAGAGGGAAAAAAAGCCAGAGCTGCCACTTTAGGAAAACTACAAGAATTTCTAAGCTCATACCTCTGTGTGATGTAATAGAAAAGTGTGCGAGTGCGTGTGAACCAGCGGACCTGAAAGGGAAAACTGTCCGTGTCAGTCTTTAGCCCCAGCCTGGCAAAAAATTAACCAGCTGCCCTCGGAAACTTGACCAATAAAAAAAAAACGGAGAAATGCCTCTCTGGTGATGTGCGACCAGTGACAAACAGAGCGTCGTTCCTGTGCTGGTTGGGCAAGAACCCCCACCAGGGGAGTCTTGCAGAGTGTTTTAAACACACCAGGCATTCCCCCATACACCTGTATCCTATTTCCACACAAACACACACTCTGCCTCTTCAGAAAAAGTCATGGATAGAGATGGAAAGCGTTTAGATGGAAAAAAAAAAGAAGCTCTGCCATGCAGGAGGTTTGGACTGCGATTTCAAAACGTGTTGTCTCTGCCGGGCCTCCAAGTTCCCTTTAGTTCTCCTAAAGCTCACAGTCGCTGGGCTTCGTTGATGGCTTTGGACCTAAAAGGGGCCCAGATAATGAAAATAAACCAGGCATTCTGCTCTCCCCTACCTGATTGATGAGGATATCCCCCAGCTGTGTGATGAGGTAGTTGTTGGTGCTTCCCTCCTCCTGACTCTGGATCTGCCGCTCTTTGAGGCAGTTAAGGAAGTGCTGGTGGAGGGTGATCAGAGCTTCCACTCTGGGGAAGAGCCGCTCCAGCTTGCCCTCTTCCATCAAAAAGGACCGCTCCAGCTCGTGCAGGTACACGTGGTAAAGGGTTTTTAGGGTGCGTACGTGGTGCATCTCGGTCTGGATCAACTCTAGGAGAAAAATTTGGAAACTGATGTTTTCTAGCCCTTCAGAAAGAGCTCATATCGGAATACTGATGTTGGTTTTGTTATTATGGAAGTAAGTTCTGAGTTGTGAGATCTAAAGAGTGCTGATCATAATCGGAGGCTTGTTCTCTCAGCTAAAGAGTGGAATTCCATTTTAAGTGGTGACCAAATACTCTCTGCTGTTAAACTGAGCATAAATACATCTATTATTATAATTACCATTACTTTCAGGCCTGAGGTAGTCAGACAGAGGAGAGGACCTGCCTCAGGCTTCGTGGGTTTTTACCTACCATAGATGACATCCTGTCGTTTAACATCCTCTTTGCTCAGGGCCTTCAGGTAGTCCTGGTCCACAGCAACGCTCCAGGACTCTGCCTCCAGATTCTGGGCATCGATCTCCAGCTCAGCTCGCAGCTGAGAGTAATAGGAGTCTAGATGAAACATAAACAGACCCACTTTATTTCATTATGACAGCAAAGACAGCATTTAAAAGAATCTACAACTAAAGGATAGTTTGGGACGCTGAGTGGAAACGCTTTAGCACCTATCCATAAGAAGCCATTTCTTAGCATCAAAAGCCTCTCTTACATTTAATAATTTGGGCTGGTTTCAGGCTGCAAATTAACTAAATAAGATAAAAGTTCATCAATTAAGTGAGTGACGGTTATCAACATTATCTGGATCTTTTGGTTCTCTAATCAAAACTTAACATCTTTACCACAAGCTTAATAAATGACATTTCAATGAGCCACATTTTCCATGCAGCTTCATAACGCTTTTGCCATTTCAACAGGAGGTAAATGAAGCTTTCAGCAACCCCTCATCCCGCTGACAGAAACCAACTGACCTTCTGGGTTGATGGGCTCAGCCAAGGAGGAAGCGAGCGATGCAGAGTCCTCAGGGGAGACCTTCGACCGCAGGCCGTCAAGCTCATCCATCTGCGCCGTGTCCGATCTGGTCGGTATGCGGTGAGATAATGCTCCACAGGTAAATTAAAACGTGAAGTCAGCACTAAAACATGCATGCACACACTGAAACGCACTGTTGGTGCAGCTGCCCAGTGCCACCACTTAATTTAAGACCGGAGCTTAAATCTGTCAGACCCCGACAAAGTCTGGAAACTTTAAGTGCAAATTTAACCCCACACTCCCTGCCAAAAGATCATTTGTACGAAGGCTGAGGCAAAAAAATCAAGTGATTTTTTTTCTCTGCTGCAGTGTGAGCCTAATAAAAGAAGAGGGAAGTTGGTTTGAGCTAAAATGATCACTGACCTGGAAATTCTGACTGTGTACAAAGAAGAAAAAGGATAAGGGCTGAAATCTTTGGGAATGTTACACTCGTGCCTCGTCTGTGAACACTAGCAGGAAGGCCATTGGAAGCAGGGGGACAAACACTCTCCCCTGTGCTGAAAGAGAACAACAAACAGAGGGTGAGAGGCTGTCACAGAGAGGCCAATATTTGCTAAATGACAGCTGGCTGAAAACGGGAGTTGGCTAGTGCATTAAGTGAAATGACATTATAACAGACTCAGTGTCTCTACTGCAAAGACAGAGAACGGAGGATGACTCCAAACAGGCCGCTGTTGCCCTGCGCACTGGGAACTGGTTTTAGTCAGGTCAGACCAGCTGTGAAGGAAAATTGCAACTAAAAACAAAAGGTGGCAATACTCCGCTCTATGTAACATAAGAGTGAACAGGTACAGTAGCTGAACAAAGATGTTTCTGCTTGAAATATGCTTGGAAGGCACAGGGCAATATGCAGCTGACTTCAGACACAATCTGCAACGTTTTCCTCTCGACTTGGATACACGTCTCAGCACAGTGGAGTCGGGAAACGATGTTCAAAGCAGCCTTTCAAATCCAAATGGCAGCACAAACTGCCCTTAGATGACACCAGAAAACTGCCTTTCTACTAGTCTGTGACAGAAAATGACTCACCCTCTTCATATAGACTTCTGCCTGGTAGCTTTCCGAGTCCGTTCCTTCACCGTTCCCTGGTGACACAGAAAGAAAACAGACACGCACGAGGAGGAAAATCTTGTTAAACCAGTGGCTGAAAAAAAAAAAAAAAAGTGGAACCAGAATGACACTGAATGTCACTGAGTCACAGACTGGGCTGATGGGCCCTTCGGGTGAGGGAAGGATCCACCTGAATTGCTCTGTGTTCATCTTTTGACAACAAATCCTGACTGATTTCAATTTCATTATGTCCGATGACAACGCATCACATATTTTCTTTGGTAAAGCAAATTGCCGCCGACCTGTTGGTTTTATTTTTAGCAGTCTTTATCGCCGCAATAATCAGGAGGAACCTTGAAGAGGTTCTGTGCTTCCTGGACGCATGGGCTGTCCAGCTTCACCTCCTAATCACATCACTAGCTAATTGACCTGATGTGGTCAGATCTGAAACAAGGAGATCATCGACTCCACGTGTATTTGAAGTAAAAGCAGCCGAACCATCTGTGGTAGTTTCTCAGAGTTTGACAACAGTTGATGTTCAAAGTCAGACACACCTAAAGTACATAGGACTGTTTGACTAAAGGGGGTTATGACACAAACACACTCACACAGCAGCTGTGAATGAATACTTTATCATTACGTCTGCAGTGCATTGTGAAAGGCTTTCAAAAAGGAAAAAAAAAAATGTGACTACCCTGATAAGACATTGTGCATTTCACAGCTCTTACGTTTTACATTCCTTCACTTCCTCCTGAGGAGCTGAGGAGTGTGGGAGCAGAGTTTTAACTCAGGCTCACAGCCCGAGTTAAAACTCTGCGCCTTTCCCATCACTCTGTATCATTTTACTTTCTTTTCTTTAAGAGTTGCTTTTAGGTCTCCTAGCGTGTTATTATCCACGCTTTGGTCGTACGGTTTAGCCTCTTGTTGCAAGTAGCAGCCACACCTCAAGCCATTCACCCAGACTGGGTGGAGAGGGAAAGAAGCGGCATGAAACACAGGCCATGCCCCACTAAGGAAAACAAGACCAGCAAGTTTGCCGGGTGGAAGGCCGGATGGTGGAGGCTGGAAACACTGTTTGTGTAAAGCGGTTTCAGTGAAGCCGACGCCGGCCCTAACCACAGCAGCAGAGGGGACACAAACAACCAACAGCTGAGAAACTGCACCCTGCAGCTTGAGCAGCCGACTGAGCTGCGAGTGCGTTGCTCCATACAAAACCCCCGAGAACTGTTTATGTCCCACACGGTAAAATCAGCGACAAATTGTCTGAAATTGAGAGGCTAAAAATCTGCCAGTCAGCACTGCTTTCAGCTTATCTTTGGTAAAATGCGCTTTAAACACATGCTTCTGTCAGCGTTACCTGCTCCATCCTCACAGTGATCCGTGCGTGCACGCCGGCAGCCTCAACCGCCAACACCTCCAGACTCCAGCACACGAGTGCAACTGGAAAAAGTAACCTCTTTAAGGAGGGGTGAGCCTCAGGCCTTTCTCCCCTGTTGGATGTTTCAATGGCTGTTATGCAACTACATGGTGTCATATTGTAGGAAATAAAACTAAAATTTAAGGAGTGAACGAGATTAAGTCACATTCCATTAAAAGAATCATCGTTTGGTAGATTTCGAGATTTTTATTCTTTAAAAAAAATTCTATATTTGTGTGCATACACTCAATCAAAACACCCTGGTATGATCTCTTGAATGCCTTTCGGTAAATATTCAGCACTAACAGCAACTGTCAGCCTGCCAGACAAAACCACATCAAGCCTTTTTTTCCCCCATCATTAAAGTGTCTGCTAACACTTGCAACGGAAACTCATTTCAGTGATTATATTTGAGGCATCCTCAATTTAGTATCAACTTTTTCCTCGCTCCATTAGAGAATACAATTCCCATGTTGACTTTTGTGTTTGTGTTTTCCTTCAAATAAATCAAAATCACCATGATCACATTTTAGATACGTCAACATTGTCAACATATTTTTGGATGCATTTTGACAACAAATTCATTTTCTTTTTTATGCCATTTAGCTCAAATATTGATGTCTAATGTGTTTGTGGTGCGAATTCCTCAGTTTGTTTGCTTACACAGGCCAACATTCTGTGTAAGTGATGCTTTTACAACAAAATATAAAAAAACAACAATCAGAAAACAGAAATTAAGAAAAAATATGTATAGAAATATACATATATATGTGTATACATGTCACAAACTATTTACTGCTAAGTAGGGGCCTTAGCAGGGGCCCAATAACAGGTTTCACTTTCAGTTTAAATAAATAGTTTGTTTTGGTCCCAGTTGCTCTTGCTCCAAAGGTTATCTAAAGTCCCCTTCAAGTAATAAATACTATTTTATGTTGAAAATAAATCAAACAAGAAAAGGGAATGTGATCAAACATGGCTTACTTCTTTCATTTACAACAGATTTGATTAACTAAATGGATATGGGATCCTTCTTTTCCATAATTGAAATCACTAGCTGGTATTAATGGTTGCCATGTGGATGCTTTTGATAAACATTCTGACAATTTACAACCACATTTCAGAGCATTACCTAATGAGATAAACTCGAGGGAGTTTTCAGGAGTTTTTCCAGCTGATCTGGTGAGTCCTGCCAGAAGTTGGAACAGCTGTTCAGGACCCCGACACGAGAAGATCTTTTCAAAAGCTCCCCCAATAAGCACCCGTTTTTAGAAAAGGGGCGACCCAAATTCAAGTGAGAGTGAACCAAGTCTGTTTTTTTAAACAGTTGTTCATTCAGATATGCGTCATGAGAAACGTTAAGCCATTTCAGGTGTGTGACAGACACCACAACCCTGTGATTTAAGGGCATTTCCCCCCCTGAAAAAGGTTTGAAACGGGTTACTCATGCGCTCCTTTGACACGGGAATGCGGGGAATGGCAAGCCGAGAGCGTCTGGCCCGGATTCAGGACGTTTCCCCACCGAGAAAGTGTCAGTTCGGCTAAACAGAGACAGGTGCTGGTGGCTGCAGGTGGCAAATTCATTATCAAATTAACGCAAAGCCTCACTGTTGCTAACGGCTGACGGAGCTCCACTTTGGCTCCCGAAAGGTAACTCAAAATAACAGGAGACAGTCGGGAAATACATGTCACTGCTGTAAAAACTATAAACTATAAAATACGGAAAAAGGTCAAATAAGTGTGAGTTTCCAAGCCCGCCTCGACTAAAAATAAAGCAGCTTTGTTTAAACCTCAAACAAAGTTTATGTTGCGTTTGACAAACTTTGTAAGCTAGCTAGCTGCGCGTGACGTACGTTAGCCACCTGTCGGCACACTTAGTTTATTTCTTACGATTCCGACGACAGTTGGGTCTTACCTGCTGTTGTAACGAAGCAGTAGAGTAAGCAGAGGGGGAAAAAAGAAAAAAACTATCTGTGTGCTTCCAGGCGAAAGTTAAAGGAGGACAATTACATCTCTCAGCAGCTTCCAATTCGTAGGGAGGACCGTGAGGATGCCCCCGCAGGAGCAAGTGCACAAACAAGGTGGAGAAGGAAAGTTGGAGAGAGAGAGAGGGGGGGGGGGGGGGGGGCGACGTCACAAAACACATCCCAGCCTCCTGGTGTCCGGATGCCCCTCCTTCCTGCTCTAAGCATTGTGGGAATTGTTTGGTTCAGTGAGTGCAGCACATTCCGCGAGCTCATCCGACAACTGGTCACATGCGGCCGGGTCCTCAAATGAAAGCAGACGGGAGGAATCCGCGTTTCTGCTCACGTGGCTGGGACCAGCAGCCTTTTAGTGAGGCCGCCACTACCCTAACCCTAACCCTAACCCTGGGACAGGACCTGATCCTAGAATCAGCAGCATGTTGCATTTGTGTCAAATGGAGTCATTATACTATTCCATTTATTTGTCATCTCACATCAGTCCACTGACTGAATCTATTACTACCTGACCTTGCACATATAATACATCATAATACATCATTCAGTGAATATCTTGTTTGAAAATGTTTTCAAAGTTAGAAGGATCAGTGGCTGTGAAAAACTAGATGTTTTTAAAAATATTTTGAAAAAAAGAGACAGCTGCTCTTTGTGTAGGTGCCTCCAGGCAGTGTAGGCAGGAGCTCAGGTATCAGCTTGTGTCAGGGGTCATTTTTTTACCTGTTTTTCTCTTTAGCAAATGGAATTGGCTCGAGGGTGTGTGCCTGGTGATGAACAGAAAGCCTAATCTAAAAGTAATGACACAGTTCGTCTGTGCAGCAAACTTATATACAGACATAAGTTAATGTGACGTTTTTCTGTTTTGGACAAATGTTAAATGGAGACTTACAAGCACAAATGGAAGAAACTGATACAACGTTTCAGTTGTAATTTCCATAATTCATGAGCAGAAAAAATAATACCTAAGAAAAACATGAAGGTCAGCATACTTTTAAAGATGGAGGCTGCCTGGCCTCTGCTACACTGATGCAGCTAAAATAGTTCAGATTTGTTGCAGACATGGAACCTTTTGCTCTGCTGTTTGAACGGCCCACAGCAGGTGGAGCCATTGGACGTCACTGAAAATTCAAAATTCGTGCAATATGTTTTAACCATCACATTTAAACGTATAAGCATCAGTCAGTGATATTCAACAAAGACTAATTATAAAGATATCAGTCTGAAGGATGCTGGAAGGTACTCCATTATAAAGAACCGTCAGTGAGCAGCTTAGTTTGTCAGTTTTGGGAGGAATTCTTCTTTTGGCCCTTCTATCATTTGATAGGTTTTGAGTTAAAAAACAAAACAAAAAAACAAACAAACCATCTGCTCCAGAAAACTGCTCTTCAACCTGCTGATATATGTATCTGAAGTGGCAGAAATACTTAGTCAGATTCCCTTTCTCATGTAAAATGGCTTGTGTTTAGTTAAATAACATTTTTCCAACCTTTTATTTATTCAGCGTGAAAGTTTTGATTTCTGCAATAACTAACAGTGAAACTGAAAAACCCCTTTTCAGTTTATAAAGAGATGGGCTTATATGAAACCGTTCATGTCTTTTTCAGGTTACATGGCAATAAATCAGTTCTCCAAATCACTAAAAACCTCTCAGTTTTTGCGGGGCCATGATCCACAGGCGTTCTCTGCTTTCTTGCCCCCATCTTTACTGCTCACGGAGTCATGCCTCCCTTTATGAATACAATTTCAGTATTCTGTGACGGAATTCTGAGGTATATGTGTGTAGAAGGCTAAACGGCAGAGAAGAAAAGCAAGAGCCGTGTCACAAATGCACCTTGCTGCATTATTTACAGCACTATTTTATTTGATCTCGATATGATGGGCAGACATTTCAAGCTGAGGATGCCAAACACCCCTCCTCCCCGGCATCATATTGTAAAAAGACCAAGTGCTGCTGGTTGATCATGAGTCCAAAAAAAAGCTAATTGGTATGATTTTCTGGATTAGAAAAAATAAACATAAGGGACTAATATGTAAAAACATTATCTAACCGGAAATACCTCAAGAATGACAACATATCAACTATGTACAAAAACATCAATATTCAATATAATATTTATGTATATAATTCTTTATATTTCTTATCTTCTATACCCACTAAAATATACCAACAAAGCAGCTATTGGTCAATCTGACGAACCTGTTTGCCAAAATGTTTCTGAAAACAGTTTAAATATCCTTCAGCTGTAAATGTGAAAACAAAAAGAGAAAGAAAAAAAGAGAGAAGAGAGGCGGGAAGAGAAAAGAAAGACAGGTAAATAAATTAAAAAAATAGAACCCAACAAAATCCTGTGTTTTTATCTTGTGTGCCATTTTGGAATACTGCAGAGTGTGAGGAGGTAAGCCACTTCAACCAGCTTCTCCAGTGGATAGGAGTTTGTTCGAGGATGGGCCGGCTCCGACCATCCGAGAGAGAGTTCTCTGAGTCTTTCTTTCTCAGTTCATCGTCCATTAGAATACAAAGATTCAGACACAGTTTCATGTCAACTGGTGTAGGCCACAGAAAAAAAGGGCACTTTTTCAAAACGTAGCAATTCGGGATGAACTCTCGATGAATTCGGGGGGAAGGGGGTGCGGGCTGGACTTAGGGGAGGGACAGTGGGTTTAGCAGCCTTCTTGTTTGTCAAGAGTTTGTTTCACAGTTGAATCCAATATCCACCCAGTCAAGCACAAACTTGGCAATAAAACTACAATCATGAACAACTGAGACTCGGGATCCTTAAATACAAAAAGTGTCTGGTGGCGTCCGTGCGAGGACTTGCTGTAGTGTGTGTTTGTGGCATCTGGAGAGACAAATGAGGTCCTGAGATATGCATTGAAGGGCTTCTGAGTGATAAAAGTGTGATCCATATAAAATGACAACAAAAAACAAAAACAAAAACAAAAATAGATCTCAATCTATATCGCATCACTGGGTTTTGCTTGTCCCGTCTGTTAGGAGGGGCTGGACCGTGGCAGGGCCAGTATTCGTCCGTTGGTCTTTCCCCCGTTCATGTGTGTAAAGGGGATGTGGTGCTCCTCGTAACTGCCCCTCAGACCCATGGAGGAGGCCTCGTCCCTGTCCAAGCACTGCTCCCTCTGGGAATACGACGAGGGGTCCAGCGGGATGCTCTCCATGTTCTCCATGTCCAGGTCAAAGTCCTCGCTCTCTGGGGGCTTGTTCTCCTCGCTGTAGAAGAAGGAGACCTCTTGGAAGGAGGAATGCAGGTCTTCCCGCAGCATCTCGATGATCTCCTGGAAGGTGGGGCGCAGTTTGGGGTTGTACTGCCAACACATCTGCATCAGGTTGTGTCTGAGGGAGGAGAAGGGGAGGTTATATATATCATATATCTCTCACATTTTAGTAAACATTTTAGCAAGGACGAGATCGTCAAATCTCCCGATTTGCCTGATGTTCAGGCCTTCTGCTTGTGCTTACAGTCGGTCGGCGCAGTTGTCCGGCCGGTCCAGGCAGCCTCCATCCATGACGAACTTCAGCACCTGCTCATTGGACAGGCCCTGGTAGGGCTGCTCTGCCAGTGTGCTGATCTCCCACAGCACAACCCCAAACGACCTGGTAAGCAAGTGGAGGGAGGGGGGACACGGGGACGTGCAGATTAGACACCTGACAGAGTAAACCTGTAATCATTTAAAACAATTAACAGGGAGACTGAGGGCGTAGGGGGCCGCGATGCGGGTTGGGTGTCCCGAGTGTCTCTCGCATCTTATCATTTGTGTTACGTTTGCTGTTAACTTTTTGTTGTGAGGCTCCCACTGCTCAACAAATGAGCTACAAACACCACTCACCAGCAGTCCGAGTGTGCGGTGAAGACGCCGTCCTTTAGAGACTCAGGGGCCATCCACCTGACGGGCAGCAGGCCTTTCCCACCTTTCCTGTAGTAGTCGGTCTCATAGATGTCTCTGGTCATCCCAAAGTCTGAGAAGGAAAGTGATGGCTATAATGAGTTGATAGTAGAGCCAAACCAGTACAGAATTGTCGGCTATGAATGATGCATTCATCCGTTCAGAACCACTGTGCTGAAATGTGTTTTGAAAATACTGAAAGACCAAGAACTTGGAAAACTGGTTTTGGTTGTTTGCTCTCCAATGTGTAAAAGCCAGAAATGATTCAGAAGTTAAAACATTCAATAATCTGTAATTTGCTTTTAAACTGTAATGTCAGAAAATGTATGAAATCTTAATAATAAAAAAAGATTATTAGTTGTCAAGCTGAGTGTCAAATTTAAAGCAGCCAGAATGTTTTAAAGCCTTAAAATCATATCTGCTGTGACATTAGATTTCTAACCCTCTGAAAAAAATAGCAGAAAACACTTTGAGAGCCCAACGCTCAGCTCTTAAAATTCAGCTGTATTTCAAATCCCAGAATAGTGCGACACAGCCCTGGTCCACAAAATATTTGTTTTCTTTTCCAATCCCCGTTTTACGGCTGCTGGCGTTGGGAGAGTTGTTCTTCATGTGACCACCAGGGGGCAACAAAGTCAGACAATTTCTATCTCTGCACAAATGACTTTGGGCACATAGAACTATAAACCCTACGCACTTCCTAAAAGGTGTTTCTTAGCCAAAGAAACTTTCAGGGCATACATTTTGGATGGTGTTTATTGCTGCTTTAGGCTTTTTTTTTGTTTTTTTAGACAGACTAATATTTCAAGGAGATTTCTATCTTCCTGTGACATAGACGAACATCACTCAACCCCAAAATGGTAGACAGGGAACAAGCAGGGAAGCTAGTGTTTAGTGCCTGTTTTGGTTCATGAAAACATACCTCCTATTTTGACCGTCAGATCAGTAGCCACCATGCAGTTTCTGGCCGCCAGGTCCCTGTGGACAAACTTCTTGGCATTAAGGTAAGCCATGCCGTCTGCGATCTCAGCAGCCATTTGGATCATCTCCTTCAGAGTGGGCGGTGGGCGGCCGGGGTTATTCTGGGAAACAGATACATTTTCAATTTCTGACCTACTAACAAACTCGCTACTATAACTATGACGTTTGATCTTAGATCCTGCAACACATGGCAATTAAAAAAAGAATTTAAACAGAGTTAAACTTTTTTTTTTTCATATCAGGTTAGTCGACAGGTTTTTACTGGTGAATTGTCAAATCCTCTGTCAACATCCAGGAGCTCGGTCCTTCCTCTTTTCCAAGCAAAGTATGCCAAAAGGTGACATGCATTTAATCTCAGCACAAACAAAAGGTAAACCAAAGAATCTCATATGGAAAGAGAACAGGAACTCGGTTAGTGTGGTAACATTACACTGGCAGATCTATATGTCTCCACAGAGGCCTCCCTAACTAATGAAATCACATTTAATGGATGTAATTTACTTGAGACCGCAACAATCTGCCTGGAAACGAAGAAAACGAGCAAATGAAGAGAAATGGGTCATTGTGATTCCTTACTGTGTTCTCATCTACATTAAAAAAATAAAAAATAAAAAATCAGAGGTGACAACAGTTGTAGACTTAAATGAGCACAGCACTACAACGGCCAAAGCCCAGCCTCACTTCTGAATGATGCAGAATAGGTTGTTCGTTTATAAACTAAAAACAATCTTGCACAGAGCTAAAAAATAATCCACAATCTGTTATTTGTATTATATTTATATTTGACTTAACTGTTTTGCCATTTATTTTGTTCTGTTTGCACATGAACATTTATTTTATAGCTTTTACTTAGGATCTTAATTTCTCTAATTTATTTCTCTAAGTTAGGGTTAGGGTTTTCTTTCTATTTCTGAATATGTTTTACAGAATTTACAACAGAGCTGACTTTGACTAATCAGGGAGGGGCACTGGGTTTCTCTGAATAAAACACAGAAGTGAAAATAAGAAAAAAAAAGTATCAGTTCATTAAAGCTCCAACAGCTGTGCCCTCACTACAGACTAATCTGCTTACCTCTGCGTCGGGGCGCAGAGAGCGCAGGTAGCTCTTCAGGTCTCCGTGGGTCATCAGCTCCATCACGACCAGCGTGGGCTGGCCCTTGGAAACAACTCCCAGGAGTCGCACCTGAGATGTAAAAACTCACTGTAATCCTATTCCATCACGTTATTGAAACAGTCACAAGAGTGAGAAGCTTTTTTCATATACAGACAAAGCAGTTTAAACATATGGCTGCAGTCCAGGGATTCAAACCACAGCCTGTATTTTTAGCAAACATCTGGAGTCAAAATGTCCTCCGTTTATTTCCAAAATGTTTTTTTTTTAAAAGGTGATGTTTACCACATGGTGGCAGCTGAACGCCTTCATGACCGAGGCCTCGTTCAGGAACTCGATTCGCTCCCTCAGGCTGGCTGACTCATTCACGGTCTTCACAGCTACACGCGTGTCCCCTTCGCCCTTTATGATGTCCTTGGCTATGCCTTCGTAGACCATGCCGAAGGAGCCTTGTCCCAGTTCCCTCAAAATGTTGATCTTGTCCCGTGGAACCTCCCACTCGTCCTCCTCATACACTGTAAAACACGTTAGAGCTCTTTAGCGTATCTCCACACAAGGTTAATGCCAGTAACGGGCTGGGGCAGGAAATCCAATATTCTGATTAGCTAGCAGGCCAGCAGAGAATCTTCCAAATTTAGGAGGACGATGAATACTGAATCATGTGAGGAGTCCAAACCCAGGAATGGGGGAAAACATCAACTGTCTTTCAGATGATCAACTTTTTTGATAGAAATTGACAGAAAGTCATTTAAACATCCTTCAGGTTCCCACATGACATTTGTTTACTGCACACTGGACCCTAATTTGCTTCCTACCATTCTGTATATGATGAGGTTTACTGTGCTGTTTCTATCTATCAAAATATGTAAAATGTTTTGCCATTTAATTCACTGCAATACGCACGCATAGTTTACAGCACAAATATCTTCTCTAGATAAGTGTTAGCCCCCAAAGAAGACAACAGATTTTGTTAAAAAAAACCTTCAATGTTGTCTTCAGTCGTGATCTTAAAGACACAGCACTGTTTCAAGAACAGACACGGACACTGTGATTCAAATTTCAATGATAAATTCAGTCTCGGTTAAATGGGTGAACAGGTTTAAACCCTTTGCTTACCATCAGCTGCGCTGATGTACTCGGGGTTTGAAGAGGCGTAAATGGGACCGCTGGGACCTTGGGTTTGACTGCAGGGAAAGAGGGGGGGAAAAAAGGAAGCAAACAGACATATTAATAACCAGAAAATAACACACCCAGTAAGAGACTGAGAGGAGAGAAGGCCGGGATGAAAACGTACTTCTTTTTGAACATCACAAATCCGGCCAGAGACACAAACAGCAGCAGGACAAAGCAGATGATTGGTCCGATCACTATCTTCAGGACGTAGAGAGGGTCACCTGTTCAACACATCCCACCAAAGAATGTGTCACATTTCAGGAGAAAACAAACAAGCTCCGCAAAACTAAAGCCCTCACGCTCCCACATTTACATCCTTTAATTAAATTAATATTAAATATATCAATATATCAATATCTCCACACTACACCATGATGCGGGTTATCGAGTGGTACCACATATTTTCAGGGTCCAATTTAAGACTTACTTGCGTCCTGAACGTAAAAGTATGTGGGCTCGGTCCACGATCCGTTCCCGGCCAGAGAGGTGGCCCGGATCCTCACGGTGTAGTTCCCGGGATGCATTACTTTCAGCTTGCAGCCACGAGCGACTTTGTACATCTTCCTTGACACGCAGTAGTGCAGCTCCTGCAGAGGGACGACTCGCAGGGTCAGACATTTGTGACTTAATTTCACACATTTAAAGCATCATTTTGCCTTGTTGGACGTCAATTACTCATCTCGCTGTGCACAAATTTAAAAGCATGCTTTAAAAAAGGGAAAAATAGTCTCTAATCAATTCGATGACTTACATGTTTGGCCCTTTCTCCATGGCAACTAAAACATAGTCTAATACTTAAATTACCATTAGATTTAACAAACAACTTAATGAGTCAGATTCTTTAGATATAAGTCACTTATAGTGTGGACTCTTTTGGTGGCTGGGCTCCTTGGCCAGTTTCAAAACAACCAAATTAGGTCACCATAAACAGTAAATCCGTGAAACAGGTTCAGAAATATGTCCTCACCTCAGAGTCTCCCAGTCGCTTGTAGTTCACCTCGTACAGGATAATTATCCCATTAGGGGCTGCTGGTTCCAGCCACCTTACATGCACAGTGTTTTCTGTCACCTCGTAATGGATCGGACCCAAGATGTCATCGGCTTTATCTGTGGAGAAAAAAAATGGCATCCATTCACATATCTAGTATTTCCCTGGTTTGTCTGGAGTTAAAGGAAGAGGCGCTGTTGGTGAGGCTCGGCAGGGTTCAATTAAATCTGGAGGGCTTGATGAAAAAAAGAAATGATAAAAAAGGAGCCACTTACAGGAAAGGTTAATTAAATAAGGGAAAAAAACACTGATAAATGGGAGAAATTAATCTGGATTCAGGTGGTTTAGCTAGTTTCAAGGAAGACACGGTATGTTATTTGGAGGACTGAAAAGGCCCAGTCAAGATTAAAATGAAATGATTTACTAGTTACGACGCTGAGTCTGCAAACAATAAACTCAATTTTGCAGATATTTAGACTGCGTCATATTTGATTAAATAGTGGACAGAAACCCAATGACTGTCTGTCTTTATGGGGATGTGGTCAGGCTTTATTTACTGCTTTGAGAGACGAGGAAAACGTCTACCAGAGAACCAGACACATCTCCGCTGTTCGCTTGTGCCACTTTGGTACGTTAAGGTGAAGAGCTGACCCGGCATAAAGAATTCTTACGATGGTTGTATCGACACAACGCCGGCCAGTCGGGTGACCTTACCTCCGGGCATGGTGCGGGCGCTGACATACGCTGCCATGCTGCAGCGGTTGGGGTCGGTGGGGTGGTTGCAGGCGTGGATCTCGATCTGGTAGCTGGTGAAGTGACGCAGGTTGGATATGACGGTGGACTCTTTGGCGTGGACGGTGACCATGGTCTTTGTGCTTTCGAAAGTTTCCTCGTCCTCATCATCGGGGATGGCCGTGCCCCCGGGCGGGCTCGGGGAGGCGCCGATGAAGGGGAGCGTTTTGTTGGCGATCCCCATCGCAGAGCGCCGCTGCCTCGAACGTCTAAATAAGGCACAGCGTGTTTCGAGGGTCTTATTACGTGAGTAGACGTTCCCAAAACCTCAGATCCTTTTTTTCCTGTAGCTGCTTAATCTAATATGTACACGAGGCACCTCATTTAGGGGATTAGCAACTGTGAATTGGATTAATTGGACAGCCCGCATTTAAAAATGCTAATATTTGTCCGTGCACCTGATATTAAATGGGTCCGACTGAACCCATTTTACTGCTCCCGGGATTGAACTTAATCCCTGGAGCAGTAAAACATAATACAATGGGACAAAAATAGTAATAAGACCTAGACTTATTCAGTGAATCTGGTTAGAATGAACTTTAGTAAACTGGGTAAAGTATGAGTAGGATGGAGATTTAAATGGCTTTTTCATTCATTTCAAAACCCCCAAAACACAACAGGCATCTTTCTGGAGTATTACCTTATCTCAAAGACTTCATTGTGGAGGTAATTCTCAAAGGTTTTGCGGTACTCTGAGTCCTCCTTCTCCTTCTTGAGCTCCTTGTCCGTCTTTGGGCAGGCGCAGCAGCGAGTCTCCAGGCCCAGGTCCTCGGTCTGGTTCTTCTTCTGCTCCTCATCGCTGTCCACCTGAGTAGGCACCCGGGACGGTAACTTCATCCCTGATGACACAGAGTCAGAAATAAGAAGGAAACTGAATGACAGGTGCAACGACCACACTTATCCAACACAGTCCTGTAGACGGTGACCACACACACACACACACACACACACACACACACACACCTTTGGGGCATGTCTGACTTGTCATCCCCAGGTCTTCAACCACTCTAGTAAAAATAAATCATCACTGACACAATCTTCCTTGGGAGCCTCATCTTTCAGGCGGTGCAAGCACTGTGAGCGTTCCAAATAGGACAAAGAGGTCTGATTTTATGCTTACCAAGACAGTCACTGACGGCAAGACATCGACTGTGTCCAAAATAATTCAGCCAAACTAAAAGGATGAACTTTGTCTGAACCAGAGCCAGAGAGAGACCGAGCGACCTGACTGTGTCGATGCCAAGTCTTACCCACCTTCAATTATTTAATGCTCTCAAACAACTAAATCTAATTTAAAGTGATTGGTTTTATTCCTCTGTATGTAACTGAATCACCATTAGAGAACAGTTAAAAACAGAAGTAACCTCATACAAACGTATTGCCGAGGACTTCTGTTAATCTGAAAGTAGGTGAAGAGCTGTTTTTTCCATAATAATCAGTATATTACAAGACAGGACCCATGAGATTTATGCACCACCCCCCCCCCCTGCTGCATATAGCTGCTGCCAAGCTGTTTGAAACTTTTGCAGTCACTTTTGCAGTCCCGCATTTTTCTTCTTCTCTCCCTACATCACGTCTGTGTAGGTCCTACGCAACAGCTAGCTCCACACACACCAAACAAAGGGCCCACACCCTCAACACACGCTGATTTGGAAGGTCGAATATGATTTAAGAACTAAGTATCGGTTTACACACACACACCCCGAATGTCCGTTCAGGCACAAAACAAACCGTTTTGCTTGGATTTAATGGAAGTAGGAAGGAGCCGTCTCTGCTGAATCTGTTTAAATTAGCCAACTAATTACCCTTTTTTCTTTCGGTGCCACTTTGTTCTTATTACCATTCAATGAACCAGAAAAAAAGGCTAAACAAAGAGGCAGAAACGAGGCACCGCACAGGACAAATAATGCGTTTTACAGGAATGACATATGTAATAGTTGTGGATGTCTGAATAAGAATGTGCTGTCTGAACACAGCTATAAGCTGTGCAGGTCTGAAAAATGTACAACGCAAATTTGAGCAATGGGACGACATTAAGCCACGTTATTTGACTAGAAGGAAAACTTATTTTGTCTTTCATTGAGATTTACTAATCTCCCCATTATGATTTTGTTAAAAATATAATCTATGATCATATACGACTAACGTCTAATCGAAAAAATGTCAGAATCTTTTGGCAGCTACGAGCTTCAAGAAATAAGAGTCCTCAAACTACAGCACGGCTCAGAAAATAAGCCTTTTTCCTGCATTCAGACGTACAGACAAACAACCAACAAACCCTCAAACAGACACAATAAACACCAACCACAAACAATGTGGCTCACCCTTCTGGCAGTAGTCAAACTTGTAGAGCTCGTTGGCCTCACGCTGGCGCTGGTAAAAGACCAAATAGTGAGTGATGTTTCCATTGGGGTCATTGGGAGGTTTCCACTTGAGGATGATCTGAGAGGAGGAGTTTGAGGAGGAGATGGGGTCCAGCGGGACTGACGGAGCTGTGGAGACATAACCGAGATCAAAAACCAGTTTAGAGGAAAATATAGGAAAACACATTGCCTGGTGAGGGGTGGGGGCAGTGATAAATAAAACAGCATTCCACGCTAAATGATTTTTTCAGCAGTGATTGTAATCAATCAGACCACTTTAAACAAGAACACGTCAAAATAATTCAGGTCTCTTCATTTTTTTCCCCTTAAAAAAAGGTGTTTCTCTTCGCATAAACCCACTTAGCATCTTACATAAATCAACCACCAAAACAGGATGTAAACAACTGCCTATAACACTTAAATGTCTCAACTTCTCCTGAAAGTGTTGACAAATGGATTTCCTTTTTAAAACACGAGCCACGGCCCGAGCTGAGCTCTCGTGGAGCACAAGACCTTTCTTGTTTCCGTTGCCAGAAATTGTCCTGATGGTGATACAGCAGCTGAGAGTGCTCCGCTTCTTCCATGCGAGACATTCAAATCAAATCAAAACTTTAGAGGGGGGAGAAGCGGTAAAAACACACGTTTGTGCCATGACTTTGTGTATTTGTTGCCTATCGTGGCACATCGATCAGAGGAAGAGGGCTGCTATCATTCGCTTTGCATTTTAGACTACTGCAGCACACTTCCAGCCAACAGCTGCCTGCTCCGGGTATTCCCCGTGAGTGTGGGGTTTTAGTGTGATCCTCCCTCTCCACAGCTGGATGACCCAAAGTTTGGCTTTGCTGTAAGAGGTCTTCATGGTACAAGAGCATGAAGACCCGAGCAGGGGATATCCATACTTTTTTAGTATTTAGCACAAAGAAGAAGTGGCCTCTTTTCAGAGGTTTCAATCCGAGTCTTTCTGTAGCATCTAAATGTGATTCAGGTTTCAGTTCTACTTTCTCTAACCAAATTATTCTTTTTACATTAGTTTTGACTTGCCCACAAATATCTTTTTTTGTAAATGACTGTAACTACCTAATTATCACAATCATCCTGTGCATGAATTAAGCCGGTGTCTAATTTATGAAGGCTGAGTGAAGCCTTTGTGTGTGTGTGTGCATGTGTGTGTGTCATTACTGGAAGCCAGAAATTCTAAAATATCCTTGTCGGTTAACACTCAGCATTTTAGTGCAGAGGTTTTTGCCTCTGCAGTAAAATCCAGTTACACGTGAATAAAGACGTCTTCGTACGGCCTGAATCCGTCGTGTTTCCAGGAATACGCTGTTTCACATACATGCATGGTTGGGTAGTGTGTTGGGGGCTGAGTATATGGGAGGGTGTCAGACAGAACCCCTCAGGAGGTACGGAGGCTTGAGCTCCACTGTCAGAGTGTGTTTGTGTCATCCTTGACTCGTGATGAAGCAAGACACTGGTCCAACCACATTGTCAGACTAAGTTTCAACAGGAACAGCTTATATGTAATGACAGCTTTGCCCTTCTGATGAAGTACGTGGGTGAGACGGAACACAGACAAGGAACCTGCAGTGGTTGCCAAACTGGTATGCTAAAGAAACCCTCCAATGATCTGGCTGGCTGGCTGATGCACCTCAGCTGGGAGCCCCGTTTCGTGCAAGCGAAGGATGTCGTGTTTGAAGCGGTTCATCAGGAAGGAAACTTACATAGTCTAAAAGGAAGCCAGCTAGACAGGCTAACGTGACTGTGATTAACCTAAATGCACACGGCACACTCTGTGGGTGGCAAAGCACACAGAGTGCTGACAAAGGGCCCGACGATGGCTGTGGAACCGACTGATGCAGACACCTTGCAGGAGGCGGGGCCCTGTAGGCTGGTGGCAACCCGAGTGAATCGTACCATCTGTCTTCCTCTTCCCTGTTCTCGTGCCAAGGACACTTTGGCAGCTGGGAGACTGACAAACACAGCACTGACTCCATCAGTCAATGATAGTAACACCACAGGATGGGACCCAAAATAGCCAAATTTATTTAAAGGAAAGACGCTGACCTTTTCCACCACTGGAACAAATCATCACACCACCGGGAGCTAAACTTAAGCTTTTCTGAGCGTTTCTGAGAAGGGAAAGAGACATTCCACTGGGAATCATAACTCTGAGACTTCCCCACTCCTTCAAATATCACTGGAAGAATTTCAGAAGAGGAAACTGCTCAGTCTGTCAGGTTGCATTCAGTCAGACATAATCAAATAGTTCATCTGTTACCATGAAATGGGTACAAGAGAAGCAGGAATTTAAGAAATGCTAACAGAAACTACAAATACGGCAAGAATAGGCTCGCATTATGTTTTAAAGTAATCATTTATGTAGGCTGAATGAAAACTTCTTTATTGTGTCAAGTCTCGGTGACTCAATTTCAGCTCTGAAGTTCAACATCTGGCATTATCTCCTATCTAAAATGTATGTGTGCTATCAAAGTAATTTGTACGCAAGTTGAAAACCCCCTGACTCATTCCTTGTGTCGCTGGTTATGAAGACACGATGACGGAGGATTAAATAGACTGTATTAAATAGAATGTAAAAGGCATGGATTTTATTTGCAAAATGTTCTTGGGCTATTATGAAGTCGCTTCTATTAACAAAAAATGGAAAAAAAGAAAAAGGACTGCTTTTTCTTTGCAGGCAGTCACTTCTGGCCACTGCAGGCTCCTCTTGTTGAGCCGCATAAATTAACTTTACGTCCAAAATCGATTCCTGCAGCTGCTACACAGCAGCATTAGCATTCATCTCAGGTGGTGTGTGCTCATCTGGCTCCTCAGCTTCTGAGCACAACAACATGTTCATTTGCCAGTAATAAGCGTTCAGTTTGCTGGGCAGGTAGTGCACATCGGCTTTCACGACATGTCTGAGATACAGAAAAAAACCTGGACCTGAAGGCCACGGGGCCCTGCGTGTTGTAAGCACCCGCAGCTCATCAGTGGAATGTAAGCATTCATGTGCTGGAGCATATCCAGTCAGAGGTCGCCCACTTTAAATGAGATATGATGTGTAATAACATGCCTTCTTTTTGACCTCTTGTTTTTGTCTTTTATGTTTGGTGTCTGTTAATACAGTCGACATGGCTCTCAGCGGCTGTTGTTTTAAACCGCCATTATGAATTGAAAACAAACTTGATTTTCCTTGATTTGATCAAGCCTAACTACATCAGATGGCAGTGTGACGGAGGGAATGGCCATCAACAGGGATTTCTTACTGGTGGCGTTGGTGCGAACGTAGATGATCTCGCTTTTGGCTCCGTGGATCTGGTGCTCGTCAGAGGCCGACAGCTGGGTTTTCACCATGATGGCATACTGCGTCCAGGGCTTCAGAGGCAGAATGAGGTGACCCGGTTCAAACTGCTCCTTTTCGCCCTCCGTGGCTCGGCGTGGAGGGTCCACATCGGCTATCACCCAGCTGTTGGAGCCGCAGGCGTCCTGCCCATCAAACTCAGTTACGTTCTGAAAGGGTCTAGTGTGGGGAAAAACAATAATAATAAAGAGATGAAAGGTGTGCAATGCCTGAGAGGAAGCATCTTTATCATAACAATTTTCTCTCCACTCAGAAGACAAAATATATTAAAAGAGAAATTAGGTTAGAGGTCCTCATAAATATATTGGCTAAAAGGGTACATATTCCAGGACATTATTTAAAAGCTTTTCATTATTTCCTAACTATCTCCACTTCAGCTTCATTAATGTAGTGAAATGCTAAACCAGAGGAAATCTTTGGACTCTTTTTGGGGTGTTAACAAAGGAAAATGGCTCTTTCAAAAACTAAAAACTGCTCATAAACATTTCAAAATGCCAGATAACAATAATTTGAAATAATCAAACAACTGCATTTTGAAGTCGGAAAGCATTTTGGATTACCCAAGAACATTTATTTAGATGATTGAAATCAGTTTAGAAAGTTATTTTAATTTCCTTTTGACGTGTTGTATTTGTATTTTTAATAAGATTATAAAACAAAAATGTCACCACTGTAAATCTAAATATTTGCTATCAGCTGAGATACTCATTTATGTGTGTTCAAATCTTACTTCTTACACAGAGTGTCTGGTAGTCTCTCTGAATGCAGAGGGAGGATTATTCAAGATAAACTTACGCTTCTTTGTAGAGCACCATAAAGCCCAACAGATCCCTGAAGTCTGGAGGCCAGAAGGCTTCCCACTTTATCATGATCTTATTGCTCAGGGTTCGGATCTGTGTGAACCTCAACACGTGGTTCTCACCTGAGAGAGCAGCAGGAAAAACATCATTAAAAAACAGTATCTTCACTCTAAAAACTGAACCAATCCTACCAGCTTTGACATCTATGCTTTTAGGAATTTAATTTGTAAATCAATAGAAATATACTGTCAGCAATCTTCCGACTTTTTAATTATTGTTATCAGTGAAGAGGAAACAAGCAAGCAGCTTTTAACACACCAGTGCACAAAGTTTATTTGAACATTCAGCATCTTATGAGATTAATTTGCTAAGCTGCCATTTACTTACTATGAAATACCACAAAGCCTCAGTAAACACACCTACAGCTGTGTATCAAATGGAAAAAGGATAAAAGAGAGTACTTGTGATCCAAAAGTGGCTGAAGGACATTTGATTAAAACTCAGACTGCTCTAGCTGTGAGAACTTCAACAAGTCACACCAAAAGCCAACGGGTACATTTATTTAATTTATCCAAAACTTCCATTTTCACTAAAACCTGCAAGAGCCAAAAAAACAAAAACGAGATCTGGCTGAAAGAGAGCAAACATGGCCTGGTAAATAGTCTAACATCTCTCCCTTTTAGCACAGACCCTCCATCTAACTACTGAGAGAAATATCTGATTATTTTCCTATTCTCTGTTTCTTTAAAAAGGTGAAGAACTAAAGGACTGTTCAGTGCCGAGTGGATGATTTGTGATACATAAAGGGTGGAGTTTTTCACCATTATTTGGATCTTCCTTTAATCTTCCTTTAAAGCCCAAAGCAACTGCTTATTCTTTGGGTGTTTCTCTTTGGATTCAATCCATTTAACTTACCATCATATATTGTTGTTCTAATAAATAAATAAATGAATAAATAAATATACATAATAAAATGAAGGAAACTTGTAATGATCTAAAAGAGAAATATCATCCTTGCTTTAATATCTATGAAATCATGAATGTTCCTCTACACCCTGGCTGTATACAAAGCTCACAGTTGTGGACCAGAATAGAAAGTCAAACTGATCTACAACAATGATATCAAGTCTAACACTCATGAGTACTTTAGTCTGCTGGTTGTTCCAAGTTTAACAATATCTGAATACACGTCTCCAGGAAGTTATCTGCAAACACAGGACGGGAAATGACCATCATAACAATAACTATGACTTTGTTTGCGTCTGTACCAGGCCGGACTGTGTTGTCTGTTGCCGTGGTAACAACGTAGCAACAACGCACAAGTCTGCACAGTGGAGGTTCTTACATGAGGCTTGGTCTCCGTTGGTCTTGGAGGCGATGTAATTCTTGACCTGCCGGTCTTTGGTTCCCGTCACCTCCTCCATCTTGCGGATTTCAGACATGCAGAGCTTGGAGTTGTAGTGGAGAAACATGCGCCCCCGCTTGATGGTGAGCTTGTGTTTGGACCAGTCCCAGAGTTGCCGCAGGTTCTGGTTATCCAGGGCATAAAAGGAGTAATTCCTGGAAAGAAAGAAAAAAAAAACAGAAGGCTGCATAAACATATTTGTCATGATACATGACATTTGGCTTAGGGGGTTTCTAAGCTAAAATAAGTAGGAGTCTCTGTACACAACGGTTCACTGGAGACTCTGAATTCCCAGTAGGAATGAGTGCGAACGTTTGTCTGTCTTGTTTGTCTCCGTTTGGCCCTGTGACGGACTGGTGACCTTTCCAGGGCGCGCCCCGCCTCTCGCCCCGTGAAAGCTGGGGTAGGCTGCAGCCCCACTAGGAATAAACAGTGCGGAATATGGATGGATGCATCTCTGCGTGATCAGCCTTCAGCTTGATGCGTCTTCCCAAGTGTAGCTTTCTGTGCAAAAAAACAATCTCCCGACATGTCTGGGAGAGACCTCGTGCTGAACCAGAAACAGATGCAGCAGGAAAACATTTCTAAAAGGTCAGTCATTCTGCTTTTAACTCATAATTACAGGAGGAGGCTCTGACCCGGCGAGGATAAACAGGGGACTAAAATGATGGATTCTCACCCGATTTCCTGTTCTTCCCCATGAATAATGCGGAGATTGCGGAAAAATGAGAGGGATACAAGGGCGTAGGAACGCCGTACTGTCAGGTAGCCAGTGATCTCCTCCAGCTGGCCCAGGCTGGCCTCCAGCTCAGCTGCAATGTTGTCTGCAGAAACCACAGGACACAAATTATAAAGCAACTCTTAATTCTACGACATGCTGACAGAAAAAGGTAGAGGCTGTTCTCTAGTGTTTGTGCTCTCACTTCTTTTTTCTTCCCCACTTCTGGAACTTTAATTCTCAGTTAACACCTGAATTTGTTCCTATCTGACTCCTGCTAAAGTTTCTTGCTGGTCTGACTGCTTCTACATCACCTCCAGCAGGTCTGAATTAGCCGTGTGCTCGTGCTGTATCTTCCTGGTTTTGTGTAACGCTGACAGCTCTTTGTTTATTGTTCTGCCCGGCTGATTAGTTGTACGCTGTAATACGACTCAACCAAACAAACCGCAGGCACTCACTTCCTCCTCGCAGGTTGATAACCAGGCTCCCGTTGAGAATGGTGCAGCCTCTTAAAGACTGGGCAGCCGTGACGGAGTCCACTGTTTTCAGCCCCATGCACACCTTGGGGCAGAGCCCCGCGCAGGGAGAGCAGTTGAGCCTGCGGGTGGAATGAAAAGGAGTCAGGTTTCAGAGAAGTTAAAGAGAAATATCTGTAACGAGACGCTAAATGCTGCTCTGTCTGATACTCGCCAATAACTTTGGCTGCCCTGCTGTGATTTTCGTTTCGACCGTGGAAAGGGCAGCCTGAAACATCAGGGGGCTTAGAGACTAATTCAGCTAAAAAGGTGGGGAAATGTTGATGCTGAGGTCCTTCCAAACAGGTGATAATAGAGTTAGCATAAAAACGCCACAAAAAGGATGTAAGAGATTCAAAGTGGGGCAGATTGGCAGCTACTGAGTTGCACATTTTTAAAAAAGGCACCGCCAACTGTGACTGGGAATGAGATTAATCCAACTTCCAACTTTAAAAACAATTATAGTGACTGCAATATACTGACATAAAAGGTGCATGTCTGTTATGTGAATAAAACTTTTTGTGCATCGTTTCCTCACTTGGTTGAAAACTTCCCTGAACTATCTTGACCTCTTTTCCTCTCTGTGGTGCCACATCTGCACTTTAAGCCCAGACACTCATAACTCTGAGGAGAGTGCCGCTTTTCCCAAGAGCACTTTCATTTCCACAGCTTAGTCTAAAGCCGTCCACGGGAGGGAGATGCCAAAGAGGGGAGACGAGCCAAAAAGGGGAACAGAGAGCGAGCCGGCGCGAAAAGCCAGAGAATATAAGCATGAACGGGTTAACTGTAGGTCAACAGTACCCTGAAGGTTTGGATGAGCGGGAGGGTGGGGATTCATAGCAAGAGGACAAAAAAACCTGGGCAGCTACCAGTAATTAGGTTTACCACGGCGTTATTCATCTGACATTATCTGCAGGACATCTTTAGAGACAAACAAAAAACAGATTAAACAAATAAGCTAGTAACTGACCTTATAAAATGGACAAATCGTTTTTTGTCCCACCAAAAAACATCATTCACACAGGATTTTTTATTTTATCTTATTGCGTTTCATGTGTTCTAAAGTGGTGAGCACATCGACAAATAACTCTGTCTTGACCTGCTGGGAAAAGTACGCAAGCAGAGGAAAAACCTGAGCGCATGAGAGCCAGACACTCTGGCCTCAGCAGCTCCACTGGAGCGCCATCTGCTCTCCAGTAGCCCGTCAGGTGTAAGTGCACAGCATGTGACTCAATGAATGTGCAGCTGCATGTTGTTCAAATGGAGATTATGTACTCTGCAAATCCCCCTGTGGATTAATAAAGGTTAAATACACGTAACGCCGCAAACGCCGCCGAAGTAGCACGGCTGCTTTTCCAGGCTGTTTGGACATGGCCGCCGGAGCTGCGCGCCGGCAGAACCCTCTTTGTCCGCGGCAGGCCAGGACCCCGGAGCTATTTGTGCAGAATGCCTCTCACACAACCGCACGTTTAATTACTGCGTGTCCACCGGCCACTTCTGGTGTAGAACCCCCCCCAAAATTCAGTCCCATTTTCATGTTCTGCCCTTCGCGTTATGGTTAAGGCCGTCTGGATTTTGTGGATTTAGCAGTGGTGGTCACAGACGGGGTCAGAGAGGGAGGTGGTGAAGGTCAGCAAGGGGCCACCTGGTGTAAGAGGCAGCTAATGAACACATTACGGGTTAAAGATTGAGAAAGAAGGGAGAGCATTCTGTCCCTGCGTCTGTACCGCCGACTGTACAGCCAACCTGGCGACGCGCACCTAGCCAGACGACAGCAAAACAGAGAGTGCTGAGTAAAAAGCAGAGACGCAGATATGCCAGCCTCGCTAATGTGCTGCACCACTTTGACCTAGCTGCACGTGGTATATTTCACACAGGCACAAAGAATAAAGAGGCGCGCGTGTGTGGGTGTGGGTGTGGGCCATGTCTGAGCTCAGCAAACCACCAGTTCTCGCACCGTCATTCTGCGCCTCAAACACGAAGACCTGAGGCTTCAATTTAGGCCAGATTCGTTACATGTCAGGAACAATTGTTCAAGGGGCGCCATACAGGGACTGTTTCTAGCTCACTGCTATCACTGAATCTTCAGTCTCTCATCGATATCCTGTCCCAAATAGACTGCTTTCCTTATTGAAACAATTGTTGTTTTCAATAAAAAAAAGTAAATCTTTACCATTTAGATGAGAATTTATAAAGAAATCAATATCAGACCCCGACTCAACCAACTGGGATTAAACCTTGTATATACAGGTAGGTTTTTTCCTACTCAGAATAAAGTGTCTGTTGCTGGTTTAACCATCTTTCCTGCTGGCCATCAGGAGCCCAACAGACCGGCTGGAGTGTCCACTTACGAGGTGGAGTTGACGGTGGTGTAGCCGGAGGGACACTCGGGGATGCAGGCGCCGTTGTGGATGACGTACTCGTGGCAGTCGGTGTTCTTGCTGCGCTCCTTCTCCCGCTTGCATCTGTTGTGCAGATCCTGGCAGAAGGCGAAAGACACGCAGCGCCAGTCCTTGTAGGTGAAGTGGTTTGGCGGGCAGCGCTCCACACAGCTGCCCTCGTGCTGGAGGCCGCGGCAGGCCACGCAGTGGCCGGCCGAGTGAGCCTGCAGGCAGCCGCCCAGACACTGGTCGTGGCAGCACTGGCCATCTTTGGTGCAGGCTCGGTGTTTGCACTGAACAGGGCACACTGCAGAGGGGGGGGGGGGAGAAGAAGAAAAAAAAAGTCAGGTCAGTGAGGGTGCTCGCGCATGAGAGCTTCAGGGCCTGTAGGCAATGTCTGAACTACAGGAAGAGCCACACAGGAAGCGGGAGCCTCTCGTCATGCAAATGGGCTGCAGATTATTTCGGTTTTCCCAAATGGCATAAGTGATCTTAATCAGTCCCCAAATAATAATCTCCTGAATTGTAGATTCATACACAGGCAAATCTCTCTGTCAGCAGGAAGGAAATCCCTCCTCGGGGCAGATGCCAGCAGGCCAGAGGACCATCTGCCTCTGGCCAACGGGCAGACTGAGCACAGACAGCAGGGGTCCGGCACAGTCGGACTAAAGACTAGCCCATGGGCACGATTCAGCAAAAAAAGTGACCACAATTGTTTTTTGTTCTCGTCAAGGCACGGCAGAATCCAGTTCCATATGATGAAGTGAAAAACAAAGGAGTAACTGAGGAACTGAGAGCAAAACAAATGACCCCCGTTTTGTCCCTTACGCTTTCATTAAGCAGACCCCTTTGGGCTGACGTGGCACCGTCACTTTCTGGGTTATTACTGCTGATGTTCCTCAGACTATTTGCATAAGCAACACGCGGGCTTATTAATGACAAAGAACATGAAAGTGTCGTCCTGATGAGTGCTAACACAGTTATTCAATTACCGAATCAACAGCAAACTAATCAAGAGCAGCTGAAGCAGTCGCATCACATTTGGCTTCATGGAAACATAACTGGATGGGACTTTTATTTGAAGCACAGAAGCTTAAAGCAAAAAATTGTTACCCAATGACAAAGGCATTTTGGGGGGCTATAAATGAGCCTAAAGTAATCTAAAGCAGATAAACTAAAAGATTATACACAGAAACCTGAAGCATAAAATAGTTATCCAATGACAAAGGTATTTTTTGGGGCTATAAATCAGCCTAAGTAATATAAAGCAGATCAACTAAAAGATTATGCAGAACTGGCCAAAGTGACCCTGCTGGGCACAGGTGTGACAACATTTAGGGCGGACTGGCTGTGCACACAGAGATCTTTGACAGGTTTTTAAAGAAAGAAACAAAGACATTCAGATGTCAAGAGACGGGGTTCTGGTATAGACGTGAACTCAGGACAAAGACACAGGTATGGGGAGTTGTTTTTGACACTTGCATTTGCATGTTCCTAAAACAGCTCGTTACATAACGCCAGGCCATGCTGAATCATAGGTGTGTGTGTGTGTGTGTGCACTTCTGGTTTGGAAAATAGTGTGAGGACGAATTGTGCAAGCACTGCTGGAGGATTCACAGAAGTAAATAGCTTCTGCTTTACGGCGGCCACAGACTGACCGCCAGTCTTAATTCCTACTGCCGAGGTAACATTTCACAGGGACCCCTTTAGGGGTTCGAGCAGCAATGGTCTTATAGCTCTCAGGCAGACAATAGGAACCACCGTGGCAGCTAGAAAAACACTACTCCCAGAAGTAAAAATGAAAAAAAGAGCGAAAGGGAACTGGGATTAAATCAATAGGCTCTGGACAGCTAACAGGTCTGACCATTAAGGCGAGTCCATGTGGCATCTTCTGTTTATTCAGCTACACAAACTAAAAGCAAAGGGGAAGGGAACTGTGTGGCAAACAAAAAAAAAAACTGAAATCTGCAGTGTTTGTAACACTTTCCTGTTAACTAGATGTTGCACAGCCTGTGCCAAAACGGATTGGCTCCATTAGTGTCATGCGGCCAGCCATTAAAGGAACAAAACAACATGGACCCGCTGTCCTCTCACATTGACAGAGGTGAGCTTGGAGAGAGTGTGTGCTCGGGGAGGGCAGCAGCAATATGAGAATGGCAGTGTGAGAGGGAAGCTGGAGGGGCACAGCTCTGCAACAACAAATGATATAACCGCCTTTCATTTACGTCAGCAATCTTCCCCACAAAAAGATTTACAATCCGAGTGCCTCTCGCCAGGTGAAAAATCTTTCCCTTCAGACTTGAGTTCATGTGAGAAACTGCCCTTCAACTTCTCCGCAGTTGCACGTTCACACACACACACACACACACACACACACACACACACACACACGCACGCACACACAAAGGCAAGCACACGAGCACACAAAAGCTTGGCTTGTTGCGGCACAGACTCCCGATCCTGCAGCGGGGCTCCATGCCGCAGCACAGGCCCGGCTGCAGATCCACCCCAGCCTTAGCCAATGTGTTGGCTAAGGCTGGAGCTACTCCGTTCAACTGGCCTCTCCCATCTCCAAGGAAGACTGGCTCAAAATGTAACCCTTTGTGCCTCGCTGTTCTCCTACCCGCGGCAGCGCTTCGAGCTGGGCACGGGTTTGACGTTTCCCTTCCATAACCGGAAAAAAAGGCCTCGCTTGGGGGGGGGGGGGGAACTTGGTTTTTTTGGGGGGGGGGGGGGGGGGGGTCGAGCCCTGGCTGAGACAATCGTGCTTTGTTTGCGTGGCACGCGCCGCCCCGGGCCGTGGATCGCGTCTCATCACGCCTTTGCCTCATTAGGAGTTCTAACAGATTGAAGCAGCTTTGATATAATCTCCATTCACGGTGAAATGTGGGAACGACACCTCCCATCTGCAGCCGCGGTCCGTGTGAACACACTTTAATGACACACGTTGAGGTTTTTTCTTAACCTGAATGCATGTGTAGCCTTAACATGATTAACATTACTTGCACGCAGTGGCAAATAGTTGCTCTGTGTCTCTAATGAAAAAAGTTGACTTCAAAGAGTTTGACCGACAAAAGAAAAAATGCCAGTTTAGACAATTAGAGCATGTTTCGTTCGTTTTTAACCAGTTAATACTACTCATTGATCAAGTTCTGTTGATGCTTCTTTGGTGTCGTTAAGTGGCTTGGCTCGACATGATTCAAGGTGGATTTAAGTCTGCCTGCCGGCAGCTAACTCTGTTGTGTTTGCCCAACTGAAATCAAATGGTCCAAATTGGCCTTGACAAATTACTCCAACATCATTATCATCAACAACAGAGACCAGACTGAAGGATATAGAATTGTTTTCAGTGCGTCCGTCTACTAGATTTTGGAGGATGAGAACATTCAGAGCCGTGAAAGCAAATCAAAACTGAGCCACCTTTGATCTCCCCGAACGGGGACGCTGAGGGGGCTTTTTGAGGGAATTTGTTCTTCTTTTCTAAGACCATGCAAATCTCTGAATACATGTCCTTTTTCTTTATTGTTACAGATCATGAATCCACAGGCATTTTTTTCCCCCTGAAATATTCTGTCAGTCCACTTCAGTTTGGTCTTTTGGGCACCTTCACGCTTCATCTTCCATTCCTCTGAGCACCCGACAACAAACTCCGAAGTCACGCCTGTCTCTTTCGCTCATTAGCTTAAGTTTCACTCGGTTGAGGGGGAAGTTTGGCACAATGAGACCCCCCCAATCCCTGAGGCTCAAAATGGTTAGCAACAACAAACGAACAGCAGGGCAGCCCCCCCCACCCAGATGAATGCAATCTGCCAGGAGGATGAAGAGAAAAGAAAAAAGACAAACACGCGCAGTGGGCCGGCACCGAGCTTCGTCCACAGCCGGGGGGGCCAAAGGCTTCAGGAGGCTCGTCTTTGTTCCCAACAACATCAGATCGCCGTACACATTCTGGTTGCACGTGCGCAGAGGGCAGCGCGGGCTTCGCTGTGGACTGGGACCGGGATCTCTGCCTGAAATAAAGAGGCTGTGCAGTTCCATTAACCACAATCCTCTATAAAATCATTTAGTGGTGAATTTTTCCAGATTCCTTTCAGGCCAACGATAAAACAACAGCACATTCAGGACCTCTGCGTTGGGATCACACTGGGCCAGAAAACATGCCAAACAGGGACGCGGCGGTGTGCTGGATGGTAATTAAAATTCCACGGCCATGACAAGGGTAGTATTTAGTTTCTTATGAGAACGTTTTCTGCTGAAGGCCAAGAAGAAAGGAAGCCCAAAGTGCTTTAGAAAAATGGTGAGCTTGTGTTTCCAGACTTCTGACTATCCAAAAACTACAGTAACAGAGGCGCAAGTCGAACATTTAAGACACCAGCTACAGACCGACTGATGGTTTAAGAAGGACATGGTCAAAGATAAGGAGCAAGGGCTGACAATAAAAAGACAGAACACTATTTCTGATACCATTTTTTAACAAATGCCCATATTTGCTAAATAAGCCATCACTTCCATCTATGAAGTCACTAAAAAGTGTTTTTTTTAAGTAGATGCTGTAATAAATAAACCTAGCTGCTTGGGCTTAAGGGAGAGATCTTTCTTTTAGTTATTCAGTCAAGCCTATAAAACCTAAAACCCCAAAACGTACACTAAAGAGAGGCTTTTTTCCCCCCTCAAATCATCAAGAGAAAACAAATCGCACTGTAATGCGACTTCATAAACTTTATTACCTGCGCAAATACAAAGTCTGATCAACAGCTTTTTTCGTAAAAAACAACCGAAGATGAAGTGCTGATAATGGATCTGAGAAAAACCTGACCATCACCCCTAATGCAGGAAACAGCCTCCACCTGCAACCACCCGCCCAACGGCGAGGCAGAGCCTGGCCTGCGTCACACACAGAGGCCAGAACAGCGGCGTGGACGTGACCTCATCAAAAGCGGCGTCCGATTATCGGCTTCATTTGTCTCCATTTTCCTGGTAGCCACGTGTCCTCTGGCCTGACTCGATAGCAGCGGGGCTCGGTTGAGATGACTCGGGAGCAACAGGAGCCGTAAACAATTTCATTAACCAGCTCCAGCCTCCGTTAATAGAACAAAAACACATCAACAACATGGAAAAGCACTTTTTGTTTTTAATGCCGCCCAGCCACCGCCGTCCTTCCCGCGCAGGATATCCAGTTTGTCCCTGACTGGAATAGAAATGATAAACACTGTGCTTTCAATGATGGCCAATTACGCCGCCTGCTTGACAGGCAAATGACGCACGCCGGGGCCTTGAATCTTCATTTTCTACCAGAGTTCGGTGCAAGGTTGAAAACAATCTCCACCTCGGTGGCTGAAATGGACCGTCTGCCCCAGCATCGAATGCATATGTCATTAATGTCCGAGTTCTGAATTATAACCGCCGCCTCTGACCTTCTTACCGGGGAGGAAGTAAACACCAAATGTAAGCAGGAAGAGAACAATCAGAACACCAGAAATACACTGAAATATCCGGTCAATTTCCTTTTTTTTTCCCATAAGGAAATTCAGCTCCATTTGAAAAATTGTTTAGGGGACCTGAAGCAGAACAAAGCAGCTTACAAATAAAGTAAAACCCAACATGTAAAGCTTGAATCTGCCATTAACTCTGCAATCAATATTCAGAGGGGAACAGCTACCGCTGCCGTTTGTGATTTAACTGCATAATAAAATGATCTTTTTCAAAGAGCACAACACAAGGAAAGGAAACCACAAGGCTGATGTGAAGGTAACCACAGAAATCCTTTAAAAACTGAACGGCTACAGGTTGTTGTTCAAACATAATTTGGTTTTATGGAAGCAATAAATCATTTTCCATTTCCTACGCGTCTTAGTACAGATACACATTCACCCGTATCCTGTAAGGCGCGGCAACCTTTTTCCATCAGTGATGATCGTTTTCTTTTCTTTGCAGCCTTCATGGTAAACATTCAAATATCTGGGCCTTTTGTCTGATGCATCAAGGGAGGTTTTGTCACTGAAGTGCACACATTTACATGGTGAGCCACTCTAAAAAGGGGGTTGGGAGGCACAAACGTGAGGAAAATTCAGTGAACTTTTGCAAACAGGCCTGCTTGTTTATTAAAAAAAAACAACAGGGACCTGTTGGGCTACGTGAGACTCGTGAAAGCAGATAAAGAGACATGTGATTAAACCAGCCTCAAACAGCAGCGAGCTCTTTGAAACCGAATGGTGAGTGTGAGCGTGCAGAGCGGTGAAGAAACGCCTGTCGGCCCAGCTTTAACAAATGCCTGAAATGTCTGGAATTCCATGGGAATGGCTCCAGTAGCTGAATGGAGAGGGTTTGCAGGGTGCAGCTCCACAAGACCCAAGTGCCAGAGAAGTTAAGTCAGCTCAAAGAAAAGGACCCTGTGTGTGTGTGAGGGGGGGGAAGGGGGGCAAACGAGTTTAGCTTCAGGCTCGTACAGAAGCACTCTGCATAATTAACCCAGACTAAGGAGTAAAAACACAGAAGCTTTTCTTTAAAAAAAAAATCTTGTAGAAACTTGTCTGCTACTATATATATTTTTATTTTATTTTTACTGCTGTTTTGCTTCAGGAAGTGGGTCAAACAACCCGAACATGTGCCTTCTTTAAACTGAGTTGTAAGCTTCCTAAACGGAAGAACATGTTAGTTTTTCCCACCTCTTTAACAACTGGAGTGGATCTGCCTCGTAAAGTGGGTGAAACATCACAGCTGGGGTTCAGCAAAGCACCTTTCATTTATTTTCTCTATCTAAATCAATCACCGTCTAAAGACTATAGATCCAATCCCCACTTTATTGAAGGTTTCATATTTATTCTAACCTACTTCTGGTGGTCTGTGTGTCCCTCTTGCGTCATAGCTGCCTCATAATAACCCATAGCTCAAGTTGAATCTGCTATCTGTAGCAAAACAGAGGAATCAAGAGCTGCAAAGCAAACAACTGCCAGATGAGTGGAGCTCAGGTCCAACAGGACAGCGGAAACAAAAAGGGGAAAGAAAAAGGAATTCAGACACGATGGCTGGTCTGTGTGGCTCTTCAGACAGGAAATCTTAACTGTTGGAACTAAATCTACTGCCCATACCTTGTAATAAACTCATTGGCCATGTGTGCACGCATAGTATGTGATGGATGACGTTTGGCCTTGGCTATGTGAAATAACAGAACAGAGGTTACAGCCCAATCATAAAAATCACACCGGCTGCTTTAACAGAGCTGTGACAGGAAATATATCTTGCACAAACTTTGAAAGAGTAAATTACCTTCCACCACCAACTTTTCAGAGTGGTTTAAAGTCTGCTGAACAGCTGCTGAAGTTCAGCAAGGACACTTCCCCCCCCGCCTCACATGGACATCCAGATTGCCTAGCACCTATGTTTTAAGTTGAACACAATTTAATTTACTTCTCAACAAGCGAAACGCTGAGATTTAAGCTCCCTGGTTTAATATTAAACTGAACACGGGGAGTGACTGGCAGCCGTGGCGGAGATTGATGTGACCGTGGAAGGAAAAATAAAAAAAGGAAAAAAGTCCTTGGCTTTCAAATTAATTTTATTTTTAGAGGCAACTTAATGGGCAATGAATCCATAAACCTCATCAGCATATTGAGATCGGACCTAACTGTAACCTCTGGCAAGAATGACATGACTTAAGAGTCACTGTTCACAAAA